GACTTAGTACTTGGTGGCAAAACCCTTGTTGGCTATCACAGAGGTCAGACGTTTCTTGTAGTTGGCCACCAGGTTTGCACACATCTCAGGAGGGATTTTTGCCCCACTCCTCTTTGCAGATCTTCTCCAAGTCATTAAGGTTTCGAGGCTGACGTTTGGCAACTCGAACCTTCAGCTCCCTCCACAGATTTTCTATGGGATTAAGGTCTGGAGACTGGCTAGGCCACTCCAGGACCTTAATGTGCTTCTTCTTGAGCCACTCCTTTGTTGCCTTGGCCGTGTGTTTTGGGTCATTGTCATGCTGGAATACCCATCCACAACCCATTTTCAATGCCCTGGCTGAGGGAAGGAGGTTCTCACCCAAGATTTGACGGTACATGGCCCCGTCCATCGTCCCTTTGATGCGTGAAGTTGTCCTGTCCCCTTAGCAGAAAAACACCCCCAAAGCATAATGTTTCCACCTCCATGTTTGACGGTGGGGATGGTGTTCTTGGGGTCATAGGCAGCATTCCTCCTCCTCCAAACACGGCGAGTTGAGTTGATGCCAAAGAGCTCCATTTTGGTCTCATCTGACCACAACACTTTCATCCAGTTCTCCTCTGAATCATTCAGATGTTCGTTGGCAAACTTCAGACGGGCATGTATATGTGCTTTCTTGAGCAGGGGGACCTTGCGGGCGCTGCAGGTCCTTCACGGCGTAGTGTGTTACCAATTGTTTTCTTGGTGTCTATGGTCCCAGCTGCCTTGAGATCACTGACAAGATCCTCCCGTGTAGTTCTGGGCTGATTCCTCACCGTTCTCATGATCATTGCAACTCCACGAGGTGAGATCTTGCATGGAGCCCCAGGCCGAGGGAGATTGACAGTTATTTTGTGTTCCTTCCATTTGTGAATAATCGCACCAACTGTTGTCACCTTCTCACCAAGCTGCTTGGCGATGGTCATGTAGCCCATTCCAGCCTTGTGTAGGTCTACATTTATAACATTTTTGACATGTGTTTTTCTGGATTTTGTTGTTGTTATTCTGTCTCTCACTGTTCAAATAAACCTACCATTAAAATTATAGACTGATCATTTCTTTGTCAGTGGGCAAACTTACAAAATCAGCAGGGGATCAAATACTTTTTTCCCTCACTGTAGATATTCCATAAAAAATCAGCCGTTTCCAGCTACAATACCCGTTTACAACATTAACAATGTCTACATTGTATTTCTGATCAATTTGATGTTATTTTAATGGACTAAAAAATTGCTTTTCTATTGAAAACAAGGACATTTCTAAGTGACCCCAAACTTTTGAACGGTAGTGTACGCTCAGAGACCGTTTCTATTTCCAAGCAATAAGACTGCTGAACAGCTAATCAATGGCTGACTATCTACACCCACGGACTATCTGCACGGACTTTATGCACACTCATTAACTCTATCCACGCACCAAGACACTCTCGCACCCACACAACCTGGCACACTCACATACTGACGCTCACACACACATACACACACTATCACCATATACATTGCTGCTACTATTTATGATATTTATTTATTTATTTATTTTACCCTTATTTTATCAGGTAAAATTACTGAGAATACATTCTCATTTACAGCAATGACCTGGGGAATAGTTAAAAGGGAGAGGAGGGGGGATGAATGAGCCAATTGGAAGCTGCTGAGTCGCTTTAAACCCTGATTAAACGTACATTGCTACCTCAACTATCACCAATATCCTTGCCATTGATACTGTGACTGGTATTGACCCTGTATATAGTGTATATATTCATTTTTGTATTTATCTATTCTCATGTGTATTTTATCTTCTAACTTAGTATTATTGCATTGTGAGGAAAAACTTGCAAGTAAGCATTTCACTGTACTGTTTACACCTGCTGTATCATGTTCAAGTGACAGAAAAACGTTGATTTTATTTGACACACACTAACACACTCACGCACGCTTGCACGCGCACACACATATACAGACACACACAGTGTAGTAGTAGGCCCTCTCTTGGCATTGTGAGAGGTCCTGCCAATGCAGTTTTAATGGGGCTCTGATGGCTTGTCGTCAGGCAGGGATTAAATGTTTTAATGTTGCTATTTCTCACTCCACTACTTTCAGCCTGGGAGAAGTGGGACTAGGGCACAGCCTTGGGGTTACAGAGCTCTAACTGGAACTAAGTTGTGTTAGCGCAATGACTGGAATTCTATGGGTATAGCGTGCTAGCAGAAACCCATAGACTTCCAGTCATTGTTTGCATTGGCTCACGAACTACCTCTAACTTCCTTCATACTGGACACCGAGACATAAAAATGGTATCCACGAGTTGATCTGACTTTAAGGCATGAGGAAGTAAAGATGAGAGAATGGGGTAGATGGGGGAGGGAGTGATTGAGAGATGATGGGGAGGTGAGGGTACGGGGGTTGAGAGAGAGGTGAATTATGGGGGAGAGGGGTTATGGGGAGATGAGGGGACATGGGGGAGCAGTGAGGATTCTGAGAGGAACACAGAGGGTCTTTCACTGTACCCTCACACACAGGGGAACGTTCCCATAGCTACCTCCGAGAGAGGGAGAGTGGGGGTGAGAGTGGAGAGGGAGTTAAGAGTTGAGAAACCCAAGAACACACTCAACACTGAGGGACCACAGCTCTAATGAAGGGTACAGGAACTGTGAGTGTATTTCTAAGTACGGCCAGGAGTGCCTGTGTGCCTGTGCGCGTGTCTATGTGTATGTGTGTGTGTGTGAGGAGGTCAGTTCTGGTGACTATTTAAAAGGACATTCTACTCCAAAATGAATGAAAATAAAATTATGCTGACATCTAGAATATAATTTCCCCCTCCAGAAATGAGCCCAATAATATATTGGTCCATATTATCAGGCAACTGTGCTATTTAGCAATAAGCATTATCACCTATAGCCCAACTGATGCAGCATAGTGGCTATAAATAAATAGGCTGAGGATTGCCCATCTGCATTTACCCTATTGGGCTCATCATTAGCTAGATCACAAACTCTAAACATTATCTTGTTGCTAGTTAGCAACATATTGATGACTTGAATGTCCCCAAAATACATTCCACTGGCACTCAGTCAAGGATCATGTACTGTGAATATAATGTAGGCCTACCTGTTAGGCTACACCTGACCTGTGTTTCATTAAGCTCCGGTCTCCCCTATGCATTCAACTCCAATGGTGCCATTGACCAGCGCTAACACGCATAAACAATGCTGCTGCTAGAAACTCTGGTTCTAAAATGGTGCGGTTTACTCATTTTTGGGATTTGAGAAATAAGTGTAGTAACACTAGAAAGCTCTGTCATCCTCCTCTTTTATCAGTGGCCATCAAAACTGCTTTCAAAGTTGTGTTTTCCCGCAACTGCATTAAGAATGTTGTACAATGACTGGGCATGCATGTTTCTCTCCCTGTGCGGCACTCACAATTTGAAAGCATAGAATTCAACATTCGCATAACCAAAGGTACCGGGTCTCAGCTCCACCTGGCTCTCATTTGGATCATACACTCTTAGAAAAAAGAAGTGCACTCTAGAACCTTAAAGGGTTTTTCGCCTGTCCCCATAGGAGAACCCGTTGAAGAATGTTTTTTGGTTGCAGGAGGAACCTTTTTGGTTCCAGGTAGAACCCTTTTGAAGGTTCTACCTGGAACCAAAAATGGTTATCCTATGTGGACAGCAGAAGAACCCTTTTGCAACCCTTTTTTCTAAGAGTGTAGGTGCCTGGTTTTGAACCTGGTGGGACAGGTTAACCCCTGTCATGCAGAATTCAATTGGGCATCATGTCAGCTCTATTCATTACATTTATCTGCAACGCTTCACCTTACTTAGTACACTCCAGATGTGATGTCTCAGGAGCCTGGGCCCCACTCTATTGTGATGCTTCCTGTTTTTCTTCCTGAGTTAAAGTCTGTTTTCTCAGTGTGATGTGATGATGCTGCCTTGCTAACTGTTTTCTCAGCGCAATGTGATGCAATGCTAAAAAGGCTGTGTAACAGAGGCAGGCACAGAGAGAGACAGTGCAAGGACACATCTTTGAGGATACTTTGTTTCAGGCTTCTGGCTGACAGCCATCACCTTCCACACACGCGGTAGCAAGACCACATTTACACATACGTTGGAAGAACACACTCACACACAAGCGCATGTGCACAAACACAAGATCACGCATGGGCAGACACACAAACACAAACTCTAAAAAGTTATTGAATTGATGCACAGAAAAACTGTTCAAAACCCTATATGTAGAGGCAGCAGAATAACAATAAAATAACAAAATTAACAATAGTGCCATTGTTTGTAGACCACTAATATATACTATTATACTGTATACAAGTTGACAATCTTTGCTAAGGTCTTGGTGCAGTCTGCCCCAGAGAAATATCCTACACTGTACCGCCACCTGGTGGTTCAATCATGTAAAAAACAACTGGAGGAAGATTTGTGCCTGATTACAGCTTGAACACTTTTTACCTACCTACCTCTTTGTTCCTTATAAATTATACAACATTTCAAAACTTAATAGGATCAGTATGAGGTTCATGGCCAAACATATCATTTTGTCAAATAGGAGGCTAAAATAACTTTAATTAAAAACAAGCTATCTAAAAATAGTCAGTGCATACAGTCACATATCCTTCATCACACAAAAACCCTGTCGGCTACATCCAAAGCCGCAAACAAATACTTAAAAAACATAATTATAAAAGCATCTCTGTAAAACAACAATAATAATACACGTCATTGCTTCTCAATACAGTCATATAAAGAGCAGAATTTGCTATAAAGCACACAAATAGAAGGGTACAGCATGTGACATTTTTTCTATGAAAAATATATAATTGTGCTTCATCCTTTGGCCACTAGGTGGTGTAAGCAAGCTAAAATATGTCTGTTGCACAATCTCTTCATTCATCCATCCATCCACCCAGTGTGTGTGTGTGTGTGTGGGGGGGGGGGGGGGGGGGGGGGGGGTTGTGTGATATCACTGCCTCAAGCTTTGATTTGGGCTTCAAGCTTTTGAACAGTGATATCACTGCCTCAAGCTTTACAGAGGAAACCCTCAAATCATGAAGGACTGGGTGTGTTCGTAGTTCTTGGGCTGCAGAAAGGGAAAGAGTATCTGTCAGTTCACTAGATCTGTTACTATTATCAACAACTCAGTCTTATCAACACAGTGATGTGGTCAACAACTGCTCAAAGAACAGTCCAATGTAAAACATGACCACTTCTCTACCAAGCCAATACTGATAGTAGAAGAACTAGGGTTGAGAACACACTCACGTTTCTGGTGGGAGGAGGTGGATTGTAGGAGTTGGTGCTAAAAGAAAAAAGACAAACACCACAATTAATTATTTTATTTTTCAGATTTTTTTTCTGTAAAGAATAGCTTTAACTAATGAAATGAACTAATGAAAAACACCATGATAAGTTCCCAGAATGGTTGTCTGAAACACTAACCTTCTTCCTTTGTGCTCCTCTGTTGGAAAACATGAAGAACAGGACAGTTAGAAAATATTGTTCATTTTATCAGCCAGTCACAAGCTCAGTCAGTAGTGGTAAGTACTCACTCTTTTTGCAGCAGCCCCGTCGATGACAGAGACACACACCCAGGCAGCACATGACAATGAGCAGGAAGAGACCTACAGCTCCGGCTATCAGTGTCGTCATACTCAACTCATCTGAAAGAGGGGGCACAGAGGGACGAAGAGATGTGATAGGGGCAGAGAGAGAAAGGCAAGAACGTTAAGGAGGATTGATGATTGGAAAAGAGAGAGAGGGTGAAAAAAAGGAAAAGAAAAGACAGAAAGGGTTCAAATTTCCACAAACATTCTAACAACACACTGGATTGTACATACATTCTATGACCTTCATGTGATGGGCCACACAGCTCTTGGGCGCCCCCACGCTGTTGGATGCCTCACAGCGGTACTGGCCTGAGTCGGCCTTGGACACACTCTTGAACTTCTGCTCCGGAGACACACAGAGAGAGGAGAGAATTGGTGAGGACAGAAAGAGAGTGTGTAGTGTGATAAAACATAATTAACGTGCCTTTGAACCACCTCCATTACATGTTACTCACCAGTGTTCCCTTGTCAGTGTCCATGCTAAAGGAGGTGTCAGTTGTGTGTGTGGTGCTCAGGGCCTTGTTGTCTTTGTACCAGATGTAGGTAGGAGGGGGTACACTGAGTTTGTCCTTACAGTGGAGCTCTACCCCTACCCCAGACAGCACTGAGCTGGGCACCTCACAGGACGGGGTGTGGGGGGGCACTGGGGGAGGAGGATAGGATTACTAACGACAGCACAAAGGCCCCTCAGCACAAATACACAGACATCCTCAATCTCTCTCTCTCACACACACACATCCACACGCACACACACGCTCACCCAGTACGTTGAGGGTGACGTTAATCTCTCCCAGGTTGGTGTGGTCTGCTGGAGCACTGACCTCACAGCGGTACAGGCCAGAGTCCTTCTGGGTAACGGCGTGCAGCGTCACCGTCGCCCCCTCGATCTTGGCCCGACCTGCAAAGGATCCTGGGATACCACAGGGGTCAAGGGTTACAGAGATGAGAGAGAAGGGGTAAAGAGAGGAAAGAGAAGAGGGGGAGGAATGTAGTGAGAGATGGAGGAGAGGTGGAGTGGAGCAGTAGAGTAGAGCCAGGGAAAAGGTTGAAGAAAGAGCGGCGAGGAGGAAGAGAGAGAGGTCTAGTAGTTACCGCTGAATTTGCCATTGAAATAAACAAAGGTGATGTCCTTCCCTTTCTTCTTCCACTCGATACGAGGGTTAGTCTCCTTCTCTGTCTTGAACTGACAGGATAGCACAGCGTCTGACAGAGATAGAGACACATTTACATTTTTAGTCATTTAGCAGACGCTCTTATCCAGAGCGACTTACAGTTAGTGAATAATTTGTTTTATTTTATTTTTTATACTGGCCCCCCGTGGGAATCGAACCCACAACCCTGGCGTTGCAAACGCCATGCTCTATCAACTGAGCTACATCCCTGCCGGCCATTCCCTCCCCTACCCTGGACGACGCTGGGCCAATTGTGCGCCGCCCATGAGTCTCCCGGTCGCGGCCGGCTGCGACAGAGCCTGGATTCGAACCAGGATCTCTAGTGGCACAGTTAGCACTGCGCCACAATTCATCCCCTCCCCTCCTATTGATCATCTTCCTCCTCTCTTACCTGTGTTCTCATGGACCACCACTTTGGCCTTACGGGTGCTCACTGTCAGAGAGAGGGAGGCAGGACCTGAGACAGCGAGAGAGCGACAGCGAGAGAGAGAGAAAGAGAGAGAGAGAGAGAGAGAGAGAGAGAGAGAGAGAGAGAGAGAGAGAGAGAGAGAGAGAGAGAGAGAGAGAGAGAAGTGATTCATGCGTAAATAATACACACAGCAGCACTAAACGTTAACTATTTGTAGCATCGTTTCTAACTTCAAACTTTCTTAAATACAAAAACTTTATGTAAACATTGTCTGAACTGAGATGTGTACTACACAGTCCAGATTGGGCTGAGGGGGGTATTTCAGAAGATATTTGTTTGAGAAAGAGGAGACAAAAATCCAGACACAGACAGACAAAGAGACACACACACAATGCAAATTCTCATTCCCTTACTATACACACTCACTAACACATGTACACACACACAGAGCGAGGCAGAGTAAACCCACAGAATGGAAATGTCCTGGTACCTGGTGTTACCAGCAGGAATGTAGTGTGTAGGAGGAATGGAGGTGATGGATGGCAGACTACTGATCTCTACATGACCTGATTAACCTACACACACACACACACTTAAACTAACATAGGAATACACACATACTGAAACAACACACAAATATCAACACAGGCAAACACATTATCTGGGAGATTATTTGTTTATACTCTCTCTCTCTCTCTCTCTCACAAACATTTTACATTTTAGTAATTCAGCAGACGGTCTCATCCAAAGCGACTTACAGTAGTGAGTGCATACATTTGTATACTTTTTTGTACACTCGCAGACAGTAGATGGAGACAGCTGCTGGTCATCCACTATCACTTCAAGGTCCCTGTCCTTAATCTTTTTGACTCTGTGTTTGTGGCGGGGGGGGGGGGGGGGGGGGGGGGGTCCCTCTACACAAAGCCCCTCTGTTTCACAGTAACTTTACCCTTGACAGAGGGCTTTTAACTCTCTCTCTCGCTATCACACACACACATCAGTCATCTAACCTAACTGTAATTGCTGATATTACATCACATTTCTTTGGACCAGTGAACAGTGATAACCCTTCCCATGGCCGTTTGGAAGAACAACCTCAAACACTACAGAGAGTCTATAACCATTCCAGATAGCAACTGATTGATTCCATCTCTGGCCAATTAGAAACTGGGTCATGGAGGGGCTATCAACAACATTAAACAGGACCATCGCCTGCCTGCACGAGGCATCAGAGAGATTGGCTCTCAAGAGCCCTGGAGCCCCTCAGAGGTCTGGCCTTTCATCAGCCTCTGGATCTCTGGGTCTCTGGGCTTGGACAGCATCAGAGGGTCTAATGTAAATAGAAGATCTGTACGATCCCTGTCCCACTCTTCCCAACCCCAACGCATGCCCATCCCAATCCCTAAACACATTATACACCAAACCTAACTGTTTAAAGTGTGCTCAGTCTCAGGGACATACAATACATATATATAGCTTACATACACGCACACACACACACATGCACACACACACACACACACACACACACACAGCTTGATGGAAAATGAAGTGGGGGGCTGTCAATGTTTTGACCCATAGTTGCACCACACTTCCCCAAACCATCTTGCTGCTCAATGTGTACATTTATGTTTTTAAAACTGTAGTGCACTGTGGTTTATGTTGTAAATGTTTCTGAAACTTTGTGTGCTGCTATTTTGGCCAGGTCTCTCTGGTAAAAGAGATTGTTCATCTCAATGAGACTAACCTGGTAAACTAAAGGTAAAATAGATCGAAAATCATCAAACATCAACACCATAGCCTGTATGGTATTGAATAATACTATCCTGTATTAGTCATATGTATGAATGTTACAGTATGCATGACTGTTCATTGACTCCCCTTGAAATCGTATTTTCAGTCAAAATATCCATTAGGCCAAGATAAAACAAATAACAGGCTGCATCTCCATCTAAAATACAAATACTCACTCTGCACCAAGACGAAGAGGATAAGAGACAAAATTCCCATGCTGTCCATAGTTCTTCCAGTGAATTGAAATATCCTAGAATGATGTTTGAGTGTCTGAGAACTTACGCTCCAGACAAGACTGATGAATTTCCAGACTTTCAGAAGTTCTTGAAGTTTTCTATGTGCGCGCTCCCGATGGAGACCATCTCATCTTGCGGAGATACTCAGCGCGCGCTCACCACGACACAAGCGTCTGTGGTTTTGTCTATAGTTGGCAAACGTTTTGTCCTCGAGGAGGATTTTTGTCTGTGTATTTCGGCCAACAGAATATGTAGGCAGTAAACGGTTATGAACAATGTTATTAACGAATAATGGGCCAATTGATATACTGTCGCAATACACCACCCAGCAAACACACAACCATCTCACAACGTTCTCTAAAAGTTGTGGGACTTAAAGATGCACTATGCAGAAATCGCTCCACCATTTCCTGGTTGCTAAAATTGTAATAGTTTGCCTAATTTCAGCTTATGTGACAAAACAAGCAAGTATAGTGTAGAGAATCACTGTACCATCTACTAAACCTCTGTGAAATATTTTTTCCATAACCAAAAATATTGTATTTTGAAATTAAAAGCTGCAAAAACTAAACTTAAGAACGGGAAGCATAGAAATAGCACACATATAACATATCTACTGCGTCTTAGACTTGCTTTCAATGAGAATGGCAGAACTATAACACACATTTCTATGTGAATTTGGTTGGGTCGCCCAAAAAGTGACATGTTGCAGCTTTAATGTGTCATTGCTGCTACCATGTATGTTAGATATAGCCTACAGTAGCCAAAATAGTGATAAATTAGTAATTTTCTACCAATTTGTTGCACACATCTTTTCTCTATCAATTTGTGACAAAGGTGTACTTTTCTTGTTGTCTTGTTGAGTTAACTAGTTCTAAGTTGTGGTAACATTAATATTTGTGTTTGTGCTCATTGTACAATCTAGGCTACAGCACTGTTTTTGAGAATTGAGATATTTTGTATGTTTTTATTTTATAAATTTGTGGTTGTTATAAGTAGGGCCATGCTTTTTAGGCACTTTGTATGGCACTTTGCTTTTACCGATATTTCCAGCATTATCCACTAGTGTTGCTGCAGCTAGAAAATCATAGGAAATGTTATTTAATTGAGACAAGCTGTCTCCAATCAATCAATCAATGTCTGGAGTTGCATATGTTTGGCGGGGGGAAGGCCTGAGCCAGGGTAGACGTAGCTCTGCGAATGTTGATTGCACAAAACCTATTATTTGGCAGGGAATGCTATTTGTAGATTAATGATTCTACTACACCACACTTTGCTCAAGCATATCCTCTCCAACAGACTCGGAAGTTGTAGCAAAAAATGTGTCAATTAGGGGCAGTTAAAGGTGAGAGTCAATGAAACCAACCAAGTATATTGTAGCAAATTCGGGTGTAGCCCCGACCGGGACTTGAACTGGGGTCTAGCGGGGTTTGGACCTCTTGGAGGAACAGTTAAGGTGTTGCTTTGACAGTTGCTGGACATTACAGGAGGCTGCTGATGGACGGATGGCTCATAATAATGGCCAGAACAGAGCAAATGGAATGACATCAACCACATAGAAACCATGTGTTTGATACCATTCCACTAATTCCGCTCCAGCCATTAACACAAGCCCGTCCTCCCCATTTAAGGTGCCACCAACCTCCTGTGCTGGCGCATGCACACACACAGATGGAGTTGAGAAAACACACTGCCATTGTTCTGTCCTATAGATGGAGGTGGCTTTGGGAGGTCTATAGGCTCCACACACACACAGGGGATCAGAGTGTGGACAGCTGGTTGGGCTACTGTGTCTCTGCTCCCCTAGATCATGGGTAATATGTGTCTCACCACTCACATTCACTCAGACAAGTACATACTGTCATACATTTAACATGTAGGTACATTCACACATTCACACACACACACTGCTGTGGCACCTGTTCCCAAGCCACTGTCTGTGCAGCTGCTGTGTTGAGAGAGGACCCTGCTGCTGTTAGCTCAACACACACACACACACACACAACATATGATGGAGGGGTTGACATGAAACCCCATTGCCATTACCCACAACCATTCCCTCTGACCACAGGGAAACATTCATCAACAGCTATACCATATTTACTACCTTTTCTTGTCAGGCCACTAAAATGGATAAGAGACTGATTACAAAGCGCAAAGCTGCAATAAATACAGTAGCAGATCAAAGTTCACAAAACAAAACGTGAGTGATAGATTAATGACAGGCTGATAGATAAAGCTATACTGTACATGCAGCGTAATTCCTTGTTTTTGCTAGCAATTGTTTTAGGAACTTAAGCTAAATTATCTATAAACTAAACTAATAAACACTGAAGGGGAGGGGCTATTGGGTTGCTTTAAGACTGGACCTCAGTCTCTTGTCCAGTGTCCTGTCAGACCTCTTTGTTCTGTAGTGACCTGAATCAGGAGGTTGATCCCTAGTGGGATTGGACCAGTGGAGGCTGCTGAGGGGAGAACGGCTCATAATAATGACTGGAACAGAGCAAATGGAATGGCATCAAACCATGTGTTTGATGTATTGGATTCCATTCCACCGATTCCGCTCCAGCCATTACCACAAGCCCGTCCTCCCCAATTAAGGTGCCACCAACCTCCTGTGGATTGGACCATACTAGCCAATACTGTACTTCTGTCTGAACAAGGACCATACTTTTGACCACATCCCAAACCAGGAAAAAGACTTGGCCCTAGTCATGAAGACATACAGTGGGGGAAAAAAGTATTTAGTCAGCCACCAATTGTGCAAGTTCTCCCACTTAAAAAGATGAGAGAGGCCTGTAATTTTCATCATAGGTACACGTCAACTATGACAGACAAATTGAGATTTTTTTTCTCCAGAAAATCACATTGAAGGATTTTTAATGAATTTATTTGCAAATTATGGTGGAAAATAAGTATTTGGTCACCTACAAACAAGCAAGATTTCTGGCTCTCACAGACCTGTAACTTCTTCTTTAAGAGGCTCATCTGTCCTCCACTCGTTACCTGTATTAATGGCACCTGTTTGAACTTGTTATCAGTATAAAAGACACCTGTCCACAACCTCAAACAGTCACACTCCAAACTCCACTATGGCCAAGACCAAAGAGCTGTCAAAGGACACCAGAAACAAAATTGTAGACCTGCACCAGGCTGGGAAGACTGAATCTGCAATAGGTAAGCAGCTTGGTTTGAAGAAATCAACTGTGGGAGCAATTATTAGGAAATGGAAGACATACAAGACCACTGATAATCTCCCTCGATGTGGGGCTCCACGCAAGATCTCACCCCGTGGGGTCAAAATGATCACAAGAACGGTGAGCAAAAATCCCAGAACCACACGGGGGGACCTAGTGAATGACCTGCAGAGAGCTGGGAACAAAGTAACAAAGCCTACCATCAGTAACACACTACGCCGCCAGGGACTCAAATCCTGCAGTGCCAGACGTGTCCCCCTGCTTAAGCCAGTACATGTCCAGGCCCGTCTGAAGTTTGCTAGAGTGCATTTGGATGATCCAGAAGAGGATTGGGAGAATGTCATATGGTCAGAAATTTTTGGTAAAAAGTCAACTCGTCGTGTTTGGAGGACAAAGAATGCTGAGTTGCATCCAAAGAACACCATACCTACTGTGAAGCATGGGGGCTGTTTTTCTGCAAAGGGACCAGGACGACTGATCCGTGTAAAGGAAAGAATGAATGGGGCCATGTATCGTGAGATTTTGAGTGAAAACCTCCTTCCATCAGCAAGGGCATTGAAGATGAAACGTGGCTGGGTCTTTCAGCATGACAATGATCCCAAACACACCGCCCGGCAACGAAGGAGTGGCTTCGTAAGAAGCATTTCAAGGTCCTGGAGTGGCCTAGCCAGTCTCCAGATCTCAACCCCATATAAAATCTTTGGAGGGAGTTGAAAGTCCGTGTTGCCCAGCGACAGCCCCAAAACATCACTGCTCTAGAGGAGATCTGCATGGAGGAATGGGCCAAAATACCAGCAACAGTGTGTGAAAACCTTGTGAAGACTTACAGAAAACGTTTGACCTGTGTCATTGCCAACAAAGGGTATATAACAAAGTATTGAGAAACTTTTGTTATTGACCAAATACTTATTTTCCACCATAATTTGCAAATAAATTCATTAAAAATCCAACAATGTGATTTTCTGGAATTTTTTTCCTCATTTTGTCTGTCATAGTTGACGTGTACCTATGATGAAAATTACAGGCCTCTCTCATTTTTTTAAGTGGGAGAACTTGCACAATTGGTGGCTGACTAAATACTTTTTTCCCCACTGTACATTTGCAGTTCAGAAAACAGATTTGGCCAAGTCCATTGTCATTAAATCTTTAATCACATTCAAAATACCCAAAGGAAATTGGCAAGTGCAGGATCACAAAACAATGACCACTTTACAGTTAAATTGCCATTCTGTAGCCTGATGTTATACATTTGCCGCTGTGAGAAGCAGGAACTACATTCACTATGGAGGATGGCGTATACCGTGACCGCATAGCAATCCAAAGGTTGCATGTTCGAATCTCTTCAGGGACAACTGTAGCATTTTAGCTAACCATTCCCCTAACCATTTTCCTAACCTTAACCTAATTCTCCTAACCTTTTACATACATTTTCCTAACCTTTGTCATTTTAGTTCTCCTTACCTTTTATGTAAATTCTCCTAACCTTTGTCATTACAATGAAAAAAGCAGCCTGGCCTCAGAGAAAGACATATAATGCTATTCCTCCTCCAAGATGTATGATAAGCTACGTTATACAATTCGTATGATATTGTACAACCAGGTGAGGCGTATGATACTATAGATCCTCTATTTTCATATGATATTGTACGACCGTAATTCCATTCATAATGTAACCTAACGTAACGCAATATATCATAATAAATGAATGGAGGGAAACATAATGCATACCAAATCCTACAAATTGCCCTGAGACCAGGTTGTGTCTTGAGTACTCTGTGTTTCTAACTGTTATTTCTCTCCCTGTCTAGATGAATATGAAGACTCTGGTCTTGTCTATCAGGGTTGTTTTGCTCAACACGATCAGATTTCCACCATAAAACAAATGTCCAAAAATAGTAGAACCAGCTCGCCTGCTTTTACTCTATGATTTGACTATTATACACTACCAGTCAAAGGTTTGGACACAGCTACTTATCTTTATCTTTACTATTTTTTACATTGTAGAATAATAGTGAAGACATCAAAACTATGAAATAACACATATGGAATCATGTAGTAACCAAAAAAGTGTTGAGCAAATCAAAATATATTTTAACTTCAAATAGCCACCCTTTGCCTTGATGACAGCTTTGCACACGATTGGCATTCTCTCAACCCGCTTCATGAGGTAGTCACCTGGAATGCATTTCAATTAACAGGTGTACCATGTTAAAAGTTAATTTGTGGAATGTATTTCCTTCTTAATGCGTTTGAGCCAATCAGCTGTGTTGTGACAAGGTGGGGGGGTATACAGAAGATAGCCCTATTTGGTAAAAGACCAAGTCCATATTATGGCAAGAACAGCTCAAATAAGCAAAGAGAAATGACAGTCCATCATTACTTTAAGACATGAAGGTCAGTCAATACAGAACATTTCAAGAACCTTGAGGCAATTGTGAGAAGAATCTAGCTGAAACCTGCTGAACTGAACCATCCGGAGCAGGAGAAACCAGAAGAACTGAGCCTTCCAGTGCAGGATACACCCGAAGGGCTGAGCCCTCTGGTGCAGGAGAATCTAGTGGAACCCAGCCTGGATGTGCAAGTGATTCCAGTAAGACATGAAAAGCCTACTGAATGGATGCCAGTGGTACAGGATAAACCAGAGACATAAGACACTGTGGAGCTGGAGAAACAAGTAGAGAAGACCCAGGAGGATCTAGTGGAACTGAGCCATGTCGAGCAGTGGAAACTAGAAGAACTGAGCCTTGTGAAACCTGATGGGCAAGAGAAATCAGAAGAACTGAGCCCTGTGAGCCCTGTCAAGCAGGAGAAAGCAGAATAACTGATCCCTGTGAGCCCTGTCAAGCAGAAGAAACCAGAAGAACGGATCCCTGTGAGTCCTGTCGCACAGGAGACACTGAAGTAAGATGCGGCCCCTGTGATGGAAGAGGAGTTGGTGGATGTGGGCCCAGCAGCAGAGGATGCTCAGCCTGAGCAGGAGATGGAGGCTGAGATGGAGGAGGATCTACTGAGGATGGAGATGGAAGATCCAGAGATGGGGAATCAAGAGTTGGAAGAAGCAGAGACGAGGAAAATACAAGATCCAGAGCAGGGGTTAGATATGAAAAACCAGAGATGGAGATGGGAAAACTAGAGATGGAAGAACCAAAGATGGCAAAAGATAAGCCAGAGATGGAGGAACCAGAAGTACAGATGGAAACAAGGGTAGAAATGGCACCTGAATTAGAAATGGAGCCAGAGGAGGAGATGGCACTTGCAATGGACAAGGGGCTAACTCAACAAGAGGAGGGCCCTCTCATGAAGGGTGAATATGTGATGGCTGAAGAGCCAATCATGGAGTTGGAACCACTACCAGAGGACAGTCTGATTGAAAAGTATGGGAGAGGAGGCAGGCCTATGGATGGCAACAAGATGGCTCCAGAGATTATGTATCAGTTTTATCTGGAAGAGGAGCCAATGTCAGAACTGGAGCCATTGCTAGGGGAGGGGCCTGGTTTAGAGGAAGACGATGAGTATGTAATGGCGGAACAACCAAATCATGGAGCTGGAGCCTGAGATTAAGGAGATAACTTTTGGAGAGTATCGAATCATGACAGATTACACCATCACGGGGGAGGAGTCAGTGATGGAACTGATGTAAGACATGGAGCCTATGATGGAGGGGGAGTACTTCTTGGCTGAGGAACCAATCATGGAGCTGGAACCTGAAATGAGGGAGGCGTCTTTCCCTCAGCATTATTCAAGGGCAGACTCGGCTGTGATGGTAGAAAAACCAATGATGGAGTTGGATCCTCTAGAACAGGGGTTCCCTAACTTTTTCACTCGGGCCCCCTTTCCAGCATTGGGGAACATCCCGCACCCCACCTGCACGCGCGCACACGAGCCACGTCTATTTCTATGGGCACAAGCACTGTTCATGACACAAACTGTTCACACCCCTCTTGTTGGTGGAGAGAATTTTGGAGGTTTAAAGCTTATTTCCTGCAATTCTACACATTTTGTCATGGGTGCAAAGAAAATGTAGCAGTTTTAAAGCTAATCTTCTTGCAATTCTATACATTTTGCCATGTCTAATGTGTATTCATGTGATATTTGAGAAATTAAAACAATATCTATGGGCTAAAAAACCTAAATAAAATAAAAAGCTGACTAACATGGCAAGAGGAACTGAAATTTCGAAATTGCACTTTGTGCATTCTACTATTACAACTTTCAAGAGTAAGTTTAAAGCCAGACTCAGTTCCTTAAAAAAATAATTTTTAAAAAGTTTGGGAACCACTGCTCTAGAAGGTGAGAGGACTCTAAGTGAAGAGTGTTTACTATTAGAGGAGAGGTTTCAAGTAAGGGAGAGGCCTCTCATGGAGCAGCCAAGGATGGGCGAGGGCCCCATGACGGACGGAGCGGCGTACATGGGAAAGGGAAAGGGGGATATCTAGTCAGTTGTACAACTAAATGCATTCAACTGAAATGTGTCTTCCACATTTAACCCAATCCCTCTGAATCAGAGAGGTGCGGAGGGCTGCCTTAATCGACATCCACGTCTTCGGCGCCCGGGGAACAGTGGGTTAACTGCCTTGCTCAGGGGCAGAACGACAGATTTTTACCTTGTCAGTTCGGGATTCGATCCAGCAACCTTTTGGTTCCTGGCCCAATGCTCCTAACCTCATGGGGAGGAGCCAGAGCCCTCAGAGGCAGTCTTTAAATATGGAAGAGGGGGGCTAATGGAGAACATGGACTTGAACCCACAGGTGAGAGGGATGGGAGGGAGAGGGGGAGGAGGGGGTACACACACACAAGTACATGTAGAATAATGTTGCAATTCTGCTTTCTACCACAGGGAGGAGCTCCTGCAGTGGTGTGGTCCTGGAGGGTAAATGCTACCAATTATTCAGAGGCCCAAAGAAGGCTGCTGATGCGGAGGTGAGTAGGAACTCATTCCTCCTGTTTCATGTTGTATTTAGTTTTCTCAATCTCTCCAGCTTGTCTCTTTCTGAATCGTTCACCATCTCTAATGCAACAAACATGTACACATTTAATCAGTGTTTTCTCTGCTCCTCTGCAGTTCTACTGCCAGGCTAACTTCCCTCGTGGCCACCTGGCATCCATCACCAGTCAGACCATCCACAGACAGGTCATGGACCTATTGATTCAGCAGAAATGGGAATACACACGCACCTGGGTCTGAGGGCTGCGCTACCTGGACGTGTGTGTGCGCATCCTGTGTTTTTTCATATTTGGTTAGACACTATTTTCTATTCTTTGCTCTGTCAGACTGGTCACTTCATCTGGTTGGATGGTACCCACTGGCCTGAAGATAGGCTGCCTGGCGAGCCCAATCACACGGCAGGAGTGGAGGACTGTCTGGAGCTTCTGGCAGTTGGTACATATGACTGAAAGCCAACTAATCATGCAGTGTATTCTTGAAAATATGTCCATATTACGTATGGGATATGGCAGGATAGCTATGGATAGTATAATGACGTATACAATTGAATAATACTTTGCTGTTCTGTTAGGTGGGCTATTATTCATTTGTTTGTTTTCTGCTATTCAGGAAAAAGGAAGTTCAATGATATGCCATGCTGGGATCTGCGAGCGTTCGTCTGCTCTTACCCTGTCTAGAAACGGAGTAGGATAAAGTTGCCCCTACTAGACACTGATCGAAGATCAGATTGCATTCTTCACCCCAATGTTGAGGATTTGGGGTGGGTAAGCTGATCCTAGATCTGTACCTAAATGCATCCTCTATCCTGAGCTCTAGGAACACAGCGGTCTCAAATTCTGTGGCCCTTGCACTATGGGTAGAAAGACAAATTCAACTCCATCTTTCTTCGAATCAGATTGCTTATTCATCCAAAACCATTTTACGTTGCCAATTATTTTAATGATTACTTCATTGTCAAAGTGGGCAAACTTAGGCAGGAAATGCCAACAATGAACAGTGAGCCATCGTATTCATGCATTAAAAAAACTAATAATGAAAGAAAAGCATTGCAAGTTTGAATTTTGTAAAGTTAGTGTGGGAGATGTGGAAAGATTATTGTTTTCGATCAATAATGACAAACCTCTTGGCATTGACCAACTGAGGATGGTAGCTGACTCTATAGCCTCTCCTATCTGTCATATCTTTAATCTGAGCCTAGAGGAAAGTCTTTGTCCTCAGGCCTGGAGGGGAGCTAAAGTAATTCCGCTACCCAAGAATGGTAAAGCGGCCTTTACTGGTTCTAACAGTAGACCTATAAGCTTGCTGCCAGCTCTTAGCAAACTGTTGGAAAAAATGGTGTTTGACCAAATACAATGCTATTTCTCTGTAAACAAATTAACAACAGACTTTCAACATGCTTATAGGGAAGGGCACTCAACATGTACTGCACTGACACAAATGACTGATGATTGGCTGAAAGAAATTGATAATAAGAAGATTGTGGGAGCTGTACTGTTAGATTTCAGTGCAGCCTTTGATGTTATTGACCATAACCTGTTGTTGAAAAAACGTATGTGTTATGGCTTTTCAACCTCTGCCATATTGTGGATTCAGAGCTATCTATCTAATAGAACTCAAATAGTTTTCTTTAATGGAAGCTTCTCTAATGTCAAACATGTAAAGTATGGTGTACCACAGGGCAGCTCTCTAGGCCCTCTACTATTTTCTATTTTTACCAATGACCTGCCACTGGCATTAAACAAAGCATGTGTGTCCATGTATGCTGATGATTCAACCATATACGCATCCGCAACCACAGCTAATGAAGTCACAAAGAATTGCAGTCTGTTTTGTGGAATGGGTGGCCACTAATAAACTGGTCCTGAACATCTCTAAAACTAAGAGCATTGTATTTGGTACAAATCATTCCCTAAGTTCTAGACCTTAGCTGAATCTGGTAAAGAATGGTGAGGCTGTTGAACAAGTTGAGGAGACTAAATTACTTGGAGTTACCTTAGATTGTAAACTATCATGGTCAAAACTGACTATCCTACCGATCCTTGACTTCGGCGATGTCATTTACAAAATAGCCTCCAACACTCTACTCAGCAAATTGGATGTAGTCTATCACAGTGCCATCCGTTTTGTCTCCAAAGCCCCATACACCACCCACCACTGTGAACTGTACGCTCTTGTTGGCTGGTCCTCACTACATGTTCGTCGTCAAACCCACTGGCTCCAGGCCATCTATAAATCACTGCTAGGCAAATCCCCGCCTTATCTTAGCTCATTGGTCACCATAGCAGCACCCACCCGTAGTCTGCGCTCCAGCAGGTATATCTCACTGGTCATTCCCAAAGCCAACACCTCCTTTGGCCGCCATTCCTTCCAGTTCTCTGCTGCCAATGACTGGAACGAATTGCAAAAATCTCTGAAGCTGGAGACTCTTATCTCCCTCACTAACTTTAAGCATCAGTTGTCAGAGCACCTTACCGATCACTGCACCTGTACACAGCCCATCTGAAATTAGCCCACCCAACTACCTCATCCCTATATTGTTATTTATTTGCTCTTTTGCACCCCAGTATCTCTATTTGCACATAATCTCTTGCACATCTAGCATTCCAGTGTTAATACTAATTGTAATTATTTTGCACTATAGCCTATTTATTGCCTTACCTCCATAACTTGCTACATTTGCACACACTGTATATATATTTTCTGTTGTACTTTTTTTTGACTTTATGTTTTTTTACCCCATATGTAACTCTGTGTTGTTGTTTTTATCGCACTGCTTTGCTTTATCTTGGCCAGGTCGCAGTTGTAAATGAGAACTTGTTCTCAACTGGCTTACCTGGTTAAATAAAGGTGAAATAAAAAAGAAAATAAAAAATATAGATTCAATGGTTGTAAAGATGGGGAGAGGTCAGTCCTTTATAAAGAGATGCTCTGCTTTTTTGACACCACACTCCAAAAAGCAAGTTCTGCAGGCTCTTGTTTAGTCTAATCTTGATTATTGTCCAGTCGTGTGGTCCAGTGCTGCAAGGAAAGACCTAGTTAAGCTGCAGCTGGCCCAAAACAGAGCGGCACGTCTTGCTCTTCATTGTAATCAGAGGGCTGATATAAATACTATGCATGCCAGTCTCTCTTGGCTAAGAGTTGAGGAGAGACTGACTGCATCACTTCTTATTTTTATAAGAAACATTAATGTGTTGAAAATCCAAAATTGTTTGCATAGTCAACTTACACACAGCTCTGACACACACACTTACCCCACCAGACACGCCACCAGGGGTCTTTTCACAGTCTCCAAATCCAGAACAAATTCAAGAAAGCGTACAGTATTATATAGAGCCATTATTGCATGGAACTCTGTTCCATCTCATAATGCTCAAATAAACAGCAAACCTGGTTTCAAAAAAACAGATAAAGCAATACCTCACAGCACAACGCCTCTCCCCTATTTGACCTAGATAGTTTGTGTGTATGTATTGATATGTAGGCTAAGTGTGCCTTTAAAAAGAAATGAATGTAGTTCTGTCCTTGAGCTGTTCTTGTCTATTAATGTTCTGTATTATGTCATGTTTCATGTTTTGTGTGGACCCCAGGAAGAGTAGCTGCTGCTTTTGCAACAGCTAATGGGGATCCTAATAAAATACAAAATACCAAACCTGTGGCCTCTCTTGAACCTAAACTGTCAGTTCCACTCTGAATCTCAGGAAGTTTCCAGTTTGAGCAACTTGGGATTCAGTTACCTGACTTGGTGAAAGCCATTTTTAAATGTGTAACTGCATTCACACTGTAAGATATTATTTCTAAACTTCTAAATGATGTTATATTTTGAAGACAGGAGAACTATGTTCATATGTTAATGTATTTTAAAGCCTTGAGACATGGATTGTGTATGTGTGCCATTCAGAGGGTGAATGGATGGGCAAGACAAAATATGTAAGTGCCTTTGAACAGGGTATGGTTGTAGGTACCAGGCGCACCGGTTTGAGTGTGTGAAGAACAGCAACGCTGCTGGGTTTTTCATGCTCAACAGTTTCCCATGTGTATCAAGAATGGTCCACCACCCAAAGGACAGCCAGCCAACTTGACACAACTGTGGGAAGCATTGGAGTCAACATGGGCCAGCATCCCTGTGGAACACTTTCGACACCTTGAGTCCATGCCCCGATGAATTGAAACTGTTTGATGGCAAAAGGGGATGAAACTCAATATTAGGAAACTGTTCCTAATGTTTTGTACCCTCAGCGTATACAACCCATATATGACTCACATACAGCCCATATTAGTCCCATACACTACACGGCCCATATACAGCGTTCTCTTCATCGGCCTCACAATTCCAAACGTTCCAGTGTTTTCTGCATGTCGTCTGTAGGATTAGGGAAGAGCTACTCTGTCCAAGCGAGCGTTAGTTCCCGGGCCAACAGTCTCCCATGGCGTCGAAGGCTGCATACATCCAGCTCTAGTATTTTAACTCTATCTCATTGTCCACTGGGATGGTAAATAGTGTGTGTGTATCTGTGTGTGAATATGTGCAAGTGTCTATGAGAAGTTGAAAGAATAGACTGAACTACTGTACACCCATCCACATATCGCCTTAAGAATTAGAGGAGCTTAGCACCCACAGAAACACACACACACACACAGTATAAAGCCTGCTGAGACTCACACATAGCTGTGTATGAGTGTGACTCATTTTCCATTGGACTACAGAGGCTGTTAATGGGCTTCTGAGAAAGAGGCAGCATTAGCAGCTCTCAGGTGACAATCAACCCTGTCTAATCATTTTAATCACTAATTACCACACACACAGAGAGATATCACACACAAACTCATAATACAAATTCTCTCACCTACAAACACAAACTGAAATGGGCACCCATGCTCTCTCTCCCACTCCATCCCTCTTTTGCTCTCTGTCTAATTCCAGGCAGTGGTTGAGAAAGGCAACCTATCACTGTGAGACAATTGAGGCCTGTTTGGGTGATGATCAGAAACAAGGTCATTGTTCATGCACCGGGAACAAGGCCATTGGCAGGGTTTATGAGATCAGCCCTCACAATACAACTCCAATCTATTACTGGCATTGAAATCTAGACCAGCTTTGCATTGATTGCATTACATGAAAATGGCAACCTTATTCAATCATATCTGGAGATTAAACACATTCAGGCCAGGTTAGTCACATTCACCAAACAGAGTGTTCCTCTGAAGAATGTTATACTGTTGAGCCCTTTCACCACTCAATTTCCATTGAGAATGCTTTTCAGTCGAGGACTAACCAAATATAAAATAACAAACAAAACAAAAAAAGGTTGAAAAAAATAATACATTTTCTGGGATTTAAAATTGGCCAAATAATGTATTAAAAAAATATATATTTAATAAATGTTCAATACATTCAAACATATTACAGAATGTATTTAAAATGTATACTAAACAAAAATATCAACGCAACATGCAACAATTTCAATGATTTTACAGAGTTACAGTTCATATAACGATATCAAGCAATACTTTTAAATAAATTCATTACACCCTAATCTATGGATTTCACATGACTGGGCAGGGGAGCAGCCATGGGTGGGCCTGGGAGGGCATAGGCCCACCCACTGGGGTGCCAGGCCCAGCCAATCAGAATATGTTTTTCCCCACAAAAGGGCTTTATTACAGACAGAAAGACTCCTCGGTTTCATCAGCTGTCTGGGTGGCTGGTCTCAGCCGATCCCGCAGGTGAAGAGGCCAGATGTGGAGGTCCTGGTCTGGAGTGGTTACACGTGGTCTGAGGTTGTGAGGCCGGTTGGATGTACTGCCAAATTCTCTAAAATGACATTGGAGGCAGCTTATGGTGGGGAAATTATCAACAGCTCTGGTGGGCATTCCTGCAGTCAGCATGCAAATTGCACGCTGACTGTGTGACAAAAATGCACATTTTAGAGTGGCCTTTTATTGTCCCCAGCAATAGGGGAACCTGTGTAATGAACATGCTTTTTAATCAGCTTTTTGATATGCCACACCTGTCAGGTGTATGGATTATTTTAGCAAAGGAGAAATGCTCACTAACAGGGATGTAACAAATGTGTGCACAAAATTGAAGAGAAAAAAGCTTTTTGTGAATAGTGAAGATTTCTGGGATTTTTTATTTCAGCTCATGAAACATGGGACCAACACTTTACATGTTGCGTTTATATTTTTGTACAGTATATATATATATATATATATATATATATATATATATATATATATATATAAACAAAGCAAAAAAATAAACGTCCTCTCACTGTCAACTGCGTTTATTTTCAGCAAACTTAACATGTATAAATATTTGTATGAACATAACAAAATTCAACAACTGACACATAAACTGAACAAGTTCCACAGACATGTGACTAACATAAATGGAATAATATGTCCCTGAACAAAGGGGGGGTCAAAATCAAAAGTAACAGTCAGTATCTGGTGTGGCCACCAGCTGCATTAAGTACTGCAGTGCATCTCCTCCTCATGGACTGCACCAGATTTGCCAGTTCTTGCTGTAAGATGTTACCCCACTCTTCCACCAAGGACATTTCTGTGTGGAATGGCCCTAGCCCTCACCCTCCAATCCAACAGGTCCCAGACATGCTCAATGGAATTGAGATCCGGGCTCTTCGCTGGCCAAGGCAGAACACTGACATTCCTGTCTTGCAGGAAATCACGCACAGAACGAGCAGTATGGCTGGTGGCATTGTCATGCTGGAGGGTCATGTCAGGATGAGCCTGCAGGAAGGGTACCACATGAGGGAGGAGGATGTCTTCCCTGCAACGCACAGCGTTGAGATTGCCTGCAATGACAACAAGCTCAGTCCGATGATACTGTGACACACCGCCCCAGACCATGACGGACCCTCCACCTCCAAATCGATCCCGCTCCAGAGTACAGGCCTCGGTGTAACGCTCATTCCTTCGACAATAAACGCGAATCCGACCATCACCCCTGGTGAGACAAAACCGCGACTCGTCAGTGAAGAGCACTTTTTGCCAGTCCTGTCTGGTCCAGCGACGGTGGGTTTGTGCCTATAGGTGACATTGTTGCCAGTGATGTCTGGTGAGGACCTGCCTTACAACAGGCCTACAAGCCCTCAGTCCAGCATCTCCCAGCCTATTGCGGACAGTCTGAGCACTGATGGAGGGATTGTGCGTTCCTGGTGTAACTCGGGCAGTTGTTGTTGCCATCCTGTACCTGTCCCGCAGGTGTGATGTTCGGATGTACCGATCCTTTGCAGGTGTTGTTACACGTGGTCTGCCACTGCGAGGACGATCAGCTGTCCATCCTGTCTCCCTGTAGCGCTGTCTTAGGCGTCTCACAGTACGGACATCGCAATTTATTGCCCTGGCCACATCTGCAGTCCTCATGCCTCCTTGCGCAGATGACCAGGGACCCTGGGCATCTTTCTTTTGGTGTTTTTCAGAGTCAGTAGAAAGGCCTCTTTAGTGTCCTAAGTTTTCATAACTGTGACCTTAATTGCCTACCGTCTGTAAGCTGTTAGTGTCTTAACGACCGTTCCACAGGTGCATGTTCATTAATTGTTTATGGTTCAGTGTTTAAACCCTTTACAATGAAGATCTGTGAAGTTATTTGGATTTTGACCCAGAGTTACCTCTGCTGCAGAGGATAAGTTCATTAGAGCTACCAGCCTCAGAAATTGCAGGCCAAATAAATGTTTCACAGAGTTCAAGTAACAGACACATCTCAACATCAATTGTTCAGAGGAGACTGCGTGAATCAGGCCTTCATGGTCGAATTGCTGCAAAGAAACCACTACTAAAGGACACCAATAATAAGAAGAGACTTGATTGGGCCAAGAAATACGAGCAATGGACATTAGACTGGTGGAAATCTGTCCTTTGGTCTGATGAGTCCAAATTTGAGATTTTTGGTTCCAACTGCCGTGTCTTTCTGAGATGCAGAGTAGGTGAACGGATGATCTCTGTATGTGTGGTTCCCAACGTGAAGCATGGAGGAGGAGGTGTGATGGTGTGGGGGTGCTTTGCTGGTGACACTTTCAGTGATTTTTTTAGAATTCAAGGCACACTTAACCAGCATGGTTACCACAGCATTCTGCAGCAATACGCCATCCCATCTGGTTTGGGCTTAGTGGGACTATCATTTGTTTTTCAACAGGACAATGACCCAACACACCTCCAGGCTGTGTAACACTAACCTTTTGCTTCCCTTTGATATGTTAAGTAGAAATGATGCACCAATATTGCATTTTAAAAGCCTGTTTTATGAAATGAAGTGCCCTTTAATATAGACCACATGGAGAATTCAATAAATCACATTTTCAATATGAATAAAGACTTGCATTTTGTCCCACTGTGCACCCTCTGACTTCTAGGAAGATTTTAGCCCACTTACCACACAAAATACTCAAAGTTTTCACCATCATTATAAAGCCCAAGTTATTTTGTTTCTTTGATTAAGTTATTTCTAAAGATTATTATTGATTTAATTTGATAAGTGATTCATTTACGTCTGTCCCTCATTTTAAAGTCAACCCTGTTACGTGAACTGAACTCTCATTTTAATATGGTTTAACTGTTCCTTTTTAAATATTTCAGACCTACACTTTGACTTATTGTGGAGCATGCACTATGTATAGTTTTTGTTTAAAATCTTTTTTTTTTTTTTATCCAATGAAAAAAAGACTTATTTTATTTTTTATTTTATTAAGCTGAAGAGTGGCACTTACTATAGTTATTTTTTTCTTGAAATGGGAAAAAGTTTTTGTTTATGAAGTTGAACATGTGCTCTTTATGACGGAATATAAACATTTGGTGAAATACGTTTTCTTTTTTTCACCATCACTATTTTAATTATATTACTGGCTTGGTGGCCCAAAAATGTGATTCCGTTGATCAATATGTCAAGTCTAATTTAACAAGCCGAATTAGGAACCACTTTGGCCACCCTGTAGGCTAGATATCATAGCCATGCATTTCTGCAATATTGTCAGGCATTACATGCATTTGAGAAAAGATGCAAATGTCTCTACATGTATTTTAAATACATTTTATGTCACGTTAAATATATTGAAAAACATTTTTTTTCTGCTATGGGTAGGCTTAATCTGTGTCTGAGAAACTGTCCCTCTGTATTAAACCAGTGTTTTTGTATTCCATTGATATGAAACTTATTCTGCAGCTGTTGCTACTGTGCGTGTGTGTGTGTGTGTGTGTGTGTGTGTGTGTGTGTGTGTGTGTGTGTTTGTGTGTGTGCATGCGTGTGTACGCACGCATGTCTGTGTGTGTGTACAGTCTCTAAGCCCAGACACACCTGTTTCTGCAGAGGGCTATGAGAAGGAATAAGCCCGCAGCCTGCCTGACTAACACACATAGACTCTACTCCATCAACCCTCAGTCATAAACTACATGAGCTATAGGCCCATCCATATTTGGCATACTCTAGCCTCTCAACTGTTCACCAGACATCCACTGCCATAGTCTCACTGAAAGACCCCAAACCAACTGTTTACTGTTAGTCAAACAAGACTGGTCATATAAATGACAACTACATCTCCCACATAGCACAGTCCCATGATCTATTCTGCTCACCTGTCTCTCTTGGATACAACTGGGATGGTATTAACTCACATGGTATTCCATGCCTCTCCAGATCAGCTATTATCCAGCGGAGTGACAGGAGATCAGAATCCTCTGATCTCCTGTCTCCTCAGTCCTGCCCATCAAAGATCTGCTCATAAAAGAGGAAAGGCATTGAAACAGGCTGTTCTGTTCTCCTGTACATAATCACCAATCAAACAACCCTCTTACTGCCTAACATAAAACATAAACTATTTGAGTGATCCTGTGCTTTGACTGGTATGAGTGTTTTGATATTGAGCAATATCATTTACATGACAACGAGCCTGGCTTATAGATTTACAGACTCAGAAATCCTGTCATCTGTTAGTGTCAGCTGGCTCTAGTCTGTGTGTGGTTATTCGTGCATGCATTTGTGCGAGAAAGAGAGGGATGGTGGAATAGAGAGAATACAGGCCAGGGAGATAATCAATGATAGAGAGAGAGAGAGAGAGAGAGAGAGAGAGAGAGAGAGAGAGAGAGAGAGAGAGAGAGAGAGAGAGAGAGAGAGCGAGAGAGAAAGAGAGAAAGAGAGAGAGAGAGAGAGAGAGAGAGAGAGAGAGAGAGAGCGAGAGAATTGTGGTGAGAGAAACAGGAGAGGAGAGACAACTCATTCCCTGGTCAGTGCTGACAGGGAGGAGAGGGGGTCATGTCCGGGTCAGCGATACTTGACCCCACAAACTAACATCACACAAAACACTAACTTCATAAGATTTCCACAAAGTGCAAAGTGTAATCTGAGCCATAGGCAGTAACCACGATAGAGAGCAAGGGCACCCTTAACGCATGCCTATCTAACTCTAAGTCCATATCTCATATTATTGTCATACTCTCATAAGTCTGGTTTAAACGGGCTGCAGGTAGTCGATATGGGATCAAACCATGTTTTCCAAACTTAGTGGAGGAGGGTATTGCAACTCAGAGGCTCTAAAAACATTCCTTAGGGGGTTGCAAAATACTGCTGGATTTCATTTCATGACACCGCACCACACACAAAGGTGAGAACAATGAGGTCGGAGTCATTAAAACTCGTTTTTCAACCACTCCACAAATGTCTTGTTAACAAACTATAGTTTTGACAAGTCGGTTAGGACATCTACTTTGTGCATGACACAAGTAATTTTTCCAACAATTGTTTAGAGACAGATTATTTCACTTATAATTCACTGTATCACAATTCCAGTGGGTCAGAAGTTTACATACACTAATGTTGACTGTGCCTTTAAACAGCTTGGAAAATTCCAGAAAATGATGTCATGGCTTTAGAAGCTTCTGATAGGCTAACTGACATCATATGAGTCAATTGGAGGTGTACCTGTGGATGTATTTCAAGGCCTACCTTCAAACTCAGTGCCTCTTTGCTTGACATCATAGGACAATCAAAAGAAATCAGCCAAGACCTCAGAAATTGAATTGTAGACCTCCACATGTCTGGTTCATCCTTGGGAGCAATTTCCAAACGCCTGAAGGTACCACGTTCATCTGTACAAACAATAGTATGCAAGTATAAACACCATGGGACCAAGCAGCCATCATACTGCTCAGGAAGGAGACGCGTTCTGTCTCCTAGAGATTTACATTTTACATTTTAGTCATTTAGCAGACGCTCTTATCCAGAGCGAATTACAGGAGCAATTTTAGGGTTAAGTGCCTTGCTTAAGGGCACATCGACAGATTTTTCACCTAGTCGGCTCGGGGATTAGAACCAGCGACCTTTCGGTTACTGGCACAACGCTCTTACCCACTAAGCTACCTGCCGCCCCGCTTGAATGAACGTACTTTGGTGCGAAAAGTGCAAATCAATCCCAGAACAACAGCAAAGGACTTTGTGAAGATGCTGTAGGAAACAGGTACAAAATTATCTATATCCACAGTAAAACGAGACCTATATCGACATAACCTGAAAGGCCGCTCAGCAAGGAAAAAGCCACTGCTCCAAAACCGCCATAAAAAAGCCAGACTACGGTTTGCAACTGCACATGGGGACAAAGATCGTACTTTTGGAGAAATGTCCTCTGGTCTGATTAAACAAAAATAGAACTGTTTGGCCATAATGACCATCGTTATGTTTGGAGGAAAAGGGGTGTGGCTTGCAAGCCGAAGAACACCATCCCAACCGTGAAGCACGGGGGTGGCAGCATCATGCTGTGGGGGTGCTTTGCTGCAGGAGGGACTGGTGCACTTCACAAAATAGATGGCATCATGAGGAAGGAAAATTATGTGGATATATTGAAGCAACATCTCAAGACATCAGTCAGGAAGTTAAAGCTTGGTCGCAAATGGGTCTTCCAAATAGACAATGACCCCAAGCATACTTCCAAAGTTGTGGCAAAATGGCTTAAGGACAACAAAGTCAAGGTATTGGAGTGGCCATCACAAAGCCCTGACCTCAATCCTATAGAACATTTGTGGGCAGAACTGAAAAAGCGTGTGCGAGCAAGGAGGCCTACAAAACCTGACTCAGTTACACCATCTCTGTCAGGAGGAATGGGCCACAATTCACCCAACGTATTGTGGGAAGCTTGTGGAAGGCTACCCAAAACCTTTGACCCAAGTTAAACAATTTAAAGGCAATGCTACCAAATACTAATTGAGTGTATGTAAACTTCTGACCCACTAGGAATGTGATGAAAAAAATAAAAGCTGAAATAAATCATTTTCTCTACTATTGTTCTGACATTTCACATTCTTAAAATAAAGTGGTGATCCTAACTGACCTAAGACAGGGAATTTTTACTATGATTAAATGTCAGGAATTGTGAAAAACTGAGTTTAAATGAATTTGGCTAAGGTGTGTGTAAACTTCCGACTTCAACTGTATACAGTACCAGTCAAAAGGTTTGGACACACCGACTCATTCAAGGGTTTTTCTTTATTTTTATTATTTTCTACATTGTAGAATAATAGTGAAGACATCAAAACTATGAAATTACATTTTAGTCATTTAGCAGACGCTCTTATCCAGAGCGACTTACAGTTAGTGAATACATTTTTTTTTTTATACTGGCCACCCGTGGGAAACGAACCCACAACCCTGGCGTTGCAAACGCCATGCTCTATCAACTGAGCTACATCCCTGCCGGCCATTCCCTCCCCTACCCTGGACAACGCTGGGCCAATTGTGCGCCGCCCATGAGTCTCCCGGTCGCGGCCGGCTGCGACAGAGCCTGGATTCGAACCAGGATCTCTAGTGGCACAGTTAGCACTGCGATGCAGTGCCTTAGACCACTGCGCCACTCAGGAACACTCATAACACATATGGAATCATGTAGTAACCAAAGAAGTGTTAAACAAATCAAAATATATTTCATATTTGAGATTCTTCAAATAGCCACCCTTTGCCTTGATGACAGCTTTGCACACTCTTGGCATTCTCTCAACCAGCTTCACCTGGAATGCTTTTCCATCAGTCTTGAAGGAGTTCCCACATATGCTGAGCACTTGTTGGCAGCTTTTCCTTCACTCTGCGGTCCGACTCATCCCAAACCATCTCAATTTGGTTGAGGTCGGGGGATTGTGGAGGCCAGGTCATCTGATGCAGCACTCCATCACTCTCCTTCTTGGTAAAATAGGCCTTACACCGCCTGGAGGTGTGTTGGGTCATTGTCCTGTTGAAAAACAAATGATCATCCCACTAAGCCCAAACCAGATGGGATGGCGTATCGCTACAGAATGCTGTGGTAGCCATGCTGGTTAAGTGTGCCTTGAATTCTAAATAAATCACTGACAGTGTCACTAGCAAAGCACCCCCACACCATAACACCTCCTCCTCCATGCTTTACGGTGGGAACCACACATGCAGAGATCATCTGTTCACCCACACCGCGTCTCACAAAGACACGGCGGTTGGAACCAAAAATCTCCAATTTGGACTCCAGACCAAAGGACACATTTCCACCAGTCTAATGTTCATTGCTCGTGTTTCTTTGCAGCAATTCGACCATGAAGGCCTGATTCACACAGTCTCCTCTGAACAGTTGATGTTGAGATGTGTCTGTTACTTGAACTCTGTGAAGTATGTATTTGGCCTGCAATTTCTGAGGCTGGTAACTCTAATGAACTTATCCTCTGCAGCAGAGGTAACTCTGGCTCTTCCATTCCTGTGGCAGTCCTCATGAGAGCCAGTTTCATCATAGCGCTTGATGGTTTTTGCGACTGCACTTGAAGAAACGTTCAAAGTTCTTGAAATTGTCCGTATTGACTGACCTTCATGTCTTAAAGTAATGATGGACTGTCGTTTCGCTTTGCTTATTTGAGCTGTTCTTGCCATAATATGAACTTGGTCTTTTACCAAATAGGGCTATCTTCTGTATAGGCCCCTACCTTGTCACAACACAACTGATTGGCTCAAACGCATTAAGAAGGAAATAAATTCCACAAATGAACTTTTAAGAAGGCACACCTGTTAATTGAAATGCATTCCAGGTGACTACCTCATGAAGCTGGTTGAGAGAATGCCAAGAGTGTGCAAAGTTGTCATCAAGGCAAAGGGTGGCTACTTTGAAGAATCTCAAATATAAAATATATTTTTATATGTTTAACACTTTTTTGGTTACTACATGATTCCATATGTGTTATTTCATAGTGTTGATGTCTTCACTATTATTCTACAATGTAAAAATAGTAAAAATAAAGAAAAACCCTTGAATGAGTAGGTGTGTCCAAACTTTTGACTGGTAGTGTACATGGAGAGTGACCCTCTGGTATCAGACACCAGTGCCCGCTGAGCCCTCCGAACCGGAGTACCCTGGCCATTCCCTGGTATGGGCACTGTGTTGCCAAGTCTGCTGTTAAATTTGGACTAGCAGAAAGTTATCCTCCGCTTAGGTTCTACACTAACCCGGATACACACAGACGCACACACCAGTGGAGGCTGCTGAGGGAAGGACGGCACATAATAATGGCTGGAACGGTACAAATGGAATGGCATCAAAGACCTGGAAACCATGTATTTGATACCATTCCACTCATTCCGCTCCAGCCATTACCATGAGCCCGTCCTCCCCAATTAAGGTGCCACCAACCTCCTGTGGCACACACACATAAACATCTTTGAACATGGTGACTTCACTTGGCTCCATGTGAGTGGGATCAGTGGACAGTGGAGAGGGCTTTAGTCAAAGTGGGGGTCTGGCTTTAGGCAGCATATCTGTCTCCCGCTCTCTCTGACTGTTACTATCATACTAGCTAAGTCTGACATTCCCTCCCTCCCGTAATTATAGCTCAGTGTTTTGGAGGGCGTGTTTAAAGGGATGCTGGCCAGTTATAAACACAGGATGCAGAAGGACAGTCACAAAGACAGAGAAAGAGACCACCACCTCACACAGGTCTGTATTACATATCATACATCATCCCATCTTATCTCATTTATTCTGTTCAATTTCATTCAACTTTATTAATCTCTCTGGAGCATGAGTCATTGAGTCTGCAAGCCTCCTGAACATTAATATGTGGATATTAATGTGTTTGCATGTGTCTGTAAAAGCCTTGTTACATTCTAACTTACTGGTATTAATGATGCTCCATTCTGATACTTACTAACACCATCTTAGTGATGTGAAGTCTGGTGATTGTATGTGTGGAGAAGGGAAACTGTAAGTGCATGGAACTGAGGGAGGTCGGTGATGTATTCCCTTTCAGAGCCTGAGAGGACTGCTGCTGATGGTTGGTTATAAATAAGTATTTATTTGGGCCCGAACCCAGACAACCAGACCCAGGGGAGATAGGGTAGCAGCAGACTCACCATTGCCCAGTCCAAGCTTTCTTGGCTGGGGTAACAGACTTCCATAGGCTGCCCACACATGTAGGATAACAAATACAGTATTCACACACACACACAAACACACTAGTGCGATGGAGGCACACACAAGGTCAACTAAAGTGTAGTCTAATGTCAACAGTGTTCTGTGACGATGGAGACCTCCTCTACAGCCAAACAGTCTGACCAGGAGGTTCCCAAGAAAGAGAGGACAGATGGAGAGCCTGGTGAGAACAGGGAAGAAGAAAAGACACCACAGGTGGTGGAAAATGGAACAGCCGGTGAAGGAAAGCAGTGGTTTCCTAACCTTAACAGTAAGGAATGGTGACTGATCTAGTGGAGAAAAAAATATGAACTAACACTCACTCCTACTAGCACAGACTTTGCTGATGACTACTTTATTGAGGAGAAATGTACTATGACTGTGATATGTGGTTGTCTCACCTAGCTATCTTAAGATGAATGCACTAAATGTAAGTTGCTCAGGGTCAGAGCGTCTGCCAAATGACTAAAATTATTTTAGTTTTGGGATCAGAAAACTGTATTGAGATCAAATGTTTTATCGGTGAGAAAATTAGCAGAATGTTTGCAAAAATCCATCTCACTGCATCTTCTCCCACTGCCAGCCACTTGGCTTTCTCTCATCACCAAATTTGGTGGTGAGTGGAAATGCCAACCGGATGCTTCAGATTTATACATCCTGTGAAACATCTGTCTCATTGTTCGATCTGTGGTTGTGTGTAATGGTCAGTCTTCTGTTGTGACCATGTGTAGTAGTGATTATTAAAATGTTGGCCGTCCAGTGTTGTGTAGAGTAACTGGTTGTATTGTGGTCCTGTCCTCTACAGTGGTGTCTGACCGTAAGCAGATGGCCGTGGAGGCGTTGGACAGACGGAACGTCTGGGAGCCCAGTGTTTACTACACCCTGGGAAAGGAGTCCTTCTTCATCGCTGGTCATGAAATATGCATCCGAGAGTCTCTGGACTCCTACGGCGCCCTCATCTGGCCGGGGGTGAGTTCTACAGATGCTCACCGACAGTGGAATATGATGATAGAAACACATTTTTACAAGGAAGAATGTAAACGCAATGCACTTAATTCATATTGACTGATCTGGATTTACTAACAATCATTGTGTTGATAGTTGATCGTAGTCATGATGATGATTATGATAATGCTGATGATGATTGTGTGTGTGTGTAGGCGGTGGCTCTAAGTCAGTTCCTGGAGAATAACCGGCAGCAGGTGAATCTCCTGGATAAAGCAGTTCTGGAGATCGGGGCAGGGACAGGCTTACTGTCTATTGTGGCGAGTCTACTGGGTGAGTCTGTCCATCAGTCTCTTAGTCAGTCTGGCTAACTATATATTGGCCACTGGCCAGTCTACTGGGTGAGTCTGTCAGTTGGTGACATGGTTTGACAGACTGATTAATTTGACTGATTGACTGTTTGTTCCCTTGTGTCCTGTTTTCCAGGAGCCTGGGTAACGGCCACCGACCTGCCCGAAATCCTTCCCAACCTGACCTTTAACCTCTCTCGGAACACCAAGAGCCGCTGCCGCTACACGCCCCAAGTGACTGCCCTCACCTGGGGTCAAGACCTCGAGAGAGACTTCCCCTGCACTTCCTGTCTCTACGACTATGTTCTGGCAGCCGATGTGGTGTATCACCACGACTACCTGGAGGAGCTGCTGGCGACCATGCGCCACTTCTGCAGACCAGGAAGTGGCACCACGCTCCTGTGGGCCAATAAGGTGAGGTTTCAGTCGGACATGAGGTTCAAGGAGCGCTTTGAGAGTTGTTTTAATACGACGCTGCTGACAGAGCTAAAGGAGGGGGACGTGCGGATCTACAAGGCCACGGCACGGGAGTGAGAGAGAGGAAGAGACGATAGAAGTGGAGGGGATAGTGAGACATTAAGGAGAAGAGGGATGGAGAGACCAGGGAGGAGAGGAGCTAAACTCAGAGGAAAAGAGGTGAGAAATAGAAAGAAGAGGTAGAGGTTGTTCTCCACTGTGGATGAAACAGGAGCTCACTAGCTCACTACAGAGAACGGACCGCCTGGAACCCATTCTGTTGTGCCAAGTCATCCTCGGGATGGGTACGTTCACCTCATCAGCATAGACTTATTAGACAGACAACAAAAGCGGATTCTATGTTTCAATGACATTCCTGTGAGCTACATTATATTTACAATCTGTGTCATGCAGAAACTCAGAACCCAAAATAACAAAAAAACATGTGACTTTTCAAAATGCTATTTTATCTACCTGTGTTTTTTTTTCTTCATACATTTGATAGTGACAAATGTTATGTTAATAAATTTGCCTTGCACTAGTGTGAAAAATGTGTTCCTTTCTCCCCACGTACACATAGTCTGCATTGACAACACAGATATACTGAAAGTTACTGTAAAAAATCTACAAGAGACAGTATCACCTCCATTTACGACAATGGTTTACAGACTAGTTTAATAAGAAGCTAAACACTAATATTTATATACAGTGCCCTCCTGAATTATTGGCACCCTAGGTAAATACGAACAAAAACGGCTGTGAAAAAATGTCATTGTTGTTTATCAGCTTGATCTTACACTGATCTTACACTGTAATGATCATATGCATTCATCCTTTCAAAGAAAATAAAGTCATCAACAAATCATTATCTTATTCAGAAACATGCATGTCACAATTATTGGCACCCCTGCATTTAGTACTTTGTGCACCCTCCCTTTGCCAAGATAACAGCTCTGAGTCGTCTACTATAATGTTTGATGAGGTGGGAGAATTAAGACCATTCCTCCATACGGAAACTCTCCAGATCCTTCAGAGTCCTTGGTCCTCGCTTGTGGACTCTCCTCTTCAGCTCACCACACAGGTTTTCAATGAGGTTTAGGTCTGGGGACTGGGATGTCCATTGCAAAAGCTTGATTCTATGGTCAGTGAACCATTTTTGTGTGGATATGGAGGTATGCTTTTGATCCAATGACGACAAAGTTTTAGCCTCCTGGCAGAAGCCAGTTTTCCCTTTTGGCCTAAATCTCCTGGTACTTGATGGAGTCCATGATGCCATGTACCCTAACAAGGTTCCAAGGGACTTTGGAATTAAAACAGCCCCACATCATCACAGATCCACCACCATACTTCACAGTGGGGATTAGGTTATTTTCTGCATGCCCATGGCTCTTTTTATACCAAACCCACCTCTGGTGTTCGTGCCAAAAAGCTCTATTTTAGTCTCATCAGACCATATAATCTGGTCCCAATCAAAGTTACAATGACATTTAGCAAACTCCAGGAGCTTGCATGTGTGGTTAGGTGACAGCAGAGGCTTTCTTCTGGCAACCATTCCAAATAACTTGTTGGCATGGAGGTGGTGTCTAATTATAGTTTTGGAGACCCCAAGATGTAACCAACTTCTGCAATTCTCCAACTGTGATCCCTGGATATTTTTTTGCCACTTAAACAATCCTTCTCACTGTGCATGGGGGCAAAATACACTTGCGTCCTCTTCCAGGCAGGTTCAGCACAGCTCCAGTTGTTTTACATTTCTTATTGCCTTAATAGTGGAAATGGGTATTTTCAGGCATGTAGCGATCTTTTATAGCCATTGCCTGATTGATGAAGATCAACTTCTCTAATTTCATTTGTGTGTTCTCTGGCCTTTCCCAGGTTGATGGATGACTAAGTGAGTTTAGCCTGTGCGTCACCTCATATTTATACCCCAGTGAAACAGTGAGTCTTGGATGAACTTTTAAAAGTAAAATCTTAAATCAGAATATACATCAATTAGATTTTGTTCATACGGATTTCTAGGTGTGGCAATAATTGTGACACGCATATTTGAATAAAATAACTTTATTGATGCCGATTTCTTTATTTAGATTTTTTTTTTACTCAATTAAAAGGTTAGATTCATATGGTATTTTGAGTGTAAGATCAAGCTGATAGACAACTACATTTTTTCACAGCCTTTTTTGTTAATATTTACCTAGGGTGCCAATAATTCAGGAGGGTACTGTATATTTACAGAACGGCAAGATTTCATGTTTCTTAGCACATTTCACTAGTGCTAGTGAGTTATACTACCGGTTTGTTACGTTTCATTCACACACACACACACACACACACACGTCTTGATGATGCCAAATGATCTGTCTGTATGCTTTGAGAATACAGAATAATATATATTGCTGAGCCCAACTGAATTATGGAGGTCCAAAGCCCTTTTAATAATCTCACTCTAGGATCAGCGAAACAGTCTCTCAGTCTCAACCAATGAGCAGTCCATACCACTCAAGTGTTCCATCTCCATGGCAAAGTTGATGTGTCCAGGTGTCATTGTCACGAGGGCAGTGTATGTCCCCATCAAGTCCTCTGAGGTTTGGATTTTATGACAGTTTTTCCCTTTGTGATATCATCAGTTGGAATTTTCCATTACTAGTGTACTAAACACAACATCACCGCAAAGGGCTACGGTTGGTCTGGTCCGGAATGTCTGCGCTCTGCATTTTTCGTCCTTAGTTTCCACAGCGACTGTCACGCCAAGCAGCAGGTGGATGACTTGGGCTGTTCCAAGATAGACTCCCTGCGCAGGTCGTTCGGAATGGCGCCTGCGTGTCCCCACACGTTGAGCTCGCCATAGATCCCGGTCTCGATCATCTCCTCCTGCCAAGGGATGGGGATGTTTCCAGAGGAGGACTCGTTAAAGAACACACGGTCAGGGTCGTCCAGCCCCACCCCCTTCACCGAGGAGAACTCCCCCACAGCATCCAGGTCCTTGGCGTAGACCACCTTGGAGTCGGGGACAAACAGAGGGAGCAGGATGCCTGTAGAAGAGAGGGGAGGGGGTTAGAGAGACTTGCAGAGGAAACTTCATAGGGCGGGATGGTGCGGGATGGTGTGCTTCTGAAGTCTGTCTTTGTGGCAGCTGTGGGATGACCTACAGTTGAAGATGGAAGTTTACATACACTTAGTTTTTCAACCACTCCACACATTTTTTGTTAACAAACTATCGTTTTGGCAAGTCGGTTAGGACATCTACTTTGTGCATGACACAAGTAATTTTTCCAACAATTGTTTACAGACAGATTATTTCACTTATAATCCACTGTATCACAATTCCAGTGGGTCAGAAGTTTACATACACTAATGTTGACTGTGCCTTTAAACAGCTTGGAAAATTCCAGAAAATGATGTCATGGCTTTAGAAGCTTCTGATAGGCTAACTGACATCATATGAGTCAATTGGAGGTGTACCTGTGGATGTATTTCAAGGCCTACCTTCAAACTCAGTGCCTCTTTGCTTGACATCATAGGACAATCAAAAGAAATCAGCCAAGACCTCATAAACTAAATTGTAGATCTCCACAAGTCTGGTTCATCCTTGGGAGCAATTTCCAAATGCCTGAAGGTACCACGTTCATCTGTACAAACAATAGTACGCAAGTATAAACACCATGGGACCACGCAGCCGTCATACCGCTCAGGAAGGAGACGCGTTCTGTCTCCTAGAGATTAACGTACTTTGGTGCGAAAAGTGTAAATCAATCCCAGAACAACAGCAAAGGACCTTGTAAAGATGCTGGAGGAAAAACAGGTACAAAAGTATCTATATCCACAGTAAAAACGAGTCCTATATCGACATAACCTGAAAGGCCGCTCAGTAAGGAAGAAGCCACTGCTCCAAAACCGCCATAAAAAAGCCAGACTACGGTTTGCAACTGCACATGGGGACAAAGATCGTACTTTTGGAGAAATGTCCTCTGGTCTGATGAAACAAAAATAGAACTGTTTGGCCATAATGACCATCGTTATGTTTGGAGGAAAAAGGGGGATGCTTACAAACCGAAGAACACCATCCCAACTGTTAAGCACGGGGGTGGCAGCATCATGCTGTGGAGGTGCTTTGCTGCAGGAGTGATTGGTGCACTTCACAAAATAGATGGCATCATGAGGAAGGAAAATTATGTGGATATATTGAATTAACATCTCAAGACATCAGTCAGGAAGTTAAAGCTTGGTCGCAAATGGGTCTTCCAAATGGACAATGACCCCAAGCATACTTCCAAAGTTGTGGCAAAATGGCTTAAGGACAACAAAGTCAAGGTATTGGAGTGGCCATCACAAAGCCCTGACCTCAATCCTATAGAACATTTGTGGGCAGAACTGAAAAAGCGTGTGGGAGCAAGGAGGCCTACAAACCTGACTCAGTTACACCAGCTGTCAGGTGGAATGGGCCAAAATTCACCCAACTTATTGTGGGAAGCTTGTGGAAGGCTACCTGAAACGTTTGACCCAAGTTAAACAATTTAAAGTCAATGCTACCAAATACTAATTGAGTGTATGTAAACTTTTGACCCACTGGGAATGTGATGAAAGAAATTAAAGATGAAAGAAATAATTATCTCTACTATTATTCTGACATTTCACATTCTTAAAATAAAGTGGTGATCCTAACTGACCTAAGACAGGGAATTTTGACTAGGATTAAATGTCAGGAATTGTGAAAAACTGAGTTTAAATGAATTTGGCTAAGGTTCCGACTTCAACTGTACATAGAAACCAAGCAAAATTATAATGGCCCAAATACAGCCCACATTTAGAATTTACCATTTGGTTCAGTTATCACTTGGAATTAGCATCCTTACCTGCGTCTAGTCTCCTCCAGTGGATGCCGCTGAAGAAGGGGTGTGCCCTGATCTCGTCACAGGTCCCGTTCTTGAAGCCTGGTCTCTGGTCCACCTGTTTCTCCAGCAGCCCAGAGCAGATGGACTTGCCGTTCTCACTGAATGTCTCTGGGTAGACTACCGTCCCGGTCATGATGCACTCCTTCAGCTCTTCCTTCTCAACCTGACCAGAAGACGACCGCAGGTTACAGACATTACATCAAAGACCAACTCCGGGCCAGGAGAGCTACTGGGTGTACAGATTTTTGTTCCAGCCCTGCACTAACACACCTGAGTCAAATAATCATGGTCTATGAATGAAGATTGAAAAACAGGTGTGTTAGTGCCGAGATGGAACAAAAGCCTTCAGACTCCAGTGGCTCTACAACACGACCAGAATTGGAGACCTCTGACTTAAACGGATTAGCCTTCACACTTATCCAGTGTGCACTTTTCAGTTTGAAGAGTGAAGGCATGAAAGGGAGGAGGAATAGAGTGGGTTACCTTCTCCCCTCGTTCCCTGAACGGGTTCTTGGCGGCCATGAACTCAAACATCGTAACCCCCAGGGTGAAATAGTCCACTGAGGTGTCATACTTCTTCCCCTTCAGCAGCTCCGGGGCTATGAACCCTTGGGGCAGAGGACAAAAGGTTAAAAGGTCAGTCACAAGAGCCAGAATGGCGCTTCTTGGAGACACTAAACGTGAGACCCATTGTGAGATGAGGTCGGGCAGTTGAGACTGACCTGGAGTTCTGCCATAGCCTTTGATCTTTGTCTGGTCCTTTTTTAGTTCCACAGCCAGACCCAGGTCAGAGACACGCACATTACCTAAGGACAACATTTGGCCAACGTCGCATCACATCACACAAACGTGTGTGTATCTCAGTGTGTACCTTCATTGTCCAGGAGAACGTTCTCAGGTTTGAGGTCTCTGTAGATGATTCTCTTCTGGTGAAGGTGCTCCATGTGTAACAGTACTCTTCTTGCGTTGTGTACAATCAATCATCAACACAAACTCCATCTTGTAACACCAGTCATGGAGCTTTATTCTGATAGGAACAGCACAAAATTGCACGTCATGCAATGCATGGCTCACCATCCAACTCTGCACTCACGCACGCTGGTTTGGTGCTTGTTCACTGGGACATGTAGTTACCAAAATAATACAATTACAATATCTTTAATAATGTAGCTGATAGGAACAGCACAAAATTGCACGTCATGCAATGCACGGCTCACCATCCAACTCTGCACTCACGCACTGTACAAAATATACAAACCCCCCACCAGACACAGTAAGTTGCTAGCTAGTATTAGCTGGAATTCTCTACAACAAAATGCACAACAAATATTCACCAAAAAACGCTGCATCTTATGTGTGATGTTCGAATAACATTTACAAACAAATTGATATAAATTATACATTTACATCATCACTTGGGAGTATAAAAATCACTTTTGACGTACAGTGCTTTGCAACCAACAACTTACCGCTGGTTTGGTGCTTGTTCACTGGGACGATTCTAACTGAAACATCCTCCCTCTTAAGCAAGCTACGCAAACCAGCCAATAAGATGCCATGTTGAGTAGGTGAAGGCAAGACAAAACCAAAAACCCATTGGCTTAACAATAAAGTGGCAAGGGGAATCACCAATATAACCCTGTTCCACATGCCCTGGATGATCTGGGCAGCATAGAAACAGGCTCTAGGCTCCTCAAACCCTGGGTTGTTCTCATCCACCAGGTAGATGTGGTATCTACTCCTGAGTGGCGCAGTGGTCTAAGGCACTGCATCGCAGTGCTAACTGTGCCACTAGAGATCCTGGTTCGAATCCAGGCTCTGTCGCAGCCGGCCGCGACCGGGAGACTCATGGGCGGCGCACAATTGGCCCAGCGTCGTCCAGGGTAGGGGAGGGAATGGCCGGCAGGGATGTAGCTCAGTTGATAGAGCATGGCGTTTGCAACGCCAGGGTTGTGGGTTCGTTTCCCACGGGGGGCCAGTATAAAAAAAAATATATATATATGTATTCACTAACTGTAAGTCGCTCTGGATAAGAGCGTCTGCTAAATGACTAAAATGTAAATGTAAATGTAATGTATCTGGGGCAGAACGGGAACAAAAATGTTACAGATCTATCACAAGAAACAACAAATAGGATAGTTCCTGTGGTGTGTGCATGCGTTTACTTCAGGTCGCCTCCATTCATGATGGTCATAATCAGACAGAGCTCATCCTTTGTCTGAAAAGCGTAGGCCAGGGACACGATGAAACGAGACTGTGAACCCTGGCAAGGATCCTCTTCTCCACCATCGCTCCCTAAAGTAGAGGAGGGGGACAAACATGACAATAGCAACCATCACTCACAAATTCATACCGGTAGTCCCTGTTCGATTACTTTTAAAATGCGTCCTTCCTTCCTTGAAGTAATCACTGATCTAACATGGCTGGATAGGTGAAAGCTATGACATGGAATCCTTGCTTTCACGTTATATCAGTGATTGTCATGAGGAATGAGGTATTTTAACCATTTTCAAAACAGGGCCCTGGACTAGATGTCAAGGACATGAACTAACCATCCCCAGCAGTTCCATTGAGAACAGCTTTCCCTAAAGCTCTCCGTAATCTCTCTATCCCTGTGCTGTGTTTAATACAGAGGGCTAAAACAGAGGCAAACGTGATTAACACCATTATCTCCTCATCACTTACTGGAGAACAGGTACTGTAGCCTACATCAAAACTGCTAGTAGCTTAGTGGGTAAGAGCGTTGTGCCAGTAACCGAAAGGTCGCTGGTTCTAATCCCCGAGCCGACTAGGTGAAAAATCTGTAGATGTGCCCTTGAGCAAGGCACTTAACCCTAATTGCTCCTGTAAGTCGCTCTGGATAAGAGCGTCTGCTAAATGACTAAAAATGTAAATGTAAGTCCATGAGCATAACCATTTCCACTCGAGATAACGGGGTTCTAACAGTCACAGAGGCAGACACTGTAGCACTACCCTCCATGTCATTGTGTTTACAATCCTGATCTAGCATTAATAGTCTACAGAAGCATACTGTATTCTTATTAACTAATTTCCCCTTTGGATATTATCTTCTCTCTCATATCAACTACAGCAGTGGTCACCGATTGAATGTTCGATCTTCAAGGCATTCCTAGTCGATCACCAAACATTTCTGTAGAAAAGCCAATGATAAAGGCAAAGGCTTGCGCCCCTTTTTTCGAGTTGCGCTGTTGCGGGTAGGTGCACTAGTTTCAGAAGCCCTGCGCACAGGGTAGGCAAAGCGTTCCCATTTTGAACAATTTATTTTGTCTGAAGACAAACTCCGCCTACCCGGCGGACCGTGAGATCTGTGGCTACTGCGCTGGCCAATCAGATAGCTCAAATCACCGTTCCTACAGCTTCCAAGACCCTGGCCACAACAATGTTTGATACTAGCCTACGTGAGATTTCATACGTTTTTAAACCATGACCAGAGAGAGACTGTAAAATATGTTTTATTCTTGAGTGAGTTCATGTCTAAGTTTTATTCAACACTATTACAAAACATAAAACGTGCTTCTCTCTACTTCCACTCACGCTGCAGCTGCAATGAATGAGTAGCCAAGTGTATCGATAGCCTTGCGTTTTTATTATTATTAGCAGCTCGTCGTGTCTATTTTTATAGGAGTATTTCACTTTCTCTGGTCATAGGAACAACATGAATTTGTGCCTAAGGCAGATGCGGTGCGACTCGAGTTTCGCCATCAGGTGGAACACTGTCCCCTTTCTCTGGTCAGTCTCCGGAGGAAAGGAAGGAGAGAGCAGCGACCGTGAGATGCGGAACCTCAGCTGCTCTCTCCCTCCCTCCGCGAGATCCGACTGGGGAAAATCGTTTAGAACGGTCATCCAACTCGGAAACTCGTGCATCTTCCTAGAGCTCCGACTTCCCGACCTGAAGTACACTTGGCGTCATGATTTGCCATCGTTTTTTCCCCCGAGTTCCCAGTTGTCTTGAACGCACAATGACCATCAGATGCAGGTAACATCAGTCCAGTAAATTAAAAAAGCTAATTTGCAAATTATTTCAATTTATGCTCAGCTGTGCCTCGCAAGTGCTACACCAACTGATCTATTTTGTTATCAAAGCTCGAGTTTTGAAATATAATAGGGCCTGCAGAGAATAACAATATTGCCAGGCATTTAGCCAATATGCTGTGGTAATGTATTAGGCCTACTGCACAAACCTCATTCCTACATACGTTTTTATTAGGTAAAAAAATTATGAGCAGTAGATCTCAGCTTGCTTTCTGACTGCATAAGTGATCTTGACTCAAAAGGTTGATGACCACAACAACAGTAAACATCAGTAGACTAGAGACTCCAGTTCAGGTGGGGCATACCAAAGACAAACTACCCCCCCCCCCCCCTCCTCCCTCTCACCTCATAGCTTTTCTGCTTCTCCAGCCTCTACTTGTTGAGCTTCTTGCAGGCGTACAGTTTCCCCGTGGCCTTCATCTGGCAGGCAGACACCTCTCCGAACCCCCCCTTCCCCAGCACACGGAAGTCCAGGAACCAGTCTTAGTCCATGGGCTGCATCTCCAGCCACTTCCACTGAAGGAACCTCTTCAGGAACATTCTCTCCAGGAAGAAGGTGTAGGGAGCCCAGCACTGAGGCCAGTGTTTGGGCAAAGAGGCTGTCCCCAGCCATCTGCAGGGCCTCCTTCACCTGGGTCACAGTCTCCGGTGTCAGAAAGAGACAGTAGAGCTTGGCTGAGGACACCAGGTAGCGCTGGATGATCCTGGATGCCTTCTGGGCCCGGTCCGATTCTTCTGCCAAGTCGTACTCCTCAATGTCCCGCCACAGCCGGCAAGGACCGTGGTATTCGGTTGCCGCCTCAAGGAACAGGCGTTTGCCAATGGGCTGCTCCACGCAGACTGACTGGAAGGCCATGTCCAGGGTTTCCTGGAGGCCCTCACACACTGATGTGGGGCAGCTTGAGGCGGGTGTGGTACTTCTTGTCACGCAAGGCCTCCAGGTTGGAGCCATCGAAGCTGCCACGGGCATTGATGTAGGCAGAGTTGGCAACCACCGTGGTCAGGCTGCCCAAATCCATGGCAATGGAGGGAGATGGGGTGTCTGCGACAGCACTCAGAGGGAGAGTATGGTGAAGGAGAAAGAGGGATAGGGTGAGATGAAGTTAAAATGTGAGAGTAAAAGGTGGTAGAGAAAGGGAGTGAAACTGTTAAAGGGAGGATAAGAGAAGGGTAAGATATAAGATGAACAGACAAAGGAGATCAGTGCCTTCAGCAGGACAGAGAACACAGGATCCTCCTCCTGTCCCAAGGCATACTTCCTGAGCACTTTACCAGTCTCCCTCACACACCTGACAACACCTTTCAGACAGTTATGCTTTTATCCACTAACTCCCTAATACCGCAGACTGACAGTGAGCCCAAGCTGAAACTGATGTATTCAGTCACTGTGGCTGGAGCAGCACCTGTTATCTAAAGAACAAGATGCAGGGGTGCAGCACAGTATAGGGGGGACATGCGCAGGGTCTAAACTGGACAACTCTCGACCCTTGGGAAAGGCCCCTGGTCCTCAGATATGAAAGGTACAGACAGGTGAAAGCAAAATGGTTATAGCTCCCTCTAGCCCTCAGTTTTTCCATCATATCGCTCACACATTCAGCTCAGGATAGTCGCCCAGGGCACCATTATTATAACGCAGTCAATTAAAACAGACTTCCCATTGGATTTAATATGTTTGACACATTTGAGGTTATTACAGTCCTAGCTCAGCTATTGAAGCCAATTGAGGGAGAAAAAAAAAAATGGCACAAACGCTCACTGAAGTCAACTTGTTAAAACATTCTCTATATTTAATTTTCAAACTTATATTAGATTACAGAAAAGGTATTTTGGAAGAGTCAGTACATGGGTTGTTCAGTTTGAAAAAGGAGATCTTCGAAGGGAGTCCATAGAGACCTACACAACCCACATATTTGATACATCGATAATGTCCAGGTCTTCCTTCCGACACTGACCTGTAAAAGATGCTATAAACTACAATCTTCACAGGATCCGTTTACATCATTTCACAAACAAAGCTTAACATTTTCCTATAGTTAGCGTGGGCAGGAGTTATTTTCCTCGCTGGTGCCGGTCATTTGTAAACACTACCACAAGGAACAGAAAAGCAGCTTCCTACAGAACGAGAGGAAGCTAGCCCAACACTGGGGGGAGCAGATAAAAATTCTCCGCTTGAAATCAATGCCACAAATAGCAGTGGGGGGTGTAACAAAATAGTGTCCACACTTTCAAAAGGGGAGTCTCAATCTTTCTTAGGGCGTTGTGGCAACTAAAAATCGGCCATTTTGGATCCAGTAGGTGTCTCTGAGCCAGCGTTCTGGGGGCAGTTGCACTGGCAGCCATCTTGAAACAATGGTTTGCCATCGAGTCTGTCCAACGTAATCAAAACATAATAAAGATAACTATTTCACACACAAGGAACACTATACATTCTCCAACAGCAGTGAGATGTCTGGAAGATTTTTTTGTTGTTGCTTTATTCTCGAGCGGGATGGCTTGCCAAGAAGAGGGTGATAATACACAGAAAGGACGCAGCACAGTGCCAAAGCCATAGACCACACTTCCCAGAGAGCCATTGGCTATCATGTGATTTAGGACTCCGCTCTGAGAAGAGGGTTGCACAGCCTCCATACTCAAACATTCTTCAACGCCCTTGAGAAAAAGCGACAGAGAGAGATGCAGAGACAGCCTGCTTGTTGGAGAGGCGTGGAGTGGCAGGAGGTTAATCTTCATCGTCGTTCTCATCAAAGTCATCCTCCTCGTCATCATCCCCCATGTACGACACAGGGGTCTCAACACGGGAGCCGCTGTAGTGAGAGTCATTAGAGCTGGAGGCCAGGGTACCATCTGCACCACTGTCACTACAGAGAGAGATAGAGGGAGAGGAAAAGAGTTACCATATATGTCTATGTGAACGTGCTGAAGGCCACCCTAACTAGGGCAACAGTAGAGGAGAGAGACTCACCTGCCCTGGCCATGATGGCGCCCCCCGTTGGTGGAGGATCCTCCAGTGATGTAGACTTTACTGATGGGGCCCTGGGCCATCTCTGCGTGAGACAGTAGTACACACGTTCACATACATACAGTAAGGGAAAAAAGTATTTGATCCCCTGCTGATTTTGTACGATTGCCCACTGACAAAGACATGATCAGTCTATAATTTTAATGGTAGGTTTATTTGAACAGTGAGAGACAGAATAACAACAAACAAACCCAGAAAAACGCATGTCAAAAATGTTAGAAATTGATTTGTGGTCCTCTGTAGCTCAAATTGGTAGAGCATGGCGCTTGTACCGCCAGGGTAGTGGGTTCGATCCCCGGGACCACCCATACGTAAAAAATGTATGCACACATGACTAAGTCGCTTTGGATAAAAGCATCTGCTAAATGGCATATTATTATTATTTGCATTTTAATGAGGGAAATAAGTATTTGACCCCTCTGCAAAACATGACTTAGTACTTGGTGGCAAAACCCTTGTTGGCAATCACAGAGGTCAGACGTTTCTTGTAGTTGGCCACCAGGTTTGCACACATCTCAGGAGGGATTTTGTTCCACTCCTCTTTGCAGATCTTCTCCAAGTCATTAAGGTTTCGAGGCTGACGTTTGGCAACTCGAACCTTCAGCTCCCTCCACAGATTTTCTATGGGATTAAGGTCTGGAGACTGGCTAGGCCACTCCAGGACCTTAATGTGCTTCTTCTTGAGCCACTCCTTTGTTGCCTTGGCCGTGTGTTTTGGGTCATTGTCATGCTGGAATACCCATCTACGACCTATTTTCAATGCCCTGGCTGAGGGAAGGAGGTTCTCACCCAAGATTTGACGGTACATGGCCCCGTCCATCGTCTCTTTGATGCAGTGAAGTTGTCCTGTCCCCTTGGCAGAAAAATACCCACAAAGCATAATGTTTCCACCTCCATGTTTGACGGTGGGGATGGTGTTCTTGGGGTCATAGGCAGCATTCCTCCTCCTCCAAACACGGCGAGTTGAGGCCAAAGAGCTCGATTTTGGTCTCATCTGACCACAACACTTTCACCCAGTTCTCCTCTGAATCATTCAGATGTTCATTGGCAAACTTCAGACGGGCCTGTATATGTGCTTTCTTGAGCAGGGGGACCTTGCGGGCGCTGCAGGATTTCAGTCCTTCACGGCATAGTTTGTTACCAATTGTTTTCTTGGTGACTATGGTCCCAGCTGCCTTGAGATCATTGACAAGATCCTCCCGTGTAGTTCTGGGCTGATTCCTCACCGTTCTCATGATCATTGCAACTCCACGAGGTGAGATCTTGCATGGAGCCCCAGGCCTAGGGAGATTGACAGTTCTTTTGTGTTTCTTCCATTTGCGAATAATCGCACCATCTGTTGTCACCTTCTCACCAAGCTGCTTGGCGATGGTCTTGTAGCCCATTTCAGCCTTGTGTAGGTCTACAATCTTGTCCCTGACATCCTTGGAGAGCTCTTTGGTCTTGGCCATGGTGGAGAGTTTGGAATCTGATTGATTGATTGCTTCTGTGGACAGGTGTCTTTTATACAGGTAACAAGCTGAGATTAGGAGCACTCCCTTTAAGAGTGTGCTCCTAATCTCAGCTCGTTAGCTGTGTAAAAGACACCTGGGAGCCAGAAATCTTTCTGATTGAGAGGGAGTCAAATACTTATTTCCCTCATTAAAATGCAAATCAATTTATAACATTTTTGACATGCGTTTTTCTGGATTTTTTTGTTGTTATTCTGTCTCTCACTGTTCAAATAAACCTACCATTCAAATTATAGACTGATCATTTCTTTGTCAGTGGGCAAACGTACAAAATCAGCAGGGGATCAAATACTTTTTCCACCTCACTGTACCTTAGAGAGAACCACACAGGACCTCATTTCTCACAGCCAATGTACCCCAAATTACCAACATGTTTAAGTATTTCATGCCCAATTCATCTCACTTACTTTGATAGGGATTGTGTGTAGCTCAATTACTTCATATATGCCTTTTAAATGTAAGCATGCACTATGATCCCTGACCCCTATGACTTCTGACCTGTGACGTAGGGCTCCAGGGCTTTGGGCACCAGGCTGCGTGCCACCTTCAGGTCCTCCGGGGAACACTTGCCCACCTCCAGGCCACAAGCCATGCCCATGCGCTTCAGCACCTCAATGTCATCGTGGATCTCAAACATGCTGTCAAAGTTGAACAGGTACTCAAACCTGAGAAGAGAAGGAAAGGGAGAGGTGAATATAATGGCATGGTTAGAACATGAATGAATGGAAAACTTTCAATCCTGGGAAAAACTTGATCGGGGTGTTGCCATTGCCTCAATACGATACTTTATTGGGGGGCGGCAGGTAGCCTAGCGTTTAAGAGCATTGGGACAGTAACCGAAAGGTCGCTGGTTCGAATCCCTGAGCTGACTAGGTGAAAAATGTGCCCTTAAGTAAGGCACTTAACGCTAATTGCTCCTGGAAAAGTGTCTGATAAATGACATTTTTTTATTGTCCATTTACATGGAAATTAATTTTGTGAAAATTCTGTGGGACAAAATAAAATGGCTTTACATTAATTAAGTTGATGATCAATTTACACAGTCACTCACTTGTCGTTGGAGATGCTGCAGTCGATAACGGTCTTCTTGCTAGTGTTAACAATGATGAACGGGAGGTGGATGAGAGAGTTGGGGGGTGGAGGTCTGTTGGTCTGCTGTTCTGTCTGTCGGTTCCGCTGAACCAGGTTCTTAAAGGCTATTTGCTGCAGGAGGGGATCAGGGAGAGAACATTAGAACAATGTTAAAATGCCAAATCAGCAGTTGAAACAATAACAAAGCATTGTCACCGCCACTGTTTCGGTAAAAAGCTGAGGGATGGGGCTCGAGAAATGTAACCACTCAAATTCAGACAAAGCTATGGATGAAAGGACATATCAAAATTATAGTTTTAACCAGTAAAACAGGCTTATATTTTGGGTTCTGATGGTACGGTAGTTCAACTAAGCTCATGGGGCATTTCTACATTATATTCTTCAAGAATCAAATGGGTACATATTAATTAATACGTTTAAAAAAACTGCTGATAGCACCTTTAAGACAAGCTGTGGTCTTGTATATGCTTGCCTTTATCAGTGATTGTATTGTTGTTGATGAGGCAAGCTAGTCCTGTAATATGAGGCAAGCTGATCACCTGTAATATAAGCTCTTGGAGTTGTGACTGCTTCTGCTTGATTCTCTCCAGTCGCCTTTGTCTCTCCACCTACAGAGGAAGAGCAGAACACAGCCAGGTTGTGAGAGCGTAAAAGAAAAGAGGGAGTGAGTGAGGGAGAGGAGAGTTCATGGTTTACCAGGTGTGTGTGTATACAGTGAGGGAAAAAAGTATTTGATCCCCTGCTGATTTTGTACGTTTGCCCACTGACAAAGACATGATCAGTCTATAATTTTAATGGTAGGTTTATTTGAACAGTGAGAGACAGAATAACAACAAAAACATCCAGAAAAACGCATGTAAAAAATGTTATAAATTGATTTGCATTTTAATGAGGGAAATAAGTATTTGACCCACTCTCAATCAGAAAGATTTCTGGCTCCCAGGTGTCTTTTATACAGTTAACGAGCTGAGATTAGGAGCACACTCTTAAAGGGAGTGCTCCTAATCTCAGTTTGTTACCTGTATAAAATACACCTGAGCACAGAAGCAATCAATCAGATTCCAAACTCTCCACCATGGCCAAGACCAAAGAGCTCTCCAAGGATGTCAGGGACAAGATTGTAGACCTACACAAGGCTGGAATGGGCTACAAGACCGTCGCCAAGCAGCTTGGTGAGAAGGTGACAACAGTTGGTGCGATTATTCGCAAATGGAAGAAACACAAAAGAACCGTCAATCTCCCTCGGCCTGGGGCTCCATGCAAGATCTCACCTCTTGGAGTTGCAATGATCATGAGAACGGTGAGGAATCAGCCCAGAACTACACGGGAGGATCTTGTCAATGATCTCAAGGCCGCTGGGACCATAGTCACCAAGAAAACAATTGGTAACACACTACGCCGTGGAAGACTGAAATCCTGCAGCGCCCGCAAGGTCTCCCTGCTCAAGAAAGCACATATACAGGCCCGTCTGAAGTTTGCCAATGAACATCTGAATGATTCAGAGGAGAACTGGGTGAAAGTGTTGTGGTCAGATGAGACCAAAATCGAGCTCTTTGCCATCAACTCAACGTGTTTGGAGGAGGAGGAATGCTGCCTATGACCCCAAGAACACCATCCCCACGGTCAAACATGGAGGTGGAAACATTATGCTTTGGGGTTTTTCTGCTAAGGGGACAGGACAACTTCACCGCATCAAAGGGACGATGGACGGGGCCATGTACCGTCAAATCTTGGGTGAGAACCTCCTTCCCTCAGCCAGGGCATTGAAAATGGGTCGTGGATAGGTATTCCAGCATGACAATGACCCAAAACACATGGCCAAGGCAACAAAGGTGTGTCTCAAGAAGAAGCACATTAAGGTCCTGGAGTGGCCTAGCCGGTCTCCAGACCTTAATCCCATATAAAATCTGTGGAGGGAGCTGAAGGTTCGAGTTACCAAATGTCAGCCTCGAAACCTTAATGACTTGGAGAAGATCTGCAAAGAGGAGTGGGACAAAATCCCTCCTGAGATGTGTGCAAACCTGGTGGCCAACTACAAGAAACGTCTGACCTCTGATTGCCAACAAGGGTTTTGCCACCAAGTACTAAGTAATGTTTTGCAGAGGGGTCAAATACTTATTTCCCTCATTAAAATGCAAATCAATTTATAACATTTTTGACATGCGTTTTTCTGGATGTTTTTGTTGTTATTCTGTCTCTCACTGTTCAAATAAACCTACCATTCAAATTATAGACTGATCATTTCTTTGTCAGTGGGCAAACGTATTGCTCCTGTAAGTCGCTCTGGATAAGAGCATCTGCTAAATGACTAAAATGTAAATATATACATACACACTGTCACGAGAATTTTGTTATCTCAATGGTTGAAGTCAAACACTTCTTAAATCTTTGAATAATTCCCAGAAATTAATTAAACAAAGACCCAATCCTGCAATGGTCAGCCTTTATTCATTGAGAGCACTCTGCAACAAAATGGTCGTACAATCTTTTTATACACACTCGTTAGAGGAAAAATCCCACCCCGCTTTAGGCGGGCTGTATTTTTCCACTGTACACATCTTGTAAGCTCACACCTTGGTTTAGCTCATGTGATTTCCCTCTGCTCTCCTGACCATCAGGTCACACATACACACACACGTTCTTATCATAGTCTACTCCTTGCTCGGGCAGGCTGCATTTTTTAGTTATCGCCTTTTCACTCCCCTTTCCCTGTGTGTTTTTGGAACCAGTCTCCTGTTATTGGTTTCAATCGTTTTGCACTTCTGCTTGCCTAATTCTGCTTGTGGTCCTCTGTAGCTCAGCTGGTAGAGCACGGCGCTTGTAACGCCAAGGTAGTGGGTTCGATCCCCGGGACCACCCATACACAAAAATGTATGCACGCATGACTGTAAGTCGCTTTGGATAAAAGCGTCTGCTAAATGGCATATTATTATTACTACAAGACAAATACTCTGTTGCTGGGATATAAACACATTTGATTAACTCTAAGCTCTAGTCATACATTATTAGTTTAACTGAGGGTGTGACATTTTAGTCATCTTACTCACACATTTCTTTATCACACACACAGTGCAGTCGGAATGTATTCAGACCCCTTGACTTTCACATTTTGTTACATTAGCCTTATTCTAAAATTGAAATTATTTTTTCCCTCAATCTACACACAATACCCCATAATGACGAAGCAAAAACAGGTTTAGAAATGTTTGCTAATTTACATAAGTACTCAGACCCTTTAATATGAGACTCGAAATAGAGCTCAGGTGCATCCGCTTTCCATTGACCATCCTTGAGATGTTTCTACAACTTGGAGTCCACCTGTGGTAAATTCAATTGATTGGACATGATTTGGAAAGGCACACCTGTCTATATAAGGTCCCACAGTTGACAGTGCATGTCAGAGCAAAACCAAGCCATGAGGTTGAAGGAATTGTTCGTAGAGCTCCAAAACAGGATTGTGTCTCCATCATTCTTAAAATGGAAGAAGTTTTGAACCACCAAGACTCTTCCTAAACCTGGCCACCCGGCCAAACTGAGCAATCGGGGGAGAAGGGCCTTGGTCAGGCAGGTGACCAAGAACCCAATGGTCAATGACAGAGCTCCAGAGTACCTCTGTGGAGATGGGAGAACCTTCCAGAAGGACAACAATCTCTGCAGCACTCCACCAATCAGGCCTTTATGGTAGAGTGGCCAGACGGAAGTCACTCCTCAGTAAAAGGCACATGACAGCCCACTTGGAGTTTGCCAAAAGGCACCTAAAGACTCTCAGACCATGAGAAACAAGATTATCAGGTCTGATGAAACCAAGATTGAACTCTTTGGCCTGAATGCCAAGTGTCATGTCTGGAGGAAACCTGGCACCATCCCTACGGTGAAGCATGGTGGTGGCAGCATCATGCTGTGGGGATGTTTTTCAGCAGCAGGGACTGGGAGACTAGTCATGCTCGAGGAAAAGATGAACAGAGCAAAGTACAGAGAGATCCTTAATGATGAAAACCTGCTCCAGAGCGCTCAGGTCTTCAGACTGGACAATGACCCTACGCACACAGCCAAGAAAAAGCAGTAGTGGCTTCGGAATAAGTCTATGAATGTCCTTGAGTGGCCCAGCCAGAGCCCGGACTTGATCCCGATCGAACATCTCTGGAGAGACCTGAAAACAGCTGTGCCGCGACGCTCCCACTCCAACCTGATAGAGCTTGAGAGGATATGCAGAGAAGAACGGGAGAAACTTCCAGCCTGTTTTTGCCTTGTCATTATGGGGTAATTGTGTGTAAATTGATGAGAAAAAAATGGTAATTAAAATCAATTTTAGATTAAGGCTGTAAAGTATAAAACAAAAATGTGGAAAAGTCAAGGGGTCTGAATAATTTCAGAATTCACTGTACATACACACTGAACAAAAATATAAAATGCAACAATTTCTAAGATTTTATTGACTTACAGTTCATTTAAGGAAATCAATTTAAATAAATTCATTCGGCCCCAATCTATAGATTTCACATGACTGGGAATACAGATATGCATCTGTTGGTCACAGATACCTTCATAAAATAGGGGCGTGGATCAGAAAACCAGTCAGTATCTGGTGTGACCACCATTTGCCTCATACAGCGCGACATCTTCGCATAGAGTTGATCAGGCTGTTGAGTGTGGCCTGTGGAATGTTATCCCACTCTTCAATGGCTGTGCAAAGTTGCTGGATATTGGCGGGAACTGGAACACTGTCATACGTCGATCCAGAGCATTCCAAACATGCTCAATGGGTGACATGTCTGGTGAGTATGCAGGCCATAGAAGAACTGGGACATTGTCATGCTGAAACATGAGGTGATGGCGTGGATGAATGGCGCGACAATGGGCCTCAAGATCTCATCATGGTATCTGTGCATTCAAATAGCCATCGATAAAATGCAATTGTGTTTGTTGTCCGTAGCTTATGCCTGCCCATACTATAACCTCACCGCCACCATGGGGCACTCTGTTCACAGCGTTGATGTCAGCAAACCGCTTTCCCACACGACGCCATACACGTGGTCTGCGGTTGTATGGCTGGTTGGACGTACTGCCTAATTCTCAAAAACAACGTTGAGGCTTATTGTAGAGAAAGGACCATTTAATTCTCTGGCAACAGCTCTGGACATTCCTGCAGTCAGCATGCCAATTGCACGCTCCCTCAAAACATGAGACATAATAATAATAATAATAATAATAATAATAATAATAATAATAAGCCATTTAGCAGACGCTTTTATCCAAAGCAACTTACAGACAGTCATGTGTGCATTTTGTGCCCAGCACAAGGTGCACTTGTGTAAAGATCATGCTGTTTAAATCAGCTTCTTGATATGCCACAACTGTCAGGTGGATGGATTATTTTGGCAAGGAGAAATGCTCCCTAACAGGGCTGTAAAATTTGTGCACATAATTTGAGAGAAATAAGCTTTTCGTGAGTATGGAAAGTTTCAGGGATATTTTATTTCAGCTCATGAAACACTTTACATGTTGTGTCATATTTTTTAAAATATATATACACACAGTATCTCACAAAAGTGAGTACACCCCCACATTTTTGTAAATATTTGAGTATATCTTTTCATGTGACACCACTGAAGAAATGACACTTTGCTACAATGTAAAGTAGTGAGTGTACAGCTTGTATAACAATGTAAATTTGCTGTCCTATCAAAATAACTCAACACACAGCCATTCATGTCTAAACCGCTGGCAACAAAAGTGAGTACACCCCTAAGTGAAAATGTCCAAATTGGGCCCAATTAGCCATTTTCCCTCCCCGGTGTCATGTGACTCGTTAGTGTTACAAGGTCTCAGGTGTGAATGGGGAGCAGATGTGTTACATTTGGTGTCATCGCTCTCACACTCCCTCATACTGGTCACTGGAAGTTCAACATGGCACCTCATGGCAAAGAACTCTGAGGATCTGAAAAAATGAATTGTTGCTCTACATAAAGATGGCCTGGGCTATAAGAAGATTGCCAAGACCCTGAAACTGAGCTGCAGCACGGTGGCCAAGACCATACAGCAGTTTAACAGGACAGGTTCCACTCAGAACAGGCCTCGCCATGGTCGACCAAAGAAGTTGAGTGCACGTGCTCAGCGTCATATCCAGAGGTTGTCTTTGGGAAATAGACGTATCAGTGCTGCCAGCATTGCTGCAGAGGTTGAAGGGGTGGGGGGGGGAGGGTCAGCCTGTCAGTGCTCAGTCCATACGCCGCATCAAATTGGTCTGCATGGCTGTCGTCCCAGAACGAAGCCTCTTCTAAAGATGATGCACAAGAAAGGCCGCAAACTGTTTGCTGAAGATAAGCAGACTAAGCACATGGATTACTGGAACCATGTCCTGTGGTCTGATGAGACCAAGAAACTTATTTGGTTCAGATGGTGTCAAGCGTGTGTGGCGGCAACCAGGTGAGGAGTACAAAGACAAGTGTGTCTTGCCCACAGTCAAGCATGGTGGTGGGAGTGTCATGGTCTGGGGCTGCATGAGTGCTGCCGGCACTGGGGAACGTTCTCCACGGCGCTTCCAGACTCTGTCACGTCTGTCACATGTGCTCAGTGTGAACCTGCTTTCATCTGTGAAGAGCACAGGGCGCCAGTGGCGAATTTGCCAATCTTAGTGTTCTCTGGCAAATGCCAAACGTTCTGCACGGTGTTGGGCTGTAAGCACAACCCCCACCTGTGGACGTCGGGCCCTCATACCACCCTCATGGAGTCTGTTTCTGACCGTTTGAGCAGACACATGCACATTTGTGGCCTGCTGGAGGTCATTTTGCAGGGCTCTGGCAGTGCTCCTCCTGCTCCTCCTTGCACAAAGGCGGAGGTAGCAGTCCTGCTGCTGGGTTGTTGCCCTCCTACGGCCTCCTCCACGTCTCCTGATGTACTGGCCTGTCTCCTGGTAGCGCCTCCATGCTCTGGACACTACGCTGACAGACACAGCAAACCTTCTTGCCACAGCTCGCATTGATGTGCCATCCTGGATGAGCTGCACTACCTGAGCCACTTGTGGGGTTGTAGACTCCGTCTCATGCTACCACTAGAGTGAAAGCACCGACAGCATTCAAAAGTGACCAAAACATCAGCCAGGAAGCATAGGAACTGAGAAGTGGTCTGTGGTCACCACCTGCAGAACCACTTCTTTATTGGGGGTGTCTTGCTAATTGCCTATAATTTCCACCTGTTGTCTATTCCATTTGCACAAAAGCATGTGACATTTATTGTCAATCAGTGTTGCTTCCTAAGTGGACAGTTTGATTTCACAGAAGTGTGATTGACTTGGAGTTACATTGTGTTGTTTAAGTGTTCCCTTTATTATTTTGAGCAGTGATATATATATATATATATATACACATACACACACACACACAGACTCACCTCTAGGTTCTGGCACTCCTGGGCCGAGTTGGTGGGCAGACCGATCCACTTGATCTCCTTCTTCTCTTTAGAGATGATGTTCATGGCCATGAGCACATTGAGCGCATCATACACACGCCTACGGATATTCTTCTGGTCATACACATGCTACAAGGAGAGGGGGAAGGGGTTAATCTGACTCCTGTGTGTGGGCAGAGAGCTTCCTTTGGGTTTGTTGTCATAATTATCATGTGGGTTTGTCATAATGAAACCAGAGTGTGCTAAAGCCTAATTCACAACTTCCGTTTCCGCATGGTCCGCTTGAGTGAAATGATGCAATATCAAACATCCGCTCCAGTCCACACTCCGAAATCTCCGCAGGACTTTACAAGGAGGTGGATGAAGCAGAACACTGAGGACGGGAGCGGATGTTCGATGTCCGAACACCAAAAGCAAAAGTAGCGGACGTAAATTATGCTTGAGGAAGACCATGTCAGAATAACTTCATTTCCTAAGTATGTTTGTTGTGTCTGATATTGTGATGTCATATAGAGATTTGTATTGTCTAAGGGTAAGGCTGAAAAACGTGATGATTTGTCAGAGACAGAGTGATGTCATAAAGAGGAGTTCTGAGAGTGATGCAACAATGGAGAATTCTGTCTGACAGTGATGCCATAATTAGGAATTCAGACAATGTGTGATATACCGTAATTTTCGGACTATAAGCCGCGCCTTTTTTCCAATTTTTCAACCCTGCGGCTTATATAACGGTGCGGCTAATCTATGGATTTTTACAGCTAACGGCCACTAGAAGACCTCCTTAATCTATGGATTTTACAGGTTACAGTCCACCAACTTTAACTCTATGGGCTCTATGACCGGTCTGCGCCCCCCACCTTTAAGCGGCGGGCTCCAGCAGGAAAAGCTGGAGGCCGGAAAAGAGTGAGACAGGTAGCGCGCAAAAGTAAAAGTGGTACGAGAGACAGAACGAGAGACAGACAGACATTACGAGAGCGTTTGTGCAAAGGAAGTTTTCATGCACAAACCCTCATTATGGAAAACAAACGTAGAAATGCATATGATGCAGCTTTTAAGTTAAAGGCAGTCAATCTGGCTGTCAAAACATCCACGATCATTAACGGGTTCCAAAAGGCTGGACTGCTGCGTGATGAAGAGGAGGACGCCGCCACAGCTGAGGCCCTTCAGAGGCTGTTCGATTCCGACAGTGACGAAGAGGAGTTCGTTGGTTTTGAGAGCGACAACGAAGGAGAGAGGAGTGGCTGACGAAGCCACCCTGAGCCTGTTCGTTTCCGACACTGAAGATGAGGACTTTGGTGGTTTTAGTACGCAGGAAGAAGACGGAGATGAGGATTAATGACTTGACTTTTCTGGTTACAGCCGTGTACTGCACCTTAGCCTAAAAGATGAAGACGAGGATTAATGACTTTTCTGGTAGGCTGATTACCGTATATTTTAAGCAGCCGTGTTGCTGCAACTTTAGGCTTACGCGCTTACTGTCGTGTTACAGGCACTTTATTTTGCACTTTTAAAAAAACACATTTAATTTAGCCATTGATATTGCCTCGTCAAGCGCTGTAAGCTTTGTTTTTTGAATGGTACTACTGTAGGCTATAATGTAGATAAATATTCAAAGATGTGCACACTTTTTCAAGGTTTTTCAAAAATAACCAAAGTTAAGTGGTTAATTGATTGTGACGCTATTAACTAATTTTGCTGGGGAACCCCTAGCACTCCCTCAAGGACCACTGGTTGAAAACCACTGCTGTAGATCACTGCCGGTATGTGCGCTGGGAGCGCACCATTTAAGTTTGAAAGTTGAAAAGTTTGTGTCTGAAACGCTATGTGATACAGTACAGTTTACACAGCACAGTATATGTTCTGTAGCTACTATTGCACTAAATGGTAACACTTGAATACGTTATGCTAATATGCAACTTGTTTGTTGAAATGTTAATAAATGGGAGCTTCCTCAAGCAGCCATCTCTTTCCCGACAATCCCCTCTGTGCACGAACCCTTACATATGGTAATTAAACATTAAAACACCTGCGGCTTATAGTCCAGTACGGCTTATATATGTACACATCATTCAATATCATTCAATTTAGCTGCTGCGGCTTATACTCCGGTGCGCCTTATAGTGCGGAAAATACGGTAATTCTCTATGACGTCAGAGAAAGTAAATCCATAAAGACTTCCCCAGCCTGTTTTGAGGAAGAGCCCTGTGCATTATGTGCATACAGCTGCAGAACTCACAGAGTCGTTGGGGGAGATGTGGTTGTCTGCAGCGCTGAACTCTGCCACCAGCTCATCTGCTACCTCGTTGTAGGTGGTGACACCCTTCTTCTGCACCTTCTCACACACCTTCATGGAGAAATGCCTCAGGCCCTTGCCATTCTTCTCCCCCTTCTTACCACGCTTCCTATGGACAAAGGTGGTTAAACACAGCTATTTACTTCTAGATTACACTGGCATATCACACAGGCACACAGAATAAATAAACTGGTCTAAAACCAGCTACAGTGAGGGAAAAAAGTATTTGATCCCCTGCTGATTTTGTATGTTTGCCCACTGACAAAGAAATGATCAGTCTATAATTTTAATGGTAGGTTTAGTTGAACAGTGAGAGACAGAATAACCAAAATTTCCAGAAAAACGCATGTCAAAAATGTTATAAATTGATTTGCATTTTAATGAGGGAAATAAGTATTTGACCCCCTCTCAATCAGAAAGATTTCTGGCTCCCAGGTGTCTTTTATACAGGTAACGAGCTGAGATTAGGAGCACACTCTTAAAGGGAGTGCTCCTAATCTCAGCATGTTACCTGTATAAAAGACACCTGTCCACAAAAGCAATCAATCAGATTCCAAACTCTCCACCATGGCCAAGACCAAAGAGCTCTCCAAGGATGTCAGGGACAAGATTGTAGACCTACACAAGGCTGGAATGGGCTACAAGACCATCGCCAAGCAGCTTGGTGAGAAGGTGACAACAGATGGTGTGATTATTCGCAAATGGATGAAACACAAAAGAACCGTCAATCTCCTTCGGCCTGGGGCTCCATGCAAGATCTCACTTCGTGGAGTTGCAATGATCATGAGAACGGTGAGGAATCAGCCCAGAACTACATGGGAGGATCTTGTCAATGATCTCAAGGCAGCTGGGACCATAGTCACCAAGAAAACAATTGGGTACACACTACGCCGTGAAGGACTGAAATCCTGCAGCGCCCGCAAGGTCCCCCTGCTCAAGAAAGCACATATACAGGGCTGTCTGAAGTTTGCCAATGAACATCTGAATGATTCAGAGGAGAACTGGGTGAAAGTGTTGTGGTCAGATGAGACCAAAATGGAGCTCTTTGGCATCAACTCAACTCGCCATGTTTGGAGGAGGAGGAATGCTGCCTATGACCCCAAGAACACCATCCCCACCGTCAAACATGGAGGTGGAAACATTATGCCTTGGGGGTGTTTTTCTGCTAAGGGGACAGGACAACTTCTCCGCATCAAAGGGACGATGGACGGGACCATGTACCGTCAAATCTTGGGTGAGAACTTCCTTGACTCAGCCAGGGCATTGAAAATGGGTTGTGGATGGGTATTCCAGCATGACAATGACCCAAAACACACAGCTAAGGCAACAAAGGAGTGGCACAAGAAGAAGCACATTAAGGTCCTGGAGTGGCCTAGCCAGTCTCCAGACATTAATCCCATAGAAAATCTGTGGAGGGAGCTGAAGGTTCAAGTTGCCAAACTTCAGCCTAGAAACCTTAATGACTTGGAGAAGATCTGCAAAGAGGAGTGGGACAAAATCCCTCCTGAGATGTGTGCAAACCTGGTGGCCAACTGCAAGAAACATCTGACCTCTGTGATTGCCAACAAGGGTTTTGCCACCAAGTACTAAGTCATGTTTTGCAGAGGGGTCAAATACTTATTTCCCTCATTAAAATGCAAATGAATTTATAACATTTTTGACATGCGTTTTTCTGGATATTTTTGTTGTCATTCTGTCGCTCACTGTTCAAATAAACCTACCATTAAAATTATAGACTGATCATGTCTTTGTCAGTGGGAAAACGTACAAAATCAGCAGGGGATCAAATAATGGACAGAGAGAAGAGGGTGCCTCATGAGTGACCTGCCAGGATGTGGGGCAGGTATTTGAGGGTGTGGGGTAGCCACTCACCCCGATGACCAAGGCGAAGCGTCGGCCGGCTGGCTCTGTGTGAGGAACTGGGAGCTGGGTGTGTGAGGGCTGTTCACCAGTATGGCACTGGAAACACTGGGCCTCTGAGGCGTACCAATCACCTACAGGGAGAGGGGGGAAGAGAGAGCTCAACCATTTCAGTTTTAGAGTAAAGTAGATAATCTTTATTATCCAATAGAGCAAATTGCTTTGCAGTAAGCTGTAAAAAACACACAGTACCAGTCAAAAGTTTGAACACACCTACTCATTTTTACTATTTTCTACATTGTATAATAATAGTGAAGACATCAAAACTATGAAATAACACATATGGAATCATGTAGTAACCAAAAAAGTATTAAACAAATCAAAATATATATTTTATATTTGAGATTCAAATAGCCACCCTTTGCCTTGATGACAGCTTTGCAGACTCTTGGCATTCTCTCAACCAGCTTCATGATGTAGTCACCTGGAATGCATTTCAATTAACAGGTGTGCCTTGCGCAAAGTGAATTTGTGGAATTTCTTTCCTTCTTAATGCGTTTTAGCCAATCAGTTGTGTTGTAACAAGGTAGGGTTGGTATACAGAAGATAGCCCTATTTGGTGAAAGACCAAGTCCATATTACGGCAAGAACAGCTCAAAAAGCAAAGAGAAATGACAGTCCATCATTACTTTAAAAAGACATGAAGGTCAGTCAATACAGACAATTAAGAACTTTGAAAGTTTCTTCAAGTGCAGTCGCAAAAACCATCAAGCGCTATGATGAAACTGGCTCTCATGAGGACCGCCACAGGAAAGGAAGACCCAGAGTTACCGCTGCTGCAGAGGATAAGTTCATTAGTTACCAGCCTCAAAAAAATCAAATTATATATATATATATATAGGCAATTAACCGCACCTCAGATTGCAGCCCAAATAAATTCTTCACTGAGTTCAAGTAACAGACACATCAACTGTTCAGAGGATACTGCGTGAAATCAGGCCTTCATGGTGAAATTGCTGCAAAGAAACCACTACTAAAGGACACCAATAAGAAGAGATGTGCTTGGGCCAAGAAACACGAGCAATGGACATTAGAACGGTGTAAATCTGTCCTTTGGTCTGATGAGTCCAAATTTGACATTCTTGGTTCCAACCGCCGTGTCTTTGTGAGACGCAGAGTAGGTGAACAGATTATCGCTGCATGTGTGGTTCCCACCGTGAAGCACGGAGGTGGTGTGATGGTGCTTTGCTGGTGACACTGTCAGTGATTTATTTAGAAATCAAGGCACACTTAACCAGCACGGCTACCACAGCATTCTGCAGCGATACGCCATCCCATCTGGTTTGCGCGTAGTGGGACTATCATTTGATTTTCAACAGGACAATGACCGAAAACACCTCCAGGCTGTGTAAGGGCTATTTGACCAAGAAGGAGAGTGATGGAGTGCTGCATCAGATGACCTGGCCTCCACAATCACCTGACCAACCCAATTGAGATGGTTTGTGATGAGTTGGACCGCAGAGTGAAGGAAAAGCAGTCAAAAAGTGCTCAGCATATGTGGGAACTCCTTCAACACTGTTGGAAAAGCATTTCAGGTGACTACCTCATGAAGCTGGTTGAGAGAATGCCAAGAGTGTGCAAAGCTGTCATCAAGGCAAAGTGTTGCTACTTTGATTTGTTTAACACTTTATTGGTTACTACATGATTCCATATGTACTATTTCATAGTTTTGATGTCTTCACTATTATTCTACAATGTAGAAAATAGTACAAATAAAGAAAAACCCTGGAATGAGTAGGTGTCCAAAATGTTGACTGGTACTGTATGCATGCATGCATATACACTACCGTTCAAAAGTTTGGGGTCACTTAGAAATGTCCTTGTTTTCGAAAGAAATTAAATTTTTTGGTCCATTAAAATAACATCAAATTGATCAGAAATACAGTGTAGACATTGTTAATGTTGTAAATGGCTATTGTAGCTGGAAATGGCTGATTTTTTATGGAATATCTACATAGGCGTACAGAGGCCCATTATCAGCAACCATCAGGCCTGTGTTCCAATGGCACGTTGTGTTTGCTAATCCAAGTTTATCATTTTAAAAAGGCTAATTGATCATTAGAAAACCCTTTTGCAATTATGTTAGCACAGCTGAAAACTGTTGTGCTGATTAAATAAGCAATAAAACTGGCCTTCTTGAGACTAGTTGAGTGTCTGGCGCATCAGCAATTGTGGTTTCGTTTACAGGATCAAAATGGCCAGAAGCAAAGAACTTTCTTCTAAAACTTGTCAGTCTATTCTTGTTCTGAGAAATGAAGGCTATTCCATGCGAGAAATTGCCTTCTTGGGTATGACCCTACAAGCATGGCACACCTGTATTTGGAGAGTTTCTCCCATTCTTCTCTGCAGATCCTCTCAAGCTCTGTCAGGTTGGAGTGGGAGAGATGTTAGATCAGGTTCAAGTCCGGGCTCTGGCTGGGCCACTCAAGGACATTCAGAGACTTGTCCCAAAGCCACTCCTGCCTTGTCTTGGCTGTGTGCTTAGGCTAGTGACGACTGTTGCACTATCTGATGGTCTGGAGATTGAAAAAACGCTTCTGTCTCTCAGTCCCAGCTTTGATGGATCTGTACGGTCTCTGCATTCTAGATGGTAGCAGGGTGAACAGGCCATGGTTTTTGGTCACTTAGGTCCTTGATGATCTTCTTGGCCTTCCTGTGACACCGGGTGCTGTAGATGTCCTTGAGGGCAGGCAGTGTGCCCCCGATGATGTGTTGGGCTGATTGCGCCACCCTCTGGAGAGCACTTCGGTTGCGTGCGGTGCAATTGCTGTACCAGGCGGTGATACAGCCTGACAGAATGCTCTCGATGGTGCATCTGTAGAATACGTTTGTGAGTTTCTAAGGTGCCAAGCTGATTTTTTTCAGCCTCCTGAAGTTGAAGAGGTGCCGTTGCCCCTTCACCACGCTGTCGGTGTGGAGGGACTATTTCAGGTCCTCAGTGATGTGCATGCCGAGGAACTTTAAGCTTTTGACCCTCTCCACTGCTGCCCCGTCAATGTTGATGGGGGCGTGCTCTAGAGCTGGGCGATATGGACAGAAATCCATATCGCATCAACTTAAGCAATTTATCGCAATAACAATATATAGAATTATACATAAATGTGCACCACAGCTAAAAATATTTTTTATAAAAAACTACTACTTTGATGGTTGCAGCCATCAATTGTCAAATTAACAATCACCCATATTAGCAAACTTCAAATCTCTAGTATAGGCTACTCATTGTGATGAACGATATCAGCAAAATGCCTGCGATAAGTGATCGGTATGGTCGGCATCAATAATTTTCAGTATATCGTCCCAGCTCTAGCGTGCGCTCTCTGCAGTCTCCTGTAGTCCACGATCAGCTCCTTCGTTTTGTTGATGTTGAGGGAGAGGTTATTTTCCTGGCACAACTCCGCCAGGGCTCTCACCTCCCTGTAAGCTGCTCATTGTTGGTAATCATGCCTACCACTTGTGTCGTCAGCAAACTTGATGATCAAAATTGGAGGAGACGTGCATAGCCACGCATTCATGGGTTAACAGGGAGTACAGGAGGGGGCTGAGCACGCACCCCTGTGGAGCTCCCGTGTTGAGGATCAGTGTGGCATTGGTGTTGTTGCCCATCTTCACCACCTGGGGTCGGCCCATCAGGAAGTCTAGCACCCAGTTGCACAGGCAGGGGTTCAGACCCAGGGCACTGAGCTTAGTAATAAGCTTGGAGGGCACTATGGTGTTGAAGGCTGAGTTGCAGTCTATGAACAGCCTTCTTACATAGGTATTCCCCTTGTCCAGGTGGGATAGGGCAGTGCAATGGTGATTGAGTCGTCCGTGGATCTGTTGGTGTGGTATGCAAATTGTAGTGGGTCTAGGGTGTCGGTTGACATCTTGAAGCAAGTGGGGACAACAGACTGGGATAGGGCGAGATTGAATATGTCCATAAACACTCCAGCCAGCTGGTCTGCACATGCTCCGAGGACGCAGCTTGGGATGCCGTCTGGGCTGGCAGCCTTGCGAGGGTTAACACACGTGAATGTTTTACTCAGTGGCCACAGAGATCAGGAGCACGTCAATACTATTCCCAGAGGCGACACGGAACATTTCCCAGTCCGCGTGTTCAAAACGATCTTGAAGCATAGATTCTGATTGGTCAGACCAAAGTTGAACAGTCCTTACTACAGGTGCTTCCTGTTTAAGTTTCTGCCTATAGGCGGTGAGGAGCAGGATGAAGGCGTGATCTGATTTGCCGAAGGGAGTGCGGGGGAGGGCCTTGTAGCAGTCCCGGAAGGGAGAGTAAAAATGGTCAAGTGTGTTCTCTCCACGTGTAGCACTGGAGATGTATTGGTATCATTTCCCTCAGATTTCCTTTATTAAAGTTCCCAGCTACAATATGCGGTTTCCAGTTTGCACAAAGTCCAGTTTAGTTCCTTGAGAGCCGTCGCAGTGTAGGCTTGTATATCACAATGTTTTATGAGTACATATTACGATAGGACAAAGGTTGACATCACCCAACTCTAGGTGGGTGTATCTCCCACAAGACCAGAAGGAGAGCTGGAAAGAGCATTATGCAGCTGACTCATAATATACCAAGTGCCTGTGGTGGAGTGAGTCTTCTCTGAGGTGAAAATAACTTCCTGGTTATTGAAGTAGGGAAGGCAGGCCAGGTACGTGATGTATTTTACTGTCTGCCGGCCAGCCATCAGGTGATGCCTAAACTGATTCCCTCTATGTACATATTCTCATGTATGTAATGGGATGGTGTGTAATCCTGCTGACTGCAGAGGTTGATCAGCTTAAGCTCACCCCCGGACACCTCACAATGCTAATGGATGGGGCTTATGAAGTGTGTGTGTGTGTGTGTGTGTGTGTGTGTGCCTATAAACTGATAGGTTGCAGCTATGAAGAGCTTTGGGAAAGTGTATGCAAGTAGTGAGCTTGCAATTAAGCAGGTTGTGCTTGCAATGTCTGAGAGCAAATATCAACTTGCAATCTACCACACTGTCTCAAAATAAAACACTTTTTCATCAAGTATGTGGTTGTAATATCACTGTATTGCTGGGCTTTGCAGTATATTTCTGTCCATTCAGGTAAATGGTGCAGGTAGATACACTCACCATGTGTGGAGCAATGTTGACATTGGAGAGCCCCAGTGTTTTGGGCAGTAGTTGTTTGGCCACAGGGATGGACGCAGGATGGACAGCAACCAGAGACAGGACACCTGGGAAGGGGCAGAGTAAACACTAGGGTCAAAAGGGTAACCTGGAACCACTGTCCACAAAATGGCTGCCTCTCTTCATATCCAGGTAGATGGTTACAGAGAACAGGAGGCCCTATGGGATGCAGACTTACAAGCCCATGTAAGGGAAAACAATTATCTGAGGGTACACAGATCTTTAGAACACCTGCACTGTGTGATATGGAAACCCGTAATAAGATGAGCTGAAAGTTGGGAGGGGAGTAAAACGAGACAAGCTTCTTCTGTGTAGTCTTATTGCCCCCTGCTGTTGAGTTGAGGACATATACCGGACATAGACACCGGGATTGAATGACACTGATCTGTATTCTGGAGCACAACACAGTGCTTTGCTCACCTTTACTAGGACTCAGATTCTGGTCAATAAAAACCTTCAGTTCTCCATTGGTTTCCATCAGACCAACCTGTGGGGAAGACACCATCAACATCTACTCCAGTAAAATTTCAACAGCTGGTCTCTGTATTGAATCTCTCAAATGTCTGTAAGGCCCCCAGGACCAGGGTGGAAGAACACTGCGTCTGGTTCTCTCTGATCAGACTCACATCTTTGGCCATCATCCTGTCGGAACTAAGTATGGCTCTGTCTGAAGAAAGGGAACCTCTGATGTCACCAACGAGTTCCCTGAAACAGAACAACCATGATACAGCAGCGGAGTGTGTAATGCAATGGGTAGAGCTGGATTTTTTGCTGTCAGTGCATAAAAGTACACTGTGGAAACTACCCATTTAAAGTTGGAGTTAACCTGAATAATTCCAAGATTGCATTGGACAAAGCAGGACGACTTTGGTATTGGGTGCAATTGAGCAAAAAAAAGATAATTGCGGATGTGCAAAAAATAAAATAATTAACCAGTAAATTCTTTCCCTCCCTTGTTAGTTTGTTAGGCCTCGGGGTGTTATGAGGTTTTGCAATTTATTTTTATTTTTTATTTAACCTTTATTTAACCAGGTAAGCCAGTTGAGAACAAGTTCTCATTTACAACTGCGACCTGGCCAAGATAAAGCAAAGCAGTGAGATAAAAACAACACAGAGTTACATATGGGGTAAAAAACATAAAGTCAAAAATACAACAGAAAATATATATACAGTGTGTGCAAATGTAGCAAGTTATGGAGGTAAGGCAATAAATAGGCTATAGTGCAAAATAATTACAATAGTATTAACACTGGAATGCTAGATGTGCAAGAGATTATGTGCAAATAGAGATACTGGGGTGCAAAAGAGCAAAATAAATAACAATATAGGGATGAGGTAGTTGGGTGGGCTAATTTCAGTGGTCACTGGTATCATGACAATGTCACACGGGTGAACTATTGCACATGTATACGAACTGCATATTCTACATGAAATGTTTGCAAAGGTAGGCAGCAGATTTCATTATTGATCAAGAAGCAAGGCCGCTTGTATGCAATCAATATATTGCACAAAAGCACTAGCTGGCTACCTCGCTATAGCCTGAACAAAAACATTGCTAGCCGACCAAATTGTCTTTGGAAAGCAATTTCAATTGCATATTTCAAAGTGATGAGTTCGATCAGCTGTGATAAGTATCAAACGTCCTAATTTTTATATTTCTGATATCTTACCATAACTTTTATCATGCAAACTGTAAGGCCTAGTAGGTGTTGTTGACCACGTCCTAGACCGAGATTCCCCACGAAGTTTACAAGGCTGAGCAGAAATTGCTAGCCAGCTACAACAATACACGATGCCTGGCTGGCTGATTACTTTTTATATGGGAATTTGTTTCTTTCCAGCATTCCGCGATAACTAACTCAAGGGACTAACTGATGCTAACTAGCTAGCAAGCTACCTACCTAACGTTAGCATTAGTGATATTACAGGCTAGCTAGTTTAGAGGCACATTTTGAGACTATTCCGAATGCAATTGACGATTGTGTAGCTATAAGAAAACGGGTTCAAGTATATAATCCGTGCATTATAATAATAAACGCCAACACCTGCATTTGCAAGCAGGAATTACCGAACAATGTAAAGGTTTAATTTGATGTGCACTTACGAGTGCACTCTTTTCTTCTGCTTCTTCGGCGGCTGTTTTGTTGGCATCGAGGACAGAGGAAGAGGAGGTCTAAATCCCTATCGCCAAACAGGAAACAAAACTATACGTCAAATTATCATGATTCTGAAACAATGAATTTAAGTTTCTAAGCAATTCAATACTCCACGCCTGAGATATGCCCACAAGCATACTTTGACCAGATTTCTAGTCAATCATGTCTCAATCTCAAAATGGATGCTTTTCCAAGTAACATCGCTAGCCAGTTAGCTAATAACTATGAATGAAATTAATAGCGCTTGGATGCCTCGGGCGTAAATGGTAAAAATAGCTAAATGGTGTAGTTACCTAGCTATAATCTAGCTGTCGTGCAATTAGTAAATGGTCGGTAGGTGAACACTAGAAGATTACGGTTAGCAAGTTAGGACACCACTTTGTCTGCTAACCTTATATTGTAGGAATAGATCTGCAACCATCAATGATACCGACATATTTCATAAATATAGCTAGCTATGTTTGCGATGCTTGACAAACGTACAAGAGAAAGTGACTGAGTTATATTAACTAGGACTGGCTAACTACAATAACGCGATTAATATTTTGATTATCATTACATTTACGTCATTTAGCAGACGCTCTTATCCATAGATGATGGGCTTGGTACAGCTAGCCAGCCATTATGGCTATCTAACCAGTATTGCAATTCTAGCTAGTTGGGTAAATTAGCCAACGTTAGCAAGCTGGTTAGCCAACGCGGTCAACGCACTAGTTAGCAGTAGCAAGTGGTTAACTAACTTGCTAACATAACAAGCTATCTCCAAGTTTCAAAGCAGATAGGCTATCTTTTCAAGAGATCGCTAGATAGACAAATCAACCTTTCGAATGTCAAATGTATAAATGCCCCTTTTCAATCGATAAATACCTAAGTCTATTGACTTTGCTAGCCGTTAGCTCGAGATTCGCGTTCAGCTGTTACCTTCCACAGTCCTAGTCTGAAAACCAATCTTGGCGGTGTCTAACATCTGAAGTTTCGGATTGGATAGCTTTAATATGACGCAGGCAATCCATGCTGCTAAAGCCACGCCTTTGGCGCTTTCTGATTGCTTCGCGCGCTAGGACCTCCTATCCCGCGTTCTCCCATTGGTCTCCAGCTTTTGAGCGTTTCAGGAGCCTTTTCCGGGATTTAAAACTGAGTAACAATACATGTAAAATATTTTTTTAATTGGTACAAATGTCAAACAAACGGCTAGTAACAGTAAGAAGCTATTCGAAAACATCGCAAATCAGAGGTCAATGTCATAAGTAATATGTTCAGTAATATAGTTGCCTAGCTGGTATACATGCTCACCTGGCTCAGTTGGTAGAGCATGGCGTTTGCAACGCCAGGGTTGTGGGTTCTCCCACGGGGGGCCAGTATGAAAATGTATGCACTAACTGTAAATCGCTCTGGATAAGAGCGTCTGCTAAATGACTAAAATGTAAATGTATAAACACACTGATCTAGGAACAGCTCATATTACCTGAATATTTACCGTAACCTTTGGGGGTAGTTGCAGTACTGACTTTAGATCACTGGTCAGAGAAAACCTCATCCAGCACCGTTAGTGTTCTGACCCCTTATGTCCCAATCCTTTATTTTTTCTTGTGACAGGTGATGAACTGTGTTGATTGGGGAGTCAACTGTAAATTGTCTATTGTATATTACAACCACAACACTCAACATAGTTTACATTTTAGTAATTTAGCAGACGCTCTTATCCAGAGCGACTTACAGTTAGTGAGTGCATACATTTTCATACTGACGAACACATATATTTAGTGGAGAGAATGACACTGTTCAGAGAAAGACTTAGTTAAAAAATAAGCATGTGGTGTTTGTGTTGAAAATACCTTATGGAACTTTTTTGGTATTTGTGTTGAGAATAACTTATGTTCAATACATTACATTTTTATCTGATTGTGAAGGTGAGGTCTCATCTTTAAAAGTAATCATTTGAGCATAACCAAGCACACCACAACAACCACAAACAGGTTTTTTTTAACACACTGTCTGACAACCATATGCAGAATGGTAGCGCAACCCTGATTCATTGAGTGAGATAAAACGCCCTTCTCAGCTGAGCCTCCCAGTCCCAGCTCCGTCATTAATGACCCCCTCCAACCTGTTATCGTAGAGAGAAAGATATGTGAGTTGAGTCCTCCAAACCTCACCTGCTAGTCACACACAAAAAGACAAACGTCCAACACATGCAAAATAGGCCCTAACTCACATTTAGTGATGCTGAATCGTGTGGATGGATGCCAGTTGTGAGAAAATGTTGCAAAAGAAGAAGGTTATGTGGGAGATTTCTGTTGAGGGATGCATGTAGGCTACATTTTTGACTGCTATCGCCAATCTGAATATTAGGCTGCATTTACACAGGCAGCCCAATTCTGATATTTTTTTTCCACTAATTGGTCTTTTAACTAATCACATAAGATCTTTTCACTTCTCAGCTTTCAAGGCATGAAGAAACTCCTCTCATGACGTCAGCTTTACTTGGATATTGGGAAATGTGGCTGGTTTGTTTCTTGATGTGGCAGAACAAATTTGCAGCCCCACACAATTTCTACAAACCCACGACCAATATTTCACCAACCTCGACGGTAGGCCTACCTGCCTCAGGTATGTACTTTAATCGAACAGTCTGGTAATGAGCTTTGTGTACATAAAGAAGCGCGTCTTCAACTTCCAGCTTTTTAGATTGGTAACGTTAATCCAATAAGCGACTGTAAATTGAATGCTGACACCGAGACAAGTTTATTAATATGATAGCAATAGGTATTTAGGGGTCGAACATACATTTACAATTAATTATGGTTTTAGCACACATAAGAAAAATACTTGTTGATCTTAGACTTGCTAACTACTTCCGAAACAAACATACATTGCATTTCGTGATATGTAGTCTTCGTGGCCGATCGGTAGCCAGATCAGTTGTCATCCTTCTCTTTCGTAGATTTTTGATTGATACAGTGGCATCCATATCTAGGTTTGCGTATAACTCGAGTCTACTCGACAATTGCTACTTGTCTAAATGTAATTGTTATCCCGTGACATCTGTAGGTTATTTACTGAAATGACCTCGACGCGCAAAGTCTGTACAAGCCAAGGGCTGTCAGTGCTTCCGCGCAAGCGCATTATGAGCGACTGGCTAACAAATTGGTAAAAAGCCGTGTGAAAATGGTAGGTAAGAAGAACATTAATAAACACAACCTCAAGCATAAACCGCTGCGGTGATGTTGAACCCCGGGATTATAACATGTTGCGCGAGGTATACATTATTCCGTCGCGTCTCACGGGCTGTCTCCTGCCTGTCTGTGTTGCCATTGTTGAGCTGTTTCACTTGACTTATTTACCAGGGAAAGGAAAGGAAGGTCAGTTGGTGGTATTTTGAGACCTAGAACTGCATTCTTCCAGCGCGCAGCTAGCTGGCTACGACTCCCTTTTTGGTAGTCTGGAAATGCGAGCCAGTCAGACGCTCCATGTTGAGAAGTTGGTCGTGGTTGACGGCGGTGGCCAAGCCGGACCAGTTAGCGAGCAGGACGGATACTGTTTTCTCGCACACCCGTGAAATATCCTATGGACGCCCGATCTGTTGATGCATGTTTTTGTTGATTACGTTTCCGTCCGAGGTAGTTGTCGCTTTTCACTCACACTCTCAACAGAGTAGTTATAGCCGACCTAAAATCCACTCTATTGTGAAGGAAGTTCACCGTGGAGTTTAGTCAGCTAAGTAGTTATCAGTCTAGAGTTATCGGACACTCGGTGATCATGGGGTAGCATCGTTTACAGTTGTTGACTGTCTATTAAAATAGATGCATGTCTCGAAGTTATGGAAATATGCCTAACTTTTAACACGCAAGCAGGACTGCATTACATGTTTAATTGTGCATACACTCAGTTTGAAATGAGCACACCTGGTCACTTCTTCATTACACAATCTGCTTAGTGCTTACTCTGCAAAGTTGGAAATAACCCCTGTATATCTGGCAGTAGCATGGTGTGTTTGGGACCATGGGACGCCCTGGAACAGTTGAACAGTGAGGTCCCGTTGATGGCATCCCACTACTCGTGTTACATTACATTCCACCAGACTCCCCATATACTGGGGGCCTTCTGGGGTGCACATGCTCCGAGCTTACCCAACGTTCTCCACTCTCAGAATAGTTCTAGGTCTGCCTTGCTTGTTGACTGGACGCCCAAAGTATTGCCCACAGCTTGTTTGCTTGTCTGTCTACTGCTATCTGTTTGTCGACTTGTATCTCATCATCATACGAAGTGAGTGTCTCTGTCTGTCTGTCTGTGACCATCTACCCTTGTGTCCGGTGTCCACATGACTTCGGCCTGAATGTCTGTGGATGTGTGTGTGTCCCTGTGTATCCTGGTGTGCGTCTCAGTGTGTGTGTGCGTCCTGCTGTCGGTGCTGCCCGGTCTCTCGGTGTCTGACAGCCCGTGTCCTGTCTCCGTGCAGCATAAGCTGAAGTCTTCGCAGAGGGACAAGGTCCGGCAGTTCATGTCCTTCACGCAGGCTGGGGAGAAGACTGCCGCTTACTGCCTGACCCAGAATGACTGGAAACTAGAGGTGGCCACAGACAACTACTTCCAGAACCCAGACCTCTACTACAAGGAATCAATGAAAACTCCTGTGGAGAAGAAGAAGCTGGAACAGCTCTACAACCGCTACAAAGGCAAGTGGGGGAAGTTATGGAGGAATACAGCACGTAGAGCTTGTGTGTCAAAGGTTATGTGTGTGTTATAGGTTAGTAAGTGTGTGTGTAGTATGTATTTGTGGAGTTATGCATTGTATTGGTTATCTTGTTCACGAGAAGAGGAAATTTGTGTTTGAGAGTCTCTCAAATCCCTAAGATAGTGTGTGTGTGTTTGTATACAGTTGAAGTCGGAAGTTTACATACACTTAGGTTGGAGTCATTAAAACTCGTTTTTCAACCACTCCACAAATTTCTTGTTAACAAACTATAGTTTTGGCAAGTCGGTTAGGACATCTACTTTGTGCATGACACAAGTCATTTTTCCAACAATTGTTTACAGACAGATTATTTCACTTATAATTCACTGTATCACAATTCCAGTGGGTCAGAATTTTACATACACTAAGTTGACTGTGCCTTTTAAACAGCTTGGAAAATTCCAGAAAATGATGTCATGGCTTTAGAAGCTTCTGATAGGCTAATTGACATGATTTGAGTCAATTGGAGGTGTACCTATGGATGTATTTCAAGGCCTACCTTCAAACACAGTGCCTCTGCTTGACATCATGGGAAAATCAAAAGAAATCAGACAAGACCTCAGAAAAAAAAATTGTAGACCTCCACAAGTCTGGTTCATCCTTGGGAGCAATTTCCAAACGCCTGAAGGTACCACGTTCCTCTGTACAAACAATAGTACGCAAGTATAAACACCATGGGACCACGCAGCCGTCATACCGCTCAGGAAGGAGACGCGTTCTATCTCCTAGAGATGAACGTACTTTTGTAGCGAAAAGTGCAAATCAATCCCAGAACAACAGCAAAGGACCTTGTGAAGATGCTGGAGGAAACGGGTACAAAAGTATCTATATCCACAGTAAAACGAGTCCTATATCGACATAACCTGAAAGGCCGCTCAGCAAGGAAGAAGCCACTACTCCAAAACCGCCATAAAAAAGCCAGACTACGGTTTGCAACTGCACATGGGGACAAAGATCATACTTTTTGGAGAAATGTCCTCTGGTCTGATGAAACAAAAATAGAACTGTTTGGCCATAATGACCATCGTTATGTTTGGAGGAAAAAGGGATGTTCAAGCTTGGTCACAAATGGGTCTTCCAAATGGACAATGACCCCAAGCATACTTCCAACGCTGTGGCAAAATGGCTTAAGGACAACAAAGTCAAGGTATTGGAGTGGCCATAACAAAGCCCTGACCTGAATCCTATAGAAAGTTTGTGGGCAGAACTGAAAAAGCGTGTGCGAGCAAGGAGGCCTACAAACCTGACTCAGTTACACCAGCTGTCAGGTGGAATGGGCCACAATTCAACCAATTTATTGTGGAAGGCTACCTGAAACGTTTGACCCAAGTTAAACAATTTAAAGGCAATGATACCAAATACTAATTGAGTGTATGTAAACTTCTGACCCACTGGGAATGTGATGAAAGAAATTAAAGCTGAAATTAATCATTCTCTCTACTATTATTCTGACATTTCACATTCTTAAAATAAAGTGGTGATCCTAACTGACCTAAGACAGGGAATTCTTACTAGGATTAAATGTAAAGAATTGTGAAAAACTGAGTTTAGATGTATTTGGCTAAGGTGTATGTAAACTTCAGACTTCAACTGTATACCTGTCATTCCACAGATCCCCAGGATGAGAATAAGATTGGCATCGATGGCATCCAGCAGTTCTGTGACGACCTCACCCTGGACCCGGCCAGCATCAGTGTCTTGGTGGTGGCGTGGAAGTTCCGGGCCGCCACCCAGTGCGAGTTCAGCAAGAAGGAGTTCCTGGATGGCATGTCCGAACTGGGGTGAGCGAGTGGTGAAGTCATCACTCTGCGACATAGCTCCGTTTGGTGGCATGACAGTGTGTTATTGGTTATTGCCAGTGCATGTTATTGTGGTGTTTGTTGTTAGTGTGTTCACATGGTGGGGAGAGGTTCTATATTTAGACTCAGTCAACCTTGGCATTAATACTGTGTGTCTTCATGTTTTGTGTGAAGCCAAGCCAGCGTAGGTTAGCTCTGGGTCTTATTTAGTAGGCACAGAACAGGAACATGTTTTTAAATGGAAATTGAAAATAAGTGTTCTTATTTTATCCTGTTTTGTGCCTACTGAACACGGCCCTGGGGAACCCAAAAGATCGGTAGCAGATCATAGCAAAAGAACAGTTTAGGAACCACTGGATTAGTGAGGTGTGTGTTTATGTAATTGTTTTGTGTTTTTGATTGATTTATCCACTTACTTGCCCACTGTATTTATCTTCTGTCCAGTTGCGACAGCCCAGAGAAGTTGAAGGCTCTTCTTCCCAGGTTAGAACAGGAGCTTAAAGACAGCGGCAAGTTCAAGGACTTCTACCAGTTCACATTCAACTTCGCCAAGAACCCTGGACAGAAGGGTTTAGGTAAGCGCAGATGAAAGTTAGTTACATTAGTGTTCACAAGAGTTACTGTAGTTACATTAGTGTTCACAAGAGTTACTGTAGTTACATCAGTGTTTCTCAACTCCAGTCCTGAGGACACTGAGGGTCTGCAGGCTTTTGTTTCAACCCAGTGTGAACACATCTGATTAAACTATAGTGAGATAACAAGGTGTGACTCTGGCTGTGTTTCAGATCTAGAGATGGCTGTGGCCTACTGGAACCTGGTACTGACAGGCCGCTTTAAGTTCCTGGACCTCTGGAACAGGTTCTTATTGGTGAGTGAGTAATGTTATGCATCCCAATCTAACATTACATTTTGAGCTGGACTCCTTGTTTTGTTATGTACATCCTGTGTCTTGTTTTCTGCTGTGCACTTTTCCCACTTTCGTTTTCTCATGTTTTTTATAGGAACACCACAAACGGTCAATTCCCAAAGACACATGGAACCTACTCTTGGATTTTGGCAACATAATCGCAGACGACATGTCAAATTACGACGAGGAGGGTGAGTTTAAAACCTCTGGTTACCTGGAGTGTATTCAATAGGGTATAGAGTAGTCATGGTTCATTGCTGTCTGCAAAAGTGCAATACACTGAATGTTGCTCTCAACTGAATATACACAATGACAGACTGCAGTAGTCATCAAACCTGGTCCTGGAAAGCTACTGAGTGAGCAGGCTTTTGTTCCAGCTCAGCACCAACACACCTGATTCAGCTAATCAAGTTTGTGATGAGCCGTAAATTAGTTGAATCAGGTGATTCAGTACTGGGCCGAAACAAAAGCCTGTAGACCCTGCAGCTCTCCTGGACCAAGTTTGGTGACCAGAGACCACTGCTCTAGATGAGACACTGATTTAAGGTTAGTTTTGTGTTTTCCCCCAATGCCTACAGTTAGGATGTAGAGAGTCAGCTGTTTTGAGATCTGTGCTAAGGGCAACTTCTACCTGGAGCAAGGGATGGATTAAGACAGTCAATAAAGTGACCGCTAATCATACGTCTCCTTCCTGTCAGGGGCGTGGCCAGTTCTCATAGACGACTTTGTGGAATTCGCCCGGCCGATCGTAACGGGATCCAAACGCAAAACCCACTATTAACAACCCAGCTCTTGAAAGAGGGGCAGAACTTTGGTTCCTCTTCATTGACTTTGTAGGAATTTTTTTATAGACTTTTTAAGAGGAAACCAGAGAAACACTTGAAACCGTGACACCGCACAACTATCAGGTAACCCAGCTATGAGGGATGAGTGAGAGGAAAACACAGGAAGCAAGGCTTTATTTCTGTACTTGTTTGATGGGAGTCACCACGTGCACATTACCAGCTGGCAGTACATGTCCCAGCCTGAGGGCCAGCCGGGAAGAGGCCTTGGGGATATCAGTGTTCCAGGCAACGCTCCCTTTGGAATCTCAGTATTCCAGTGAAGAGGAGAAAAGGAGAGTTGCCTCCCCTGGCACGCTCTCTCTCTTGCTCTCTCTATCTGCTCTCTCAGCTCTGGGAATTCGGATTGAACATTTTTTGTGTGTTTTTGGGGTTGATCCTTGTTAGTTAGCTTTGTGTGGCACGCAGGGCTCTGAGGGGACTGTTCAGAACAGGCCTTGTTTCTAACCCAAACACTTTGGGAAGACAGAGCGGCTTGCAACGTTTGCTCACGACACCAGCGTCAACAAAACTGTTACAGTTATATACTGTATATATTATACTGTGTCTTTTAAAACAGTATGTACAGAGAATTATATGAAGAATAATATAAATAAGTTACATTTATAATTATAAGAGTTTAAACTTTTTGTGTAAATTAAAAAGATCTGGTATATGATGCCTCAATAAGATTTGATAGAATTGTAGGTCTGGTGTGTACCAAGTCGTCATTTTATTTGACAGTTTGGGTTCGAAAATGGCAACATTCTGTGTTTTTAGAATCTTTTTTTGGTTCACTTTTATATTTGTTTAAACAAATACATTTCAGCCATTGAAGTAAATAGACCATGCTTCCTCTAAATGGTTGTCCCATTCAACATGTATATTAGGGAAGGGCTGTTCATTCTGGCACGCAAGGACTGAAATTCTGTTCTTGTTGGAGGTTTGGATAAATAAAAATGAAATGCTGTGTCTGCTGGCCAATTAATGACACTAATTGATCAATTAAGTGTAAGGCACAAAAGACAAGCAGGACTGTGGACCTCAGTGACTGTAAATTGTGCACTTCTGCATTATGTAATTTCAACACCCCAAAAACAACCACCAAGCAGTCACTAGGGGGCACTGTTTGTCACGCATGTGTGCGTGCGAGAGGAAGTGCTTTGGACAGGGCTTACATGTGTTGAAAAGGACCCTGCCGCCCATCCATTTAGTATTAAAGCCTTTGTGACAAGCATTATTTACACTATTTGTCATTCAATAATCATACAGATATTGTTAGTTTGGAAAGGAATATTGAATAAAGCATGTTTTTATCAGAAGTGAATGGGCTGTTCTGCTGTAATGTGATGATTGTCTCATGTTTTAATTGTGTCTCTATTGCTATTTGCAACATTTTTGAATGTTTCACCCTACTGAACACATCTCTTCTGATCCACCCCAGCGGACTCAAGCTACACACACACAGCATCATGAGTATTCAAGACCCTGTCCAATTAGCTGTTGCCCTCTCCCTCCAATACTGTCTTCCTCCTCCACAAGCACCTGAGCTTCATTTACACATCACACAAGGGCCTTATTCAGGAGGTTGAACATGTCACAGAACACTCCGATATAACCTACTGTATTGTGTAGATTAGAACATACATTCTCTGTGTTGTGGTACAAGACTAGAATTTGGACTAATGGAAGGTTACTAGACTGATGGAGGGAATGAGCAGGTAGCTATACTGAATCGTTGGCATCATTACTTGTGTAATGTTTTACCAACATAATTACATTTGCTATGGGTTTATTATCACCATCCCAATGTTGCCCTTAGGCACAGATCTATGATCTGCTTAACCTACCTTTTCCAAACCCTAACCTTAACCATTACGGGAAAACAAAAACTCATACTACTCAAATGTGCTACTTTTATACACCCAGAATGCAATGTTTACTTTGTTGATCAACTACTGGCTACTGGAGAGAGGAAAGTAGGTCACAGTCTTTTGTGAGTAAATAAATACATAACACTGACATAAAGGCACAAGTGGCATCTTGCTATCACGGCTTGATACAACAAAGAAGACCATTGAGGATGGAAAGCAAAATGCACTATTTAGACATTCATTTTTTTCTCACTTGATCATCGCAGTTGACACTTTAAAGCTGGTGAAGTTCAAAAACGCCCCCAAGCTCACAGTCCTTATAATAGATAGAGCCGTGAAAAACAGCAGTAGACTATAGGAGAAGGGTGCAACTGCAGGCCGCAATTCGGGGCATTCCTGCATGTGGGCATTTCTGCCTCTTTACTTCTATTGGTCCATTTTTAAGTTATAATAATAAATAATAATAATATAATATGCCATTTAGCAGACGCTTTTATCCAAAGCGACTTACAGTCATGCGTGCATACATGTTTTGTGTATGGGTGGTACCGGGGATCGAACCCACTACCTTGGCGTTACAAGCGCCGTGCTCTACCAGCTGAGCTACAGAGGACCCCTGCCTCCAGTACATTGGCGGGAGGCAGGGGCGCTCCAGTACAGTAGATGGAGGTAATGCACCGATAAACCCCACAGAAGAAGAAGTCTCTGAGATGTTTCTACAACTTGATTGGAGTCCACCTGTGGTAAATTCAATTGATTGGATGTGATTTGGAAAGGCACACACCTGTCTATATAAGGTCCCACAGTTGACAGTGCATGTCAGATCAAAAACCAAGGCATGAGGTCGAAGGAATTGTCCGTAAAGCGCCGAGACAGGATTGTGTCGAGGCACAGATCTAGGGAAGGGTACCAAAACATTTCTGCAGCATTGAAGGTCCCCAAGAACACAGTGGCCTCCTTCATTCTTAAATGGAAGACGTTTGAAACCACCAAGACTCTTCCTAGAACTGGCCGCCCGGCCAAACTGAGCAATAGGGGGAGAAGGGCCTTGGTCAGGCAGGTGACCAAGAACCCGATGGTCACTCTGACAGAGCTCCAGAGGTCCTCTGTGGAGATGGGAGAACCTTCCAGAAGGACAACCATCTCTGCAGCACTCCACCAATCAGGCCTTTATGGTAGAGTGGCCAGACAGAAGCCACTCCTCAGTGAAAGGCATATGACAGCCCGCTTGAAGTTTGCCAAAAGGCACCTAAAGGACACTCAGACCATGACAAACAAGATTCTCTGGCATGATGAAACCAAGATTGAACTCTGTGGCCTGATGGCCAAGCATCACGTCTGGAGGAAACCAGGCACCGCTCATCACCTGGCCAAAACCATCCCTACGGTGAAGCATGGTGGTGGCAGCATCATGCTGTGGGGATGTTTTTCAGCGGTAGGGACAGGGAGACTAGTCAGGATGGAGGGAAAGATGAACGGAGCAACGTACAGATAGATCCTTGATGAAAACCTGCTCCAGAGCGCTCAGGACCTCAGACTGGGGCGAAGGTTCATCTTCCAACAGGACAACGACCCTAAGCACACAGCCAAGACAACGCAGGAGTGGCTTCGGGACAAGTCTCTGAATGTCCTTGAGTGGCCCAGCCAGAACCCGGACTTGAACCCGATCTAACATCTCTGGAGAGACCTGAAAATAGCTGTGCAGCGACGCTCCCCATCCAATCTGACAGCTTGAGAGGATCTGCAGAAAATAATAGGAGAAACTCCCCAAATAGAGGTGTGCCAAGCTTGTAGCGTCATACCAAAGAAGACTTGAGGCTGTAATCGCTGCTAAAGGTGCTTCAACAAAGTACTGTGTAAAGGGTCTGAATACTTATGTAAATGTGATATTTAAGTTTTTTGTTTTTATTAATTCTACATTCATGCAGGAACCAATGGGATTCTCAAGGGGGGGTGTTCATGAAGGAACCAATGGGATGCAGTCCATGCAGGAACGCCCCGAATTGCGGGATGCAGTTGCACACTATTGGACTATAGGCCTACTGGGCTGAATGTAGAATTTACTGAATGGATATATACCTGAGGTGTGGGGGAGTTTACAAAGACCAAAGTCCCGCCTCCCGATTAATCATTGGTGAGGTAGGGGAGGGGAATCGTATTCATTTATGGGCTGAAGAGAGGTGGTAGATTAATGGACTTTTCCATGTTTGTTTTTTTCAAAATTTTATGACGATATTTATTTCACATTAGCCTGCAAGTTGTTTCGTGACATTGATTGCTCCTGATTAACTTTTGAGCATCCCGTGTCGTTACAGTCCGTCGTGTTTTGCTCCCGCTGACTGGCAATGTATGGTAGTAGGCTATGGCTTTCTGATGTAACTGCAGCTATTGGAGTTGGTGGATCAGAAAATTAAGTTCGAGAGTGCGTTTTGACATTTTACCGACAATTCCGAGGAGTAGGCTACCCGCTATGGAGAGTGAAACGAACGGTAACATCTCGATCACTTCCCAACTTCACCTGAACAGCACCAATGCGAATGACAGGTAGGGTCCTAACGGTTGTGACGTTTTCTTGTATGAATTATGTTGTTGCATTGACGAGTATCATACATTTATTTGTCGCCGACTTATCTGTGATGAAAGCTTGTAATGATCAAACAATTTTTGGCAATGAAAAGTTATACAGCATCTGTCATGATGTTGTGCATCAGGTGACAACGTCATGGCATGACAATAATTAACCAGGTGGGCTTTTAGTGTAGGCCAATCAGCTGGCTTTAACTTTACACTGTCTATGTCACTAAGTTTACATTTACCAGCTGAATTGCCATTAAGTACACAATTGTGAAACATCTACCTTTTGTTTTATTGCATGGTATGTATTTTTGGGGTGTTTGAACTTCTCTCTCAAGATCTTCCTTCTTTTGGCTTGGTTTTTGATATGCAGTTTCATTCTCTAGGGTTGTAATTTAACACGGGTTGATTGAACATCATGTCATCTAGTCCAGGTTATTGTAGCTAAGGCTTGGCCAATGTCAAGTCATCTGACTATCACTATGCTATAAGTTCCAAGCTTTTAACCCACACTGGCATCCCTCTGTGATCAATGCAGTCTACTGGGTCTAGAATGTGGGTCATATACAGTGAGGGGGAAAAAGTATTTGATCCCCTGCTGATTTTGTAAGTTTGCCCACTGACAAAGAAATGATCAGTCTATAATTTTAATGGTAGGTTTATTTGAACAGTGAGAGACAGAATAACAACAAAAAAATCCAGAAAAACCCATATCAAAAATGTTATAAATTGATTTGCATTTTAATGAGGGAAATAAGTATTTGACCCCCTCTCAATCAGAAAGATTTCTGGCTCGCAGGTGTCTTTTATACAGGTAACGAGCTGAGATTAGGAGCACACTCTTAAAGGAAGTGCTCCTAATCTCAGTTTGTTACCTGTATAAAAGACACCTGTCCACACAAGCAATCAGTCAATCAGATTCCAAACTCTCCACCATGGCCAAGACCAAAGAGCTCTCCAAGGATGTCAGGGACAAGATTGTAGACCTACACAAGGCTGGAATGGGCTATAAGACCATCGCCAAGCAGCTTGGTGAGAAGGTGACAACAGTTGGTGCGATTATTCGCAAATGGAAGAAACACAAAATAACTGTCAATCTCCCTCGGCCTGGGGCTCCATGGAGTTGCAATGATCATGAGAACAGTGAGGAATCAGCCCAGAACTACACGGGATGATCTTGTCAATGATCTCGAGGCAGCTGGGACCATAGTCACCAAGAAAACAATTGGTAACACACTACGCCGTGAAGGACTGAAATCCTGCAGCGCCCGCAAGGTCCCCCTGCTCAAGAAAGTACATATACAGTGCCGTCTGAAGTTTGCCAATGAACATCTGAATGATTTAGAGGAGAACTGGGTGAAAGTGTTGTGGTCAGATGAGACCAAAATCGAGCTATTTGGCATCAACTCAACTCGCCGTGTTTGGAGGAGGAGGAATGCTGCCTATGACCCCAAGAACACCATCCCCACCGTCAAACATGGAGGTGGAAACATTATGCTTTGGGGGTGTTTTTCTGCTAAGGGGACAGGACAACTTCACCGCATCAAAGGGACGATGGACGGGGCCATGTACCGTCTAATCTTGGGTGAGAACCTCCTTCCCTCAGCCAGGGCATTGAAAATGGGACGTGGATGGGTATTCCAGCATGACAATGACCCAAAACACACGGCCAAGGCAACAAAGGAGTGGCTCAAGAAAAGCACATTAAGGTCCTGGAGTGGCCTAGCTAGTCTCCAGACCTTAATCCCATAGAACGTCTGTGGAGGGAGCTGAAGGTTCGAGTTGCCAAACGTCAGGCTCGAAACTTTAATGACTTGGAGAAGATCTGCAAAGAGGAGTGGGACAAAATCCCTCCTGAGATGTGTGCAAACCTGGTGGCCAACTACAAGAAACGTCTGACCTCTGTGATTGCCAACAAGGGTTTTGCCACCAAGTACTAAGTCATGTTTTGCAGAGGGGTCAAATACTTATTTCCCTCATTAAAATGCTAATCAATTTATAACATTTTTGACATGCGTTTTTCTGGAATTTTGTTGTTGTTATTCTGTGTCTCACTGTTCAAATAAACCTACCATTAAAATTATAGACTGATCATGTCTTTGTCAGTAGGCAAACGTACAAAATCAGCAGGGGATCAAATATTTTTTTCCCTCACTGTAGATCCATCGTTTTTTTCTGTGTGTGTGTGTGTTCTCAGACTGACCCTGCATTATCTCTCTAGGGTGGACTCATATGGGTTTGAGATGCCTGAGGGTTATGAGTCCTATGAGGAGATGATGGCTGAGTATGTAGCCGTGCTCACCAGAAGGTCCACCAAGTGGTCCAAACTCCTACAGGGGAAAGTCCACATGGAGAAGAACCTGAAGGGTGTGATGCATGCACACATACACAGAGAGAGGGAAAAACACACAACACATACACATATTGAATAATGATTTGCATTCTATATTTGCATTATGAGTTTTGACTGTAGTCATGGTTTCGGTGCTCTTAGTGAAGCGGTACGTGCGTAAGGGTGTGCCCAACGAGCACCGAGCCCAGATCTGGATGGCAGCCAGCGGTGCCCAGGAGCAGCTGGAAAAGAACCCAGGGTACTACCACTCTCTGCTTGGCACCGAGCAGCAGCACGATGCCAAGCTGGAGGAGACCGTCAGGATAGGTACTGTAAGCCCATTGTATTCACCTCTACTAAACTCCCCCCACCTGCCGTGGATGCACCTGGGTTGCAATATAAAATGTTTTATGGGCGAATCCACGCCAGCGCAGGCGGAAAATATTGCAGCTATCTCTGATTGTTCTGACAATTGTTAAACAGGAATTTCATTGGTAGTAAGGATGTTTAACATGCATTTTACATTTGTATCACAAATGTAATGATGAAATTGGGCCATTTTAGGCCCTTTTTAGACCTATACATGCCTCCTCTAAGACCCTATGTTCAGTGAACCATAAATTATACAGGAAACATCTTGTTATTATACTCCTTATAGTGTGCTCTCAAATATGGAGTATGTCTTGATGATGAAATACACATTTTCACATTAATTTATTCAACATGGTACATTTAATGATATGACCTATTTTATACATTGCAATTTACATTATAGGTCATTAACCAATCACAGCCCTCCTTTAAGATTGCAATTTCAGCAAGTCACCAGCAGATGGAGTTCCCTTTGAATCCATTTTCCCATTCACTGTGTTGGTGGTGCTCATAAAATGTATCATACCTTCAGAATTAGCAGAGAGCCCACTCTGGAAATGTGATGTACTTGTAGAGTATATTGTTCCAAACAATCTGTCTTAAAATGAACAAAAAGGGTAGTTTTTAGATATTATTATTATTATTATTATTATTATTATTATTATTCATATTTTTAATATTTAATAAATGAATGTGAAATTTTTTATTTCATAATCAAGACATACTCCATATTTTAGAGCACTCTATAAGGAGTATAATGACACCAAGATGTCTATATCAAGTACGGGTCACAGATCATAGGATCTAACAGGAGACATGTATAGGTTAAAAAGGGTCTGAAATTGCCACTTTCATCATGATCTAAAAAAAATTGTTTGTGATAAATGTAAAAATAATTTCAAACATCCTTCCTTCCAATGGAGTTTCTATGTGAGAATTTTCAGAACAATCTGAGATACCAAAAATATTTTCTGCTCCTGCTGGCGTGGAATCGCTCTATAGCGTTTTGCAACAGAAATTAGCGCTTAAAGGACATGTCCAGGTTGTCCCTCCCTATTATGGTCCATTTTCTTCCATTTGGTGTCTAATGAACGAGACCCTGATGCTTCCTTTACGATGATTGGCTGATGGTTGAGTGCCCTGTCTCGGCAGACATGCACAGGACGTTCCCTGACAACGTGCAGTTCCGGAACAGCTCAGAGCCCTGTCTGCAGAAGGCCCTGTACAACGTGCTGCTGGCGTATGGACACCACAACCAGGCTGTGGGATACTGCCAGGTACTGGGCCTTATAGATACTATAAATCATCTGTTGGATGGATTTCACCAGTCTCCTGTGTCTGTCTTGCTTACCTTTGTTTACCTAACATGTGTACAGTACGTCTACTGTCGCCTCTTCTGTGTGTACCTGTTCTGTCTGCCTGTGGCTGTAATAACTGCCTATACCTCACCTGTCCTCTAAAGTGTGTGCATTGTGGGTACATACCATGTGTGCACAGGTTTCTGTGTGTGTGAAGGGAGTTATTGTTTCTTTCTCTATTCTAGGGTATGAACTTCATTGCAGGCTACCTCATCATCATCACTAAGGATGAAGAGAAGTCCTTCTGGCTCATGGACTCTTTGTTAGGAAGAATACTCTCCGGTTAGTCCCACACACTCCTGTTGTGTCTGTCTGTCTGGTTGTGTGAGAGGATATGTGTGGTGAAGTTTGCATAGTCATAGTAGTAGACCAATTTGTTTGTTGAGGATTCTCCCTTCTGTGTATTTTGGGAGCTGCTTCTGGAATAGCACCATGGTCACGTGGCTTGTGGTAAGACTGTGTTTGTTGTTGGTATGTCAAGCTCACATTACGAGATGAGCAAACGCAGGATGTATCTTAGGTTCCAGGATATATACCATCTATGTACACACACACACAACCTCTTGTCGCACACTGAACTGAATTAACCTGAGCTGTCCTTGTTGTGTTGTAGACTACTACAGCCCGGCCATGCTGGGGTTGAAGACAGACCAGGAGGTGTTGGGCGAGCTGGTGAGGGTCAAAGCCCCGGCTGTGTGCCAGGCCATGGCCCAACACAATGTCATGTGGACCCTGGTGGTCTCCCGATGGTTCATCTGCCTCTACATCGATGTCCTGCCTGTAGAGGTGAAGCGGATTGGGGTAGTGTGTGATGTGTTGGTAAAGTCTGGGTCTAATTATTATATTTTGTCTTTTTCTTTCGCTCAGACGGTTCTGCGGATCTGGGACTGCCTGTTCTACGAGGGTTCTAAGATCCTGTTCCGCGTGGCCCTGACTCTGATCCGCCACCACCAGGCTGAGATCGTGCAGGCCCGCTCCATGGTCGAGCTGTGTGAGCGCTTCAAACTGATCACCCAGGGAGCCTTCACAAACGACTGCCACACCTTCATGCAGGTAAGCTACTCCAGAAGAGAAGTAACCATAGGCAAAGATCTAGGATCTGTTCACCATATAAAAATACTAACCTTAAAGGTCCAATGCAGCCATTTCTATCTCAATATCAAATCATTTCTTACTGTGATTGTTTTAAATTAAAATTGTCAAAAAGAAACAAATAGCTTCTCAAACAATAATTTTGCTCGGACTGTCTGGGAGTGGTCTGAGTGGGGAGGGGAAAACTGAAAACCAGCTGTTATTGGCAGAGAGGTTTGGAACTCTCTTTCTTATTGGTCTGTTAACTAATTTACCACCTGGTGATGTCACCAGGCATGCCAAAACGCCATCCCACCAAAACAGGCTGAAATTTCAGGTGGTCTGTTCAAACAGCTCTTACACGAAAAGGGCATTATCATAATTTTCACAGTTTTATTCCAACCTCATAGTGTGGAAATATATTTTAAAAAACACATGTTCGACTGCACTGGGCATTTAACAAAAAGCACATCTCAATAGGTGGTCTAGGTATGACATGGCACAAGTGGGTGGGAGGGCCCTGACCTCTATTGCTCCTCTATTGTTCCCACTAGCAAGGGGGAGGCAGATGAGAGTTAACGCATCAGACCAACTCCTTGAATAGCCAACTCTTGAAGTTTGTCTAAAACAGGGGTTCCCAAACGTTTTCACTCAGGCCCCCTTCCAGCATTGGGGAACATCTTGCGCCCGCCACATCTATTTCTATGGGCACAAGCACTGTTCATGACGCAAACTGTTCACAACCCTCTTGTTGTTGGAGAGAATATTTTCAGTTTTAAAGCTCATTTTCTTGCGACTCTATAGATTTTGCCATGTCTAATGTGTTTTCATGTGATATTTGAGTGACTGAAACGTTACAACAATCTATGGGCTAAAAAAACTAGCTCAAATGTTAGCTGACATGGGCTTGTTGATCTGGACATTTCTGATGAGTTATAAATAGCTCTCTAAGGTATGCAATGACTGACATGACAAGAGGGAAACTGATGATGCACTATCCAATTTCAAAATTGCACCTTGTGCATTCCCCACAGTTTGGGAACCACTGATCTAAAAAACCATTTTTACCCTTAAGTGTGTGTACATTACGATTTATATTTGGGATATTGTTTTTCAACAGGAAAAGGTCAAAAATAGCTGAAGTGCGTCTTTAACCATGAGTAAGGAAATGCAAAAGAGACTTTAGATCAGCATCTATGGACAACTTCACCAGTGAACTCTGGTCCACAAACAGTTTACAAATGCCTTTCTCCTTTTCCTGATATTGACAGGAAATCTTCAGGGAACCAGGAAGTCTCTCCATGGCAACCATCACTAAACTAAGGGAGACATGCCGAGAACGCATAGTGGCTGAGATGTCCAGACTCCGCCCTTGACCACTCCTCCACCACTAATAACCTCTCTAAGGCAATCACCCTGTAGTTATCCTGGGCTTGTTCCAGGTCATCTTCATTGCGCTACACAGATTATCAGATCTAACAACATCTGGAGAAATGTTTAATATCTCAGGAACCATTATAAATATGATGACATGGCAATCACTCTTCTGAGATTGTAGTACCCCCATCTAGCCAAAGATTATTCTTTGTGTTGTAAAAAGCATTAAACAGTAATTCTGTACTTTTTGCACTTTTCCTGTGGTCCTATGTAGTCCAATTCTCCCCAAAGTGTACCATCTTCAACTCCGGAATTACCTGGGGAGAAAGATGTGGTGAAAACTCTCAAGCCCATACTTACACCATCCCAATGCTTTAAAATCCATGATGGAGAGTGAGCAAGTGCACACTTATGCCCGAATCCTAACTTGAAGTGTGCATGTAAGTTTGTGCAATCATTTTGCATTGACATCAATGAATGATTTACGCAATATGTGTGTGCGATCATACCTCAAGTTCGAATTTGACTGGCTTAAAGGGTAGGGAATTGGACCGAAGTCTTTCTCGGCTCTATTTGCAACAAATGGCTGCTCTCTCACTGTTACCTTTAATTGCAAGTTAATTACTGTCGATTAAAAGTGAGAATTTAAGCAAAATGTATCACGTAGCCTATCACTTTGTTCTCCAAGCTTAGCGATTTGTGTTCCCAAATACAAGCAATCTTGAATAGAACCAAGGGTTATATCAAACACCACAAGACAAACTGTACATAGAGCTCATTCCTCAGCTCCTTTTTATTGGCCTCCGCTTTTAGAAAACAATTAAAACATTATCTTTAAAACCTTAAGGGCTGGATTCAATCTGTATTGCGGAACAGCCGCATTAAAATGAAGGTAATTTCTGATTGAGTTGACATATGCAGCGCTTAACGTTAATGCAGTCTCCGAACGCAGGAACATTTCAATCTCGCTATGACGCAGATCTGATACAGATTGAATCTAGCCCTAAATCACTACATATGGATATTAACACTTCTAGATGAGGGGTAGAACAAAAATGCACATCATTTTTACTTCCCCCTTTCACTACAAACAATGTATCCTCTATGATCATTCAATAGGCCAGGCAAATCCCCAAAAAATAATGTCCCTAACAAGTCACGCTGTGTAGAGCGAAAAGCTGTGTCCCAAATATCACCCAAATAAGATGTGCACTACATGGGGAATAGGGTGTCTGTCATTTGAGACATATAATATATAATATATATATATATATATGAGTGAGAGAAACAATAACATTGGCATAGATCCCATCCTTCTTGTAAGTGGCGAGGCACAGATTCCATTTGGCAAGGGCATTTCAAATTATTTTGGGGTGGCAAAATTCTGTCCTTTCTAAAATGGCGTTGTACTATTGACAGTAACTCCAACTCCCTAAAATTGTTCTAACTATAATAGCCCGAATCCTAACTTAAGAAAACAACCTATAACTGAACTATTCACTCAAATGTCCAGTTACATTTTGAGCTAATATTCGGCCTTTGTGAACACCATGTAACTTTACTGTAACAACCACTCCCCTTAATATATCACTGGAAGTACCAACAAAAAAAAGTAGCAAAAAAAATCACTGTGTATTAATAATGTAACTATAATTGGTAGTACCAGTATTCATAAAACCAGGTTTAAGTCACTGCTACGAGGGGAAAAGCACTGGCACATAATACATTTCCTCCACTGTGCCAACATGCTGAGTAACAGCATTTTCATCCATATCATCTTTAGGTTAGGTAGTAACATGGTAGTCAAGTTTCATAACTGCCATTGTACAGTGCACTGAAATTCCAATGTGTAAGTAGAGCATACGCCCACCACGTCCCTTCATTCTAGTGTAGCATGACGCTCGTTCTGTCAATTCAGTTTCAGTTCATTGTTACACTCCCTCTTGCCCCGCAAATGTACTAATCAGACGCAAGGTGGAGATTCCAAGTTATTTAGGGGGTAGGGGCTATAGGGTTGTTTGTGGACTGGGCTAGTGTTACTCTCTGATCACCATAAATTAATGAGTCCCTCTCTCTGCAGACCTCAACTGCTTTACCATCAAATTACCTCAATCCACTCCTAGAGGAACCCAAAGTGCTTTTGTCAGAGACCAGTAAAACGTAAGCATGATAAAATACCATAGGCTACGCAGAGTGAGTGTGGATTATTATTCAGCATATGGTTTGAGCACTCCACCACACCATCCCCTCCTGCAATGTTAAGTGACTGTGTCAAGAGTGTTTTGTTATGTCATTACAATCTCTCAGCAGATTCCCTTTTTTTATTATACAGTCCTGAAAGCGCAAATCGACCCCATGAAGGGGAGGAGGTGGCAGCAAGGATTCTAGGGTAAGACCAGTTGACAGGTAGTAATGTCAGATAGTCTGGTACCCGGCGTGGCTCCTCTTCCTGCCGATAAGGTAGGCCACAAGGACAATGAGGACCAGGCTGGCCAGCGCAGCGCCCACGATGATGGGGATCAACATGTCATCCTCATCCAGCTGACACTCCTCCGCTGGAGGGATTGAGAGAGACAGTGAGAGAGGGGGAATGAGATACACCAATGGAGAGAGAAAGAAAATGGTGGGAAAAAAATAAGAGATGGAAAGACAAGAAAAAGCAGAAGTTGACTGAGTGACCATCATTATAATCTAATTATTACTCCAATCTCAGAAATGTGGATAACAACCACCTTCCTAAAATAACACATTTTAAATGGTGACAGTCCCATAGTAACACCCAGTACAGTACCTGCTCCAAACTGGTCCCTGGTTAGGCCGAAGGGCTGCACCTGCAGCTGGAAGGTGTTGAGAGAGAAGTTCACAGCCACAGCCAGAGTCTGCTCTTCATGACACACGTAACTATGCCCCAGGGTACCGCGCAGGTAGTCCAGACTACTGTTACTGGCTGAGAAGGGCTCTGGAGGGACGACAGGGAGAGCGAGATATGTTGAGAAGGGATGGAGGTAGAGAAGGAGGGCGAGGTTATGGGTGGCGTGAGAAAGGGAAGAGAAAACTGAATATAATGGAAAAGAGGATGAAAAGAAAGGAAAGGGAGGGCTGTGAAAAAGGAGAAAGAAAGGATGGGAGAGGCGGATAAGGACAAGAAGAAGTTACAGTAGGACCAGGTGGGGGATGCATTGTGGGAAAGGGAGGATTATAGAGGGGTGTCAACACTGGAAAAACTGCATACATGACAGACTGAGGTTATAAGAGGATAGATGGATCATGTGCATGCATTATTCACTAGATTAAATGCTGCACAGATGATCTGTTGAACTATGGATCCAGACTCACCACTCATGTCCAGCCAGACTGCAGACAGGATCACTCCACTCAGGTGGTACTTACTGGACGTGGCATTCTGCAGACACAAGAGAACCAATGATGACACACAGGATTACAGAGCCAAACCCACTCCATTTAAGCCAGCATGGAACAATCCAAGTCATGAGTGCCTGTTCTCTGCTTGTTCATGAGGCTCCATCTTGTGTTAGTGCGGAAAGGTTTGTACTACTGATACAGAAGACTACCTTATTTATGCATGTACTGATGAGAAAAAGAATAAACCAATCATCATGTAGAGATCAGTAGTCTGCCATCCATCACCTCCATTCCCCCTACACACTACAATCCTGCTGGTAACACCAGGTACCAGGACATTTCCATTCTGTGGGTTTACTCTGCCTGTGTGTGTGTACAGTAAGGGAATGAGTATTTGTATTGTGTGTGTGTGTGTCTCTTTGTCTGTCTGTGTCTGGATGAGGTGAAAGGTACAGCCAAAGAGAGAAAGAGAGAAAGTAAAGAGAAGCAAAAAAAGGTAAGAGAGCTCTGACCAGGGAGAAAAGGAAGGTGAGGTTGGTTTTCTCCTCATCAGCCATCAGCATCAGGGTGGCACTGTCCGAGTCACATGACCCTGAGCTCTTAGTCACGTTGGGCTGGAGGTTCACCACGTCTTGCACAGTCTGCACACACAGGACAAGACACGGGTTGGTGTGAGAGTGAGTGAGTGCCTAGGCTGCAAGTACGTGCAAGTATGTGTGTCCGTGTGCGTACATTATTGAGAGAGGCAGAGCTGAAGCGGATGTTGAGCTGCAGTCCCATACGGGCCATCAGACAGACGGTCCCGTTGCCATTGGTTACAGTGTAGTTGCCCCTCTCAGGCCGGGCTGGGGGCGCAGGAGGCAGAGCCGTGGTTTGAGGGGCAGCAGCAGTGGGCGGGACATCAGTGGCAGCAAAGCTCTGATGCAACGTGACCGCTGTAATGATGTAACACTAAGTCAATTAAGTCAAACAGCCAATGCCAGTCTACAATCACAGACTCCATGCATGGATAGAAAAAAGATACAGCTCGGTCCGATCCTTAGCTAGCTGGTGGTTAGGTCTCACAGGGTGCATCTCATTAGGCTTGAGTGGCCTCCTCTCCTCTGCCATATTTGCATAGATGTGAAAGAACTTGACCTCTGCAGGCATTCATCACCATAATGTTGCTTTCACCTATCATGTGTTATCATCAGATAAATGCAGACGAAGGAGAGGAGATGAAGGGAGCCACTTGAGACTATTGAGATGCACCCATTGAGTAGGTCAGTAACCTTGGGGTAATGTTGTGGCTAATTCCTTTAATGGGTTGGCTTAAAACTGGGTGGTAACAACAACAAACAACTCTGGTTCCATTTATTTTGCAGTCACATGAAAATTCCAAAAGCTTTAGTGGGTCACACCACAAAAAGTTTTTTAAAGAACCATTTGAATGAAGAAGCATGTCTGTTCTACTTGGTTCATTTCTACAATACAGTCACTTTCATCATTATTAGCCTCATGTGGCTTCCAAGGCTACATCATTACTGATGCCATCGCTCAAATTCTCTTCGGCTGATGTCCGTCTATCTCTCTGTGCACAGAAAAATACTACTGAACACTGTCACTACTACCTTGCTTTTGAACCAAGGTATGAATAAAGGAGGAAAACTTAGCCTAAAATGTCAAAAATATTCAGCAACTCTTGGAGAACAATTTTAGTTGACAGAGCTGGGCGAAATGGACAAAAATCCATATCACGATAAATTGACTGAATCACAATAACGATACATTTTTAACAGTGTGCACCAGTTCCTATTTTTATATTACCCTTAAAACTACTACATTTTAGTCATTTAGCAGACGCTCTTATCCAGAGCGACTTACAGTTAGTGAGTGCATACATTTTCATACTGGTCCCCCGTGGGAAACGAACCCACAACCCTGGCGTTGCAAGCACCATGCTCTACCAACTGAGCTACACAGACACCTACTACTACTACTACTACTTTAAATGTTGTGGCTATCAACTGTGCTGTTGGCAATAGCCCATATTAGCAGATTAGCAGATTTAGTCATATCCATGGTTACCTATTTACTTATGGCCCTGCCTACAGCGAAATACTTGTATTTATTTATTATATGAGCAAAAAAATATTCCACCTTATTTGGAACGGCAAGCCAGATAAAATTAAACAGGCCTATTTATATAATGAATATGGAGGGCAGAAATGATTAAATAAATATTGGACCTCTCACTAAACGCTTCAGTCATACAAAAGCTATACTTAAATCTGAACTGGTTCTCTAGCAGATTAGTAAGAATGGATCACCCAGTGTTCAAGAATGGTCTTTTTCCCTTCATTGTAGATTACAACCTCTCACTTTCGGTTATTTGAAAATGAAATAATCTCCAAAATATCGCTATTTTTAAAACAACCATAGAAAGCTGGTTGCAATTTCAGTTTAATCTAGCAGAAAAGAGAACAAATATTATGGTTAAACTCAAATATACTAATCGATAAAAATACAAAATAAACATCCAGTACCAGTCAAAAGTTTGGATACACCTACTCGTTCAAGGGTTTTTCTTTATTTTTTTGCTATTTTCTACATTATAGAATAATAGTGAAGACATCACAACTATGAAATAACAATAATGGAATCATGTAGGAACCAAAAACGTGTTAAACAAATCAAAATATATTAGAGATTCTTCAAAGTAGCCACCCTTTGCCTTGATGACCGCTTTGCACACGCTTGGCATTCTCTCAACCAGCTTCATGAGGTAGTCACCTGGAATGCATTTCAATTAACAGGTGTGCCTTCTTAAAAGTTCATTTGTGGAATGTATTTCCTTCTTAATGCGTTTGAACCAATCAGTTGTGTTGTGACAAGGTAGGGGGGGTATACAGAAGATAGCCCTATTTGGTAAAAGACCAAGTCCATATTATGGCAAGAACAGCTCGAATAAGCAAAGAGAAACGACAGTCCATCACTACTTTAAGACATGAAGATCAGTCAATCTGGAAAATGTCAAGAACTTTGGAAGTTTCTTCAAGTGCAGTCGCAAAAACCATTAAGCGCTACGATGAAACTGGCTCTCATGAGGACCGCCACAGGAAAGGAAGACCCAGAGTTACATCTGCTGCAGAGGATAAATTCATTAGGAGTTAACTGCAAAATTAAGGCAGTTATACATTTTAAAAACATAACACATTCATAATAGATTTCACAACATATTAAGTGTGTGCCCTCAGGCCTCTACTCTACCACATATCTATAATACAAAATCTATGTGTACATGTGTGTATAGTGCTTATGTTATTGTGTGTTTGTATGCATGTGTCTATGTTTGTGTTGCTTCAAAGTTCCCGCTGTTCCATTAGGTGTATTTGTATCTGTTTTTTAAATCTAATTTTACTACTGGCACGAGTAACTTGATGTGGAATAGAGTTCCATGTAGCCATGGCTCTATGTAGTACTGTGCGCCTCCCATAGTCTGTTCTGGACTTGGGGACTGTGAAGAGACCTCTGGTGGCATGTCTTGTGGGGTATGCATGGGTGTCCGAGCTGTGCGCCAGTAGTTCAAATAGACAGCTCGGTTCATTCAACATGTAATACAAGTAGTCACAAATACAAGTAGTGATGAAGTCAATCTCTCCTCCACTTTGAGCCAGGAGAGATTGACATGCATATTATTAATGTTAGCTCTCTGTGTACATCCAAGGGCCAGCCGTGCTGCCCTGTTCTGAGCCAATTGCAATTTTCCAAAGTACCTCTGTGGCACCTGACCACATGATTGTGGTCAGGTGCGACAAAACTAGGGCATGTAGGACCTGCCTTGTTGATAGTGCTGTTAAGAATGCAGAGCAGCGCTTTATTATAGACAGACTTCTCCCCATCCTAGCTACTGTTGTATCAATTTGTTTTGACCATGACAGTTTACAATCCAGGGTTGCTCCAAGCAATTTAGTCTCCTCAACTTGCTCAATTTCCACATTATTCATTACAAGATTTAGTTGAGGTTTAGGGTTTAGTAAATGATTTTTCCCAGATACAATGCTTTTAGTTTTTGAAAGATTTAGGACTAACTTATTCCTTGCCACCCATTCTGAAACTGACTGTTCAGAAGAGACTGCATGAACCAGGCCTTCATGGTCGAATTGCTGCAAAGAAACCACTACTAAAGGACACCAATAATAAGAAGAGACTTGCTTGGGCCAAGAAACACGAGCGCAATCGACATTAGACCGGTGGAAATCTGTGCTTTGGTCTGATGAGTCCAAATTTGAGATTTTTGGTTCCAACCACCGTGTCTTTGTGAGACGCATATTAGGTGAACGGATGATCTCTGCATGTGTGGTTCCCATCGTGAAGCATGGAGGAGGAGATGTGATGGTGTGGGGGTGCTTTGCTGGTGACACTGATTTATTTAGAATTCAAGGCACACTTAACCAGCATGGCTACCACAGCATTCTGCAGCGATACGCCATCCCATCTGGTTTGCGATTAGTGGGACTATCATTTGTTTTTCAACAGGACATTGACCCAAAACACACCTCCAGGCTGTGTAAGGGCTATTTGACCAAGGAGAGTGATGAGTGCTGCATCAGATGACCTGGCCTCCACAAATCACCCGACCACAACCCAATTGAGATGGTTTGGGATGAGTTGGACCACAGAGTGAAGGAAAAGCAGTCAACAAGTGCTCAGTATATGTGGGAACTCCTTCAACACTGTTGCAAAAACGTTCCTCATGAAGCTGGTTGAGAGAATGCCAAGAGTGTGCAAAGCTGTCATCAAGGCTACTTTGAAAAATCTCAAATATAAAATATATTTTGATTTGTTTAACACTTTTTTGGCTACTACATGATTCCATATGTGTTATTTCATAGTTGTGATGTCTTCACTATTATTCTACAATGTAGAAAATAGTACAAATAAAGAAAAACCCTTGAATGAGTAGGTGTGTCCAAACTTTTGACTGGTACTGTATTATTTTTTTTTTTAAACAATATTATATTTGTAAATGATGTAATAAATAGGAGTGGTGGAGTTGTCACACATGCAGTTAACAAAAATATATGGGAATATCTGCTCTATCCAAAATTACAACCAACTGATTGCAGCATTACTGCAAAGATTGAGGAGGCAAGTGGAAGGGGTAGAAGTAAGGAACTTGTCTGTCGGCCCTGCATTAAAGACAAAAATTGATAAAAGAAAATTGTGATAAATAAGAAAGTATACAAGTTTAATTTAAGGCCAAACAATGGACAGCTGCGCCATACAGCTTTCAAAATGGTTGGGAAGAGATTTGCGACGTACTGATTCCATAGTTTATGAGCTGATACACAAAACGACGCTGGATTCAAAACGTAGAGTTTTTCAAATTTAAAATTATGATACAAAATTCTTGCAACCAATAGAATGATACATATATGGGGGATACAACCATCCCAGCTCTACAGATTTTGCTGCGAAGAGACAGAATCATTAGATCACTTGTTTTGGTACTGCCCTTATGTAGCTTGTTTTTGGTTGCAGGTTCAGGAATGGCTGAAGAATTGCAACATTTACCTGGAGCTAACTCTGCAAATAGCACTGCTGGGTGACTTGAAAAGCCATAGTCAATCAATCAATAAAATAATATTCTTAGCAAAAAAATGTATCTTTAATTTACAATCTATAAAAACTATGAGAATAGAAAGGTTCAGAACTTTGGTGAAACATCACCGTTGGAAAAATATATGGCAATTAGAAATCAAAGCTGGATGGTTTTCAGAGATAGATGGGTGGGGTTGAGGGTAACTAAAAAATAAAAATAAATAAAAAATGGAATAGTGTAAAATGTATGTATAAGCTGGAAGTAGAAGCCTAAGTATTGTTGGCCATTAGTTTAATCAAATTAGGGGAGGGGTCGTAGGGTTAGGGGAAAATAATAAAGGAAAATATATTTAATACAACATATATTTATTTAAAATATAGCCTATACTTACCAAAACAAAATATATGGGCGATTGGAAATGATGCAGACAATTACATTGATAGAAGCCACAAGCTGCATTATTAAAGCTGACCTACTCCCTAAGAAAAAAATAAAGTTAAAGCTACTTTATCGTTATTATTGATATCAGTAAAATGTCCTCGATAAATCATTGGTTCGTCTGTATCGATCACTTTCGGTTTATCATCCCAGACAATATATTTTAATGATCAAACAATCAGTTCCATTGTATCACTGATCTGTTTTCCCCTTTGTCTCTCTTATTACCTCTGTCTATCAATTTCCCCAATATCTTGATATGATCTTAGTTGGCTGTACCCATTTAAGTCACATATAGGCCCAGTTTGTCCTACAATGAGAAGATTACAAAGGACAGGCTGTACGAATGTTATTGAGATCTAATACCTTGGCCTTTTACAGCGCATGACCACCAGCTTCTATCCCAAAGCACATTACTAAATAGGTTACTTGCCAAGAAACAAGCAGAGAATGTAATAAACAAAACAACTATGAGTGCAGTGACACATCAATAATGATACAGGCCATAATGTCTACAGTTTATTTTATTTTTATCACTAGGCACAGCACTTTTGAATCACGTGAGGTGCCCATTGACACAAAAGCGCACATGTACCGCTTGACTTTGTCATGCACGAGCGCCACTAAGCAAGAAAAACAACTCAGTATGGCCCCGCATCGACCTGTAACCTAGGGCAATGCAAGTCGTAGCGCAAACGAAGAACCAGCTTTACATTAACCAGCAAACGAGGTTAAAATAAGTTAGAGGACAGAATTCTGGTGTATTCTCTTGTAGTTAGATTCATTGTATTTATTGTGCCCATCTAGCATCTATACTCACCTAAAAACGCGATGAACGCCAGGGACAAGAGTTGTTTGCAGCTATGTTGTTTCATATTTTTGTTCGGTTTTTTGCCAATGCGAATCACAACAACATGCACACGACACAGAGACAGGAATGCAGGACGGTCAGTGAGCTAGCTTTGCTAAAAACAACGCAAACCCACTGCTCGTGCTCTCTCTTTACTGCCGCGAGCCAGAATACTCTGGAAACAAATCTTCGGAAATAATTATTTTCCCTTTGATGTTCTCTTTTTGCTTTAGTTAGTGCCGATTAAATTCACGTTCGTGGTGTTCGGACCGTCACACACCACGGATAATTTCTGCTCTGCAATGCAGAAATTACAACCCGTCCTGTAACGGAGAGTTTAAGAACCGCCCAGAATAATCACGTGACGTGGGTAGTGATTCATGTTGACGTTCAACAGCTGTGGAGTTACAGATGTGAAGTTGGATACAATGTTGCACTGGAGATGTAATGTTGGAAGTGACGTGTCTGTATTTGGTATTTTGGTCAAGGTAGTTGCCTCATTGTAATAACAATGATACCGTTTTCTCCATACAGGCTTTTTTTCTAAAAAGAAAAGAAGGAAAAAAAGAAGAGCATATTCGTTTTGAAACCAGCTGCAAACATAAAATGTGGCCCATAGGCCTACTCCATCACTCTCTTCACTCATGAAATGTTCCTATTGAAAGAGCATTTTTGCTCATCATTCAGACCAGTGGTGAACCACCTTCCATAGTCAGATGATGATCATCCCCTTGCTATTTACCCCCTTCTTCACCTCAATTAGGCCTATTGACCACTCCAGCTGCAACCTCTAACCTCCCTTCTGATCTCCTTCAAGTCTATAATGTCTAAAAAAAGGGATGAGGAAATAATGAAATTTTTAAGGCACACACACACAGGTCATGATGGTCTATGGTGCATTTTACAGGGTCATCATTGCACCATAACCATTTTTTTTTTTTGTGGTACTTTTTACCCCTTTTTCTCCCCAATTGGTAGTTACAGTCTTGTCCCATCGCTGCAACTCCCGTATGGACTCGGGAGAGGCGAAGGTTGAGAGCCATGCGTCCTCCGAAACACGACCCTGCCAAGCCGCACTGCTTCTTGACACACTGCTTGCTTAACCCGGAAGCCAGCCGCACCAATGTGTCGGAGGAAACACCATACAGCTGGCGACCAAAGTCAGCATGCATGCGCCCGGCCCGCCACAAGTGTCTCTAGAGCGCGATGGGACAAGGATATCCCAGCCGGCCAAACCCTCCCCTAACCCGTGACGACACTGGGCCAATTGTGCGCCGCCTCATGGGTCTCCCAGTCGCGGCCGGCTGCGACACAGCCCGAGATCGAACCCTGGTCTGTAGTGACGCCTCTAGCACTGCGATGCAGTGCCTTAGACCACTGCGCCACTCGGGAGGCCCCCACAACCATAACATTAACACATGTGCCATGCCATACAATGCCATAAAACAACGGATTCTTCACCAGTCTGCCTTGAAGAACAAACACAGCCATCACGGAGAAACTGAAACTGTTTAATAACGTAATCATGTTGAATGTTGATTTGACCGTTGTTGACTGACTATAATTTTACCCAATCCCTTTGCTTGGCTTTCTCTTTTCTAATGACCAGACACTGGTCACAGCTCCCTCCCTCCCTCCCTCCGTCTTTCTCTTTCTCTTTCTCTTTCTCTTTCTCACTCACTCACTCACTCACTCACTCACTCACTCACTCACTCACTCACTCACTCCCTTGTGTTGTTAGGTTTATTATAGCCCAGAGCTGGCCAGTGGCAGAGCATATTTCACCTTGGACAGATGGTAAGAACTGTAAATAGAAACAGAATGTCAGTGTTGGGGAAGCTACTCTGAGAATATAGTTTACCAAGCTACCAATTACTTCAAACTGGAAGAAGTTAAGCGACACTAAAGTTACCCTTATGTTTCACCGAGTAGTGGCTGAACAACGACATGGATAACATAGCTGGCGGGATATAGGCTACATCAGCAGGATAGAACAGCGGTCTGTATATATTTGTAAACAACAGCTGGTGCACGAAATCTAATATTAAGGAAGTCTCGAGGTAGAGTATCTCATGATAAGCTGTAGACCACACTATTTACCAAGAGAGTTTTCATCTATATTTTCGTAGCTGTCTATTTACCATCACAAACCGATGCTGGCACTAAGACTGCACTCAATGAGCTGTATAAGGCCATACGCAAACAGGAAAACGCTCATCCAGAGGGAGCGCTCCTAGTGGCCGGGGACTTTAATGCAGGGAAACTTAAATCCGTTCTACCTCATTTCTACCATCATGTTAAATGTGCAACCAGAGGGAAAAAACTCTAGAACACCTTTACTCAACACACAGAGATGCGTACAAAGCTCTCCCTCGCCCTCCATTTGGCAAATCTGACCACAATTCTATCCTCCTGATTCCTGCTTATAAGCAAAAACTAAAGCAGGAAGCACCAGTGACTCGGTTAATAAGGAAGTGGTCAGATGACACAGATGCTAAACTACAGGACTGTTTTGCTAGCACAGACTGGAACATGTTCCAGGATTCTTCCGATAGCATTGAGGAGTACACCACATCAGTCACTGGCTTCATCAATAAGTGCATCGATGACGTCGTCCCCACAGTGACCGTACGTACATACCCCAACCAGAAGCCATGGATTACAGGCAACATCTGCACTGAGCTAAAGGGTAGAGCTGCCGCTTTCATGGAGTGGGACTCTAACCCGGACGCTTATAAGAAATCCCGCTATGCCCCCCGACGAACCCTCAAACAGGCAAAGAGTCAATACAGGACTAAGATTGAATCGTATTACACCGGCTCCGACGCTCGTCGGATGTGGCATGGCTTGCAAACTATTACAGACTACAAAGGGAAGCACAGCCGCAAGCTGCCCAGTGACACGAGCCTACCAGACTAGCTAAATCACTTCTATGCTCGCTTTGAGGCAAGCAACATGAATGATGCATGAGAGCATCAGCTGTTCTGGATGACTGTGATCACGCTCTCCGTAGCTGATGTGAGTAAGACTTTTAAGCAGGTCAACATTCACAAGGCCGCAGGGCCAGATGGATTACCAGGACGCGTACACCGAGCATGCGCTGACCAACTGGCAAGTGTCTTCACTGACATTTTCAACATGTCCCTGACTGAGTCTGTAATACCAACATGTTTCAAGCAGACCACCATAGTCCCTGTGCCCAAGAACACTAAGGTAACCTGCCTAAATGACTACCGACCCGTTGCACTCATGTCTGTAGCCATGAAGTGCTTTGAAAGGCTGGTCATGGCTCACATCAATACCATTATCCCAGAAACCCTAGACCCACTCCAATTTGTATACCGCCCCAACAGATCCACAGATGATGCAATCTCTATTGCACTCCACACTGCCCTTTCCCACCTGGACAAGAGGAACACCTACGTGAGAATGCTATACAGCTCAGCGTTCAACCCCATAGTGCCCTCAAAGCTCATCACTAAGCTAAGGACCCTGGGACTAAACACCTCCCTCTGCAACTGGATCCTGGACTTCCTGACGGGCTGCCCCCAGGTGGTAAGGGTAGGTAACAACACATCTGCCACGCTGATCCTCAACACAGGGGCCCCTCAGGGGTGCATGCTCAGTTCTCTCCTGTACTCCCTGTTCACTCATGACTGCATGGCCAGGCACGACTCCAACACCATCATTAAGTTTGCCGACGACACAACAGTGGTAGGCCTGATCACCGACAACGATGAGACAGCCTATAGGGAGGAGGTCAGAGACCTGGCCGTGTGGTGCCAGGATAACAACTTCTCCCTCAACGTGATCAAGACAAAGGAGATGATTGTGGACTACAAAAAGGGGAGGACTGAGCACGCCCCCATTCTCATTGACGGGCTGTAGTGGAACAGGTTGAGAGCGTCAAGTTCCTTGGTGTCCACATCACCAACAAACTATCATGGTCCAAACACACAAAGACAGTTGGGAAGAGGGCACGACAAAGCCTATTCCCCCTCAGGAGACTGAAAAGATTTGGCATGGGTCCTCAGATCCTCAAAAAGTTATACAGCTGCACCATCGAGAGCATCCTGACTGGTTGCATCACTGCCTGGTATGGCAACTGCTCGGCCTCCGACTGCAAGGTACTACAGAGGGTAGTGCATACGGCCCAGTACATCACTGGGGCCAAGCTTCCTGCCATCCAGGACCTCTATACCAGGCGGTGTCAAAGACTCCAGCCACCCTAGTCATAGACTGTTTTCTCTGCTACCGCACGGCAAGCCTAGGTCCAAAAGGCTTCTTAACAGCTTCTACCCCCAAACCATAAGACTCCTGAAGAGTTAATCATTGCTACCCGGACTATTTGCTGCTACGCTCTGTTTATTATCTATGCATAGTCACTTTAACTCTACCCACATGTACATATACCTCAATTACCTCGACTAACCTGTTGCCCCGCACATTGACTCTTTACCGGTCCCCCCTGTATATAGCCTCCCTACTGTTATTTTATTTGACTGCTGCTCTTTTATTTGTTATTTTTATATTTTACTTATCAATTTTTTACTTAACACTTATTTTTCTTAACTGCATTGTTGATTAAGGGCTTGTAAGTAAGCATTTCACTGTAAGGTCTACACCTGTTGTATTCGGCGCATGTGGCAAATAACATTTGATTTGATTTTAAGAAAAATATAGTTTATCTATCATTCCAGTGTTAATACGAAATTGTAACTATTTTGCACTATGGCCTATTTATTGCCTTACCTCCATAACTTACTACATTCGCACACACTGTATATATATTTTCTGTTTTATTTTTGACTTTATGTTTTGTTTACCCCATATGTAACTCTGTGTTGTTGTTTTTATCGCACTGCTTTGCTTTATCTTGGCCAGGTCGCAGTTGTAAATGAGAACTTGTTCTCAACTGGCTTACCTGGTTAAATAAAGGTGAACTAAAGTTATTATGAAAAAGTAGTTCACATGCTTCGTACACAACAGGTGTAAACTAACAGTGAAATGCTATATAATGAATATGAACTAGGTGGGTAGAGATTATTAAATATAAAAGCACTAAACCTCTGTCTAAAAGCTTCACTTATACAAAAGTTTTACTTTAACCCAAAATGGTCCTCAAGTAGATTACTAAGAAAAGCTCATCCATTGTTTAAAAATTGCCTTTTTGCCGTTGTGCAGATTGCCATATCTCATTTTCGAATAATAGATTTTTTGAAAGATGAGACGTTGAGGATTATAATAAATACTGATTTGATGTCATACAAGCAAGCCAAACACCTGTGAGTCCAAATGTGCACTTCACATTTCCATATCATAAACCTCATGTCATATACAGTGTCAACGTTTATGATCACTATGTTTGATGTACAGTTACAAGATGACATGGCGTCATACCCTGGGTTGTCCTGAACAGAATGAGCCTATGTTTGTTGTAGTGTGATTCAAATTTGCCACGGACCATGCATCTGAATGCACTAATGACTCCAGTCTATGTGCTACAAAATACGCTGAATTGGCTTGTGAAGGCCTAATACTGTAAAATCGTATTTTATAATTTAGCTAGTCATGGTGGCAATAGAACAAGCTTTCAAATTATGCCCACCTGACCCAGATTGCGATTTATAATGGATTGCGTAAACAATAACAGTAATTGTGTAAATCCATGTCTTAATTACTGTCAAAGATAAACGGTTGAGTTTGATATAATTTGAAAGCTTATTAACAGGGTTGTCAGACTATTCTATGATGTCTTGGGGAAAAACATTTTTAAATATAAAATTATATCATTTTTTAACCTTTGATGTCAATTATCTAAAAACGCATCAACTCTGATTTTTATCATTTTTACAAATGTTGTAGCTTAGACACTATTTTACATCATCTGAGGTGTTTGTGTTGTCCAGTCATCGGTTGAGACACAGCATACTCTTCAATACAGGGTGGGTGTCATTTCAATAATAATAATACAAATATTAATAGAATGGACCTATCCCTTCAGACCACTGCAATTTAGCTGGTACACCATTCAAATGTAAATTTAATCTTTAACTGTCTATTACTACCAGAAAGATGGCTGCCGGTCCACCCACCATTGAATGTCAACTTGAAAAGGAATGTCTATTCTATTATCTATTTTTCTATGATTTGAATAAATAGCTAAATGTATAACAATGGATATTCCCACTTAAGTCAACATTCTCTGATGTGTGGACCTCCAACCATCTTTGTGGTACCATTTGAAAGTTGAAATGTACATTATATTCACATGTTATGACATTTATCAGCCAAAACATGATACCCAGTCTGTATTCAAGAGTATGCTGTGTCTCAACTGATGGCGGAAACAGCACAAACACCTCCGAAGATGTAAAATAGGGTCTAAGCTACAACATACAGTGGGGAAAAAAGTATTTAGTCAGCCACCGATTGTGCAAGTTCTCCCACTTAAAAAGATGAGAGAGGCCTGTAATTTTCATCATAGGTACACGTCAACTATGACAGACAAAATGAGAAAAAACATTCCAGAAAATCACATTGTAGGATTTTTAATGCATTTATTTGCAAATTATGGTGGAAAATAAGAATTTGGTCAATAACAAAAGTTTCTCAATACTTTATTATATACCCTTTGTTGGCAATGACACAGGTCAAACGTTTTCTGTAAGTCTTCACAAGGTTTTCACACACTTTTGCTGGTATTTTGGCCCATTCCTCCATGCAGATCTCCTCTAGAGCAGTGATGTTTTGGGGCTGTCGCTGGGCAACACAGACTTTCAACTCCCTCCAAAGATTTTATATGGGGTTGAGATCTGGAGACTGGCTAGGCCACTCCAGGACCTTGAAATGCTTCTTACGAAGCCACTCCTTCGTTGCCAGGGTGGTGTGTTTGGGATCATTGTCATGCTGAAAGACCCAGCCACGTTTCATCTTCAATGCCCTTGCTGATGGAAGGAGGTTTTCACTCAATCTCACGATACATGGCCCCAATCATTCTTTCCTTTACACGGATCAGTCGTCCTGGTCCCTTTGCAGAAAAACAGCCCCAAAGCATGATGTTCCCACCCCCATGCTTCACAGTAGGTATGGTGTTCTTTGGATGCAACTCAGCATTCTTTGTCCTCCAAACACAACGAGTTGAGTTTTTACCAAAAAGTTATATTTTGGTTTCATCTGACCATATGACATTCTCCCAATCCTCTTCTGGATCATCCAAATGCACTCTAGCAAACTTCAGACAGGCCTGGACATGTACTGGCTTAAGCAGGGGGACACGTCTGGCACTGCAGGATTTGAGTCCCTGGCGGCGTAGTGTGTTACTGATGGTAGGCTTTGTTACTTTGGTCCCAGCTCTCTGCAGGTCATTCACTAGGTCCCCCCGGGTGGTTCTGGGATTTTTGCTCACCGTTCTTGTGATCATTTTGACCCCACGGGGTGAGATCTTGCGTGGAGCCCCACATCGAGGGAGATTATCAGTGGTCTTGTATGTCTTCCATTTCCTAATAATTGCTCCCACAGTTGATTTCTTCAAACCAAGCTGCTTACCTATTGCAGATTCAGTCTTCCCAGCCTGGTGCAGGTCTACAATTTTGTTTCTGGTGTCCTTTGACAGCTCTTTGGTCTTGGCCATAGTGGAGTTTGGAGTGTGACTGTTTGAGGTTGTGGACAGGTGTCTTTTATACTGATAACAAGTTCAAACAGGTGCCATTAATACAGGTAACGAGTGGAGGACAGAGGAGCCTCTTAAAGAAGAAGTTACAGGTCTGTGAGAGCCAGAAATCTTGCTTGTTTGTAGGTGACCAAATACTTATTTTCCACCATAATTTGCAAATAAATTCATAAAAAATGCTACAATGTGATTTTCTGGAGAAGAAAATTCCCCACTGTATATAAGCAAAAAAATAAATCTACACTATCACCTGTTGATATCAATGGTACACCCTAGAGATCAAGTTATTCTGTACCATAGCTTTGAAATGTTTTGATAATTTGATGTCCTTGCTCACTGTCTACAATACTGGAGCTGGCACCTTGCCATGGTGGGGTAGATTGCACGTTTTTGTGACATGACCCTGTGGGCTGTAACAAAAGGAACCACATTTAGGCTCCTGCAGGTTTAACAATCCAGTTGTGCCAATAATCACAGTAATGCTTACCCTCTCGTTCATTATTGCTCTATTCGACAGTTGGAGGAAGCACACAGTACCTTTAGAAAATTACGTTGATTTTAGATTCATAGGCTGTCTGTTGATAAAGCATGAAATCTGTTACAAATGGAGGGACTGAGGTGCTGAACTTACACTATGGAAAAACAAATGCGAAGAGAAAGAGATAAGGACATAGATAGAGAAAGAGAGTGGTGGTTAGAGAGAGGAATAGACAATGAGATAGAGGGGGAAACTAAGAAAGAAAAAGACAAGTATATATGCTTAGGAAAGTAAAGAAATAAGATGCTTAGATAGATGGAGAGAATGTAGGAAAGAGAGAGAGGGGGCAGATACATTGGTGTCAGTGCAGCCACTTCCTGTGATCAGAGAGAGAGGGGGTGAGAGAGAGAAAGAAAAAACTAAGAGAGCCCTCTAGAGCCCCCGCCCATCATTCAGCCCAGGACAGAAAGAGAGGGATCATCGCCTGTGTCCTTGTAGAGAAACAGAGAAAAGAGGAAGCATGACCATTCCATGGAGGACAGGTGTCATGCTGATGCTGATGCTTTTGTCTTCTGCAGGTAAGTGCCAACCTAGCTGTATTACGGTAGTCACTAAATAGCCATGGTAGACTGAACAGAAGTGGCGATACCATCAAAACTGTTCAGCAAGTATATGAGCTGTTTGTTCTGAATTTATGTGTGAGGGCTAAGGTTAGGAAAATGGTCCATTAAAGTTGTGTGTGTTTGGTTAGAAAGTGACTATCATGCTTTCTAGTGTGGCCAGATAGTACGTTTCCTATACTACCGTTTATATGCTCTGTCCAACGCCCTCCGATGGCGTTCCTCTCCCACCCTCACCGCCTTCACCTCCTTACCCACCCAGAGGTGCTCTGTCCTGGGTACGAAGAGTGTCCCCCCCCCCTGGTCAGGAGAGAGAGGCAGGCTCCAGGAGATATAGTGCTCTGTGCCCTACCTATCTGTTCATGTTTGTGATTGCGTGGCTACGTTTCTAGGCATCTAATTTTAGTCTGTGAAGAACATGAAAGCTTAGACGTGGCCTTGTTCGTTTCCGCATTACCAGCAAGGCAAAGTCACAGACATACACATATGAGAGAGAAGCACCTGTTGGTGTTTGATAACTGAAAACTGGAGAGTGATTATTCTGAGACAAAGTTGCTGCTGAGTAATGAGGGGGACTCAATAGTGAATTTGAAATAAAGTCCTTGATGCAAAATCAAAACTAAGAAAAAGTAAATATTTCCAGTGAAGCAATCCGAACATACCATACATTGACGTGTGCAGGTCAATATCCTCAATTAGGTGTGTGTGTGTGTGTTTGCTGAGAATTTTCCTGCAAAGAAGGAAATGCAAACTTGTAGTGTATTTGAATTTTAAAAAGGCCTTTAATGTTTGTAGTTTCCACTTTGACATTTCAGACTTGATTTGCCCTAACGAAAAATGTATCAACCCCTAAAAAATGTATATTTATTATAACCCACATAATAATTCACATTTCCTGTTGCTGCAGGATTATTTTCTTGCTGTAGCAAGATCTTACATCTGTATAAATGTAGATGATCACCAGCTGGCCCCAGCTAAATGTTATGGTCTCATGCATTTCCCCCCACACCTTTCTCACACGCACATATACACTAATAAGTGCAAGCAACTACCCCACCAATGGCTCTATTTCTCACAACACAGTTTCTGTAGAAACCACTGAACTACATACTGAGGCCCACAAACCACAGAAAGATTGAGATAGAGAGCTTCCCCTTCTTACTGACAGGGAGACAGGTATCTGTATTTCCGATGACATGCAGACTTTCTCTTACTTTAGTGTACTGTACTAAAATGTCTACAATTTCCACCTATGGTACAGCTCTGTGCTCAGTACTACCCCATTCACCCTTCTAGTTAAGTATCCATGCACCTGTTTACAGTTTTTCTCAATCGAGTACAAGCATTTTTTGGAACAATGTTGATTTTCAAAACAGAGTCCACAAGACACAGAACTGTGGCCTTTTGCAAAACAGTAAATGCATTTTTAAAATGTAGTTGCTTTCTCAAAACATAAATACATTCATCAAAACTATATTATACCTTCAAAATTGGAAATACTTTCATCAAAAGAACAGTACTGCCTGCAAAAAGATTAACGCAACCATACTTATACTGTATCTTGAGTCCAAGCACACAAACAGAAAGTTTGTCTGTCTTTTTAAAATTCCAGTAGATCAATACATTTTCTTTGCAGTCACTAAATCATGATGATCAAAATTGGAAGTACAACTATCCAAAGGTGCAGAATTATGGGCAACTACTCTGTTTTTTATGCAATTTTCACCAAACAATTTCATACACATCAAATCAAATATTATTCCTGATTAAAACAATTATAATAACCACATTGTGTGCAGGATTCATTCATCGGTATCATCATAATCTAATTCCATGTATTCAATACAAAGGTTGGTTTGCTTATAGTTGTGTAGACTTTCCATTGGCGCACAGAAACGCAATCCACAATAGAAATAAGGAAGTGTAAATGCAGTGGAGGAACACAACTGATATGAATGTATAGGCCTCAATCCACACCAAAGCAAAGCTCTATAATGGAAGGTCACAATGTTGGAGATGATGACTTAGGAGTAACCCAAAGTTACCAAGAAGTAACGCAACTTCATTCTCTGCATCTCTGCATGTCAGCAATATTGTAAATCATTACAATTAGACAGTCCCCATTGCCTAGATCTTTCTATATATTGTACATGGTATAATTGCAGTAGTTTTACTGATTGCTGGAAACAGTGAGCACAATTGCACACATTTATCTTCTGATGAAAACAATGTGTAAATATTCTGTGAACAAAACACTTAACAGTGAATTTTATAGTTATATAAAATTTTGCAAAAGGTGGTCTAAGGCAAGAAAATGATCAGAAATTCTGTAAATGTATTTGTGCATTTGATCATTGGTGTTCTGCTCGAAACGGTGCCTGAGGAAGGCCCGCAGCATCATCAAGGACCCCACACACCCCAGCCACGAGCTGTTCTCTCCTTTACCATCGGACAGACGGTATTGGAGCATGAGGTCTGATACCAACAGGCTCAGAGACAGTTTCTATCTACAAGCCATTAGACTGCTGAACACTTGAACTGGACCAGCACTGACTCTCTGCACCTTAGCACACATGCACTCACTCACGCACACACCCACACAGATATACACTCATCCACACACACGCACACACATTCATGCTACACACACATCACAACTGTGGCTACTAGACTTATTTATTATTGATAAATACTGCATAATTTAAACACTTGCCCACCAATCCCTCCTTCACCAAAACACATGTAAATATTGGACTATAAATTGTGCCTTCCTGTATTATACTTATGTTAAAATCTTTATTATATTCTACTGAGCCATTTACTTTATGTTCGTATTCTTATATTTTATTATTTCTTATTGCTGTTGCATTGTCGGGAAGGAACCTGTGAGTACCATCCATTTAATTGGATAGTGTATACTATGTGTATCCTGTACATACCACTAATAAAACTTGAAACTTGCTATGGATACGTTTCAACACAGATCCAAAAATTGCCTGTACGCGTTTAAGAAAAACTGTAACTTACTTTGTTTATTTATATATTATTATACCCCCCTCCCTCTCTGCGCTCGTCTGTGTGGCCTGTCTGTGTTTTAAAGACTCTTCATCTTCTGTGTGCCCTGTAGAGGCTTCATTAAATGAACCGGTCATCTGCTATATACTGGACGGAGTCCTGATTCTCTACTCCATCATCACCACCGTGCTATTCTTCAAAGTGAAGGTGAGTCACAATACAGGTGGTAGAGTGCCACCCACCCTTCCATTGTCTACCAATGGTGAGGTACTAGTTATTCAAGTGTATACAGTGAGGATGAGTTAGTGCACAGGTTACAGAGGCGTGTTATCTTACAATTGAATACATATAAATGGATGTAGAACAGTGTTATCAACTCCTTGTTTCTGACGCTCCCCTCTTCTTTCTGTCTGCAGTGGTGCCAGTCTGTACCTGAACCTGAGGAGGAATCCACATTTGCAGTGAGTTTCCTACAACGTCCCATACCTTTTGTGTCTGTGTGTAGGTGTCTGTGTGCAAGCAAGTGTGTGTGTGTGTGTGTGTGTATATGGCATCATGGACATGACATGGTACTGACATTCTGAATATATGTTTTTGTAAAGGAACTCCTGACAGGTCCTATTGCTGGCGACTATGAGGATCTAAGGACTGACCAGACTGCAGCTACAAGACAGGTGAGTGAGAGGGCTATTATGACTACTGTGTGAGAGAGGCCATGTTCTAATTCTGAGCACAGTCTTGCTAATGTGTGCTAATGTTTGTGGTTGTCCCTCTTAGAAGCACAGACAGGAAGCTAGTAGTGACACATACCAGGTAAGGACTACTCCTTATATACAGGCTTATTACCATGTTCCAATGCTGAGATGTTGCAGAACACTGTGATCCTGAATGCAGCCAGTGTTTTGGACAGGTTCATCCACTACTGCAAGCCTTCCATTCCAGGGGCTCTTTATTAATTCAATGACCAATACCATAGAACTTGTGTTTTGTTCTCTAGGCTCTCCAGGTAAAAGATGATGAGAGTGATGCCTACCAGGTGATCAAGTCCAAGGGGAGGGTAAGAGTCAGTCAGTTCACTCACATGGAACATGACATTCAGGAAATAACTGTCCCCTGTGCTGAGTCATGTGAACTACATATCTGCATTTACTGGCATTGTGACATAGAACATTGAAAGTCTATAGGTTATGTACATTTGAGAAATGGAAAGATGAAATCTCCACTCTGCCATCCATACCCTATAGTGTGGATAGTCATCAGCGTGTCACAAAACTGCTATCAAACTTACATGACAAGACTAGGGCAACTCAAGTGAAATGTTGTCGTCCAAATTGCAATCCATAGAATAGCTCTGAAGGCTATTAACCTACACATTCTTCCTGTGGGTTCTCTCTTCTCAGACTCGCAAGAAGGACAAGGCCAAGAAGGCCCAGGTCCTCCAGGATCTCAGTGCAAACACCCAGACTCAGACCCGGCCCTCCGCCCCGCCACCACCTCCACACTGATCTGACCCAGTCAGCCCTGGGCACGGAGGCAGCTGTTGACTCCCCTGGCAGCTCTCCCCTGCACTGATCCCAGTCAGCTTATATCTCTGAAGAGAACCTTCTATACTGTTATCTGCTTTCTGGCTATAGCAGTCTTCTACTCCTGAGCTCAACTCCCTGCCCTGTTATTGCATGTTACAAATCAGCAGAAAAGTGTGCATGTCTTATCTACGTGTATTATCATGTCATTTGTTAAGTTTATTGACCGCTTTCTGTGCCCTTTATGGCTGTATGTGGTAATGTTGATATTGTGACCATAATAAAAGACATTGCCTGTTCAAATGTTAAAACACTTGGAAAATGGTTTAATGTGTTTACAACAAAGAGAACTGTACAGTTACAGTAAAATATTATGTTTATATTATATATATATATATATATATATATATATATATATATATATATATAAACAAACAAACAAAATACAGCAGACAAATGCATCAAATCTACCATGTATCCTGATTCACATACTTGAAAATGTTCTACACAATCTTTCAGTTCTATATGCCACCACCCGCCATGTCTGGAGGGGGGCGTTTCATAGTCGGATCTCAGGCATGTGTCCGTGTAGCAATAGTGAGCAGTGTTCTAGTCCATAGTGGAACGGTGGAACCGCGCGGCACAACGAAAGAGTGGCTCCCAGAGTTCTAGAGTGACAGACGGGGATTATTCAGAGGAAAGACTACAGAGTCTGGGAGGATACAGTGGACACATTCCTTTAGTTTAGCCCAAGCTTAGTTTACAGAGGAAGAATTATTAATGATTTTACAGAATGCATTTCTCAAAAATCCACAAACAGAAGTAATATGTACAGGTTTACCTTTTTTTTTCTAGTTTATTTTTTCAGCCATGGTCACTTGGGCCGTGTTAACTGATATGATCACACACATAATTTGACACACCCAAAACATACAAAAATACTATATCTTTAACCTACCAAGAGTAAGACAGTTCTGCAATTAGTTCCATGCTGTGGCAGAAAAAGAGCAATACACCAAACAAACGAGAAGTTTTAAAACATACTTTTTTTCATTTAGGTTTCTCAGAAATATACATCTATGCTTTGGAATTACTGAGGCTAGAACTAAAGCCAGTGCTGGGTTTGTCTCTTAATATACAAGCTGCAGGGTGAGAGGAAGGGAGAGAGAGAGAGAGAACGAGTGACAGGACAGAGTTATCTTTGGTATCTGCGTTTGTAAAACATTAAATATTTGGATATTTTTGCATTGGGATAATGCTTGTGAGATCCTACAACTCCCCACTTGGAATAAAGCATCAAACAAAGCTTCCCTGGGACCCCATTGGCCAAAGGGCTTAGCCAATCGGACATAGGCCATACAGAGTGAAGGACCATGATGCATAGTGTCACAGCTGAACAGAGAGAATCGAGAAACAGAGTAAGAAATGAGGGAGGGAATGTAAGAAAGAAAACACAGTGGTGAGACAGAGACACGGACAGTGTATCCTAGAACCAGAGAATGTGTATCCTAGAGACAATGTATCCTGGCAACTACAATGCACTGACTGGGAGCCAAACAGACACACTGTATCCAAGAGGCAGAAACAGTGTATTTTCGTGACAGTCTTTGAACATGTGTGTCCTAGCAACAGTCCTTGAGCAGACAGACAGACAGACAGTGAGTCCTGAGCATAAACAGTGTGCACAGGATCAACCCTCAGTGTGTATTAACAAACATCACCCAGCCACCACGGGAATGGATAATTGACCTGTCCATCAGAGAAGCCCACTTTGCCCCTCCACACTCAACCTATCCCCATCCACAGGCACTGCTACAGGTGCCAGTGTTGATCACGGTGCACACACACAGCTCTGCCATACAGGTGTATCGACTTTACAGGTGCACACAGCTGAATGTGTGTCTCGTGGGATAGTGAGGCAGAGAGGGGTGAGAGATGGTGAAGTCCATATACAATCACATTAGAAGTCTTTGGTTAACGTTCCCACAGGAAAGAAAGAGAGCACAGCGAGATAGAGTGCCACCAGTTGAACAGACACACACACCAACATCTACATTCAGAATGTAAATTAGAATAAAATAGGGCCAGTGTGTTTAGTGAGACTGATGGGAATGCTCTTCTTGTAAAAAATTATAATTAAAAAAGCAGACATTCTGGTACTGGTGCGTGTCTCCCCCCGGTGGCTGCAACTGACACTTTAAACTAAAAACGGACACCTGTGGGCTTCTCTGACAGGACCTTGTTGTTTATGTCGTTTTTTAAATATTCAGTTTTACATTTTTATTTCTAAAGTAGATTAAAGCAAGTTTCACTCAGTCTCGAGTTAAAAATGAGGTATACAACAGCTCCCTTAACCAAGCTAGTTACCCCAGACTTACTGGTGCTGTTCTGCCAGACCACATGCATCAACACAGATCCACTTCTAGAGCATCAAACAAACCAGAGAGAGATCCAGATCCACAACTGCACAAGTCAGTTACTCAGAGGAAACACCTATTCAATATTCTCATCCCCATCTTCCCTTGAATGCTTTTATCATAATTGTATCTTTGTAAACTGAAAACAAATGCACCATCATGGTCTGCAGTCAGCCCTCCCTTCTCTCTCTCTCTCTCTCACACACACATACACACCTGCTGGAGTTCAGTTATTAGTAAAGCTTTTCTACAGGTATTCCCACCTGTATGAGTCACCCCTAAAATCATAGGTAGCAACATAACCACGCCAGAACAACACACACCCAAATTATGCCCAAAGCACACTGAATCTTTTCAGCAAAGACCTATGCACTGAGTGAGCTAGCAAAACACAAAAGCTAGCGAGGAGGTAGCCTCTCTCACTAGATTACTCTCATACACTGTCGCACAAACACCAATATGCTACAATGCTCGTCTTCTAAATAACGATAAGGCATAAATGTCAATGTTAATCTTTTGTCAAACTAAGAAAGACAGTGATCTTGCCCTCTCATGCTATACAAAACAATTAAAGGCATTAGTAATAAAAAACATTCAAATGATTGTTAAAAACAGCACAGCAAATCAAGTCCATAGTAAACCAAACAACCACAGAAAAAATATGAAAGATTAAGATCAGGCGCTTCAGTCTGTTTGTTCCCCTAGCAACCGCACAAGCAGGGACTGTCCGATTGAAGCACCACAGCAAGCCCCTCCCACTCAACAGACCACACCCACACATGTAATGGGCACAGGTGTCCGCAACTCACGCACCAAGGGGGTGCGGTCAAAGTTTTTGGTCTTGACATTAATAAAAATACGTATTTTTTGTATTTTTTTTGTATAAGCATGACAAAACACTACATTCAGTCTTGATAACATACTTGTTCAAATATAAAATATGAATATCTTACATGTGTTGTTATATATATATATATATATACATACACTACCGTTCAAATGTTTGGGGTCACTTAGAAATGTCCTTGTTTTCGAATGAAAAGCAATTGTTTTGTCTATTAAAATAACATCAAATTGATCAGAAATACAGTGTAGACATTGTTAATGTTGTAAATGGCTACTGGAGCTGGAAACTGCTGATTTTTAATGGAATATCTACATAGGCCCATTATCAGCAACTATCAGTCCTGTGTTCCAATGGCACGTTGTGTTTGCTAATCCAAGTTTATCATTTTAAAAGGCTAATTGATCATTAGAAAACCCTTTTGCAATTATGTTAGCACAGCTGAAAACTGTTGTGCTGATTAAAGAAGCAATAAAACTGGCCTTCTTGAGACTAGTTGAGTATCTGGAGCATCAGCAATTGTGGGTTCGATTACAGGCTCAAAATGGCCAGAAACAAATAATTGTCTTCTGAAACTCGTCAGTCTATTCTTGTTCTGAGAAATGAAGGCTATTCCATGCGAGAAATTGCCAAGAAACTGAACATCTCGTACAACGCTGTGTACTACTCCCTTCACAGAACAGCGCAAACTGGCTCTAACCAGAATAGAAAGAGGAGTGGGAGGCCATGGTGCACAACTGAGCAAGAGGACAAATACATTTGTGTCTAGTTAACAGTGAAGAGGCGACTCCGGGATGCTGACCTTCTAAGCAGAGTTGCAAAGAAAAAGCCATATCTCAGACTGGCCAATAAAAATAAAAGATTAAGATGGGCAAAAGAACACAGACACTGGACTTTTTCTTTGCAACTCTGCCTAAGTCAGCATCCCGGAGTTGCCTCTTCACTGTTGACGTTGAGACTGGTGTTTTGCGGGTACTATTTAATGAAGCTGCCAGTTGAAGACCTGTGAGCCGTCTGTTTCTCAAACTAGACACTAATGTATTTGTCCTCTTGCTCAGTTGTGCACCGGGGCCTCCCACTCCTCTTTCTATTCTGGTTAGAGACAGTTTGTGCTGTTCTGTGAAGGGAGTAGTACACAGCGTTGTACGAGATCTTCAGTTTCTTGGCAATTTCTCGCATGGAATAGCCTTCATTTCTCAGAACAAGAATAGACTGACGAGTTTCAGAATAAACTTATTTGTTTCTGGCCATTTTGATTCTGTAATCGAACCCACAATTGCTGATGCTCCAGATACTCAACTAGTCTCAAGAAGGCCAGTTTTATTGCTTCTTTAATCAGCACAACAGTTTTCAGCTGTGCTAACATAATTGCAAAAGGGTTTTCTAATGATCAATTAGCCTTTTAAAATGATAAACTTGGATTAGCAAACACAACGTGCCATTGGAACACAGGACTGATGGTTGCTGATAATGGGCCTCTGTACGCCTATGTAGATATTCCATAAAAAATCAGCCGTTTCCAGCTACAAAAGCCATTTACAACATGAACAATGTCTACACTGTATTTCTGATCAATTTGATGTTATTTTAATGGACAAAAAAATGGCTTTTCTTTCAAAAACAAGGACATTTCTAAGTGACCCCAAACTTTTGAACGGTAGTGTATATTTATCTCTAATCCTCTAGTCGTTCCTCAGATAAATATTTCAGGTAACTTCCCATGGCCAATGGCTCACCAAGCTACCACACTTCACGATTGGTTTGTGACTACAAACAGCACTACAAATAGGACTACAAGTCCCATTCAGCCTGCCATGACCTCAAGGACAGAAAACCTGTGAAGTGAGCAGCATCGAGACATCAACCCAGCCGCAGAGAGAAAGGCTTTCACTTTGCTTTGGCAAGGACCACAAAATAATGTCAAACTGTTAAAACCTGGAAATATCCCATAAGTAGTAGTACTAGAAAACAGCAGTAGTAGTTTGTCCTAGTTTGAGATAACGATTACTCTTTTGTTTATCTTGTACAATTCACAATTTATTTATTTTTTTAATGGCAAGCCATTCAGTACTTGTGCCAGTGGAGGCTGATGGGAGGAGCTATAGGAGTACGGCCTCATTATAATGGCTGGAATGGAATCGATGGAACGAGTCAAACACGTGGTTTCCATATTTTTGATGTGTTTGATACTGTTCCATTGATTCCATTCCAGCCATTTCACTGAGCCCATCCTCCTATAGCTCCTCCCACCAGCCTCCACTGACTTGTACATTCTACAATATTCTACGGGTGTGAGATTTCTTAAAGTGAACCTAATGTTTAAGTGATGCTGAGGTATTCAGTCAAATTAATTCAAGGGTAAAAAAGGAGAACATAAATGTATTAGCGTAGAGAGATGTCTCTGCTTTTTCAAACTAGGCAGTCATTCATCTGCCTACGTTAGGGCCGATAGAACAACACTACTGTTGTGTGGGGTTGTTGTTACGAAAGGGGCAGCTCGATAAGGGCGGCACAGGGGCTAAGTTGCTTGGGTACAGGTCGGAGATCTTGACAGGTCCGAAACGTCTTTATTGGTGCTGACAGTGGATGAGCCCCCAAAGTAAAGCTAGTTGGGCGATGAGAGGAAGGAGAGAGGGCTTCAACCACGTGACCTGAGAGGATGAGGTTAGAAAGCTAGAAGAAGAAAACACGCAGGTCCTTGTTCCTTAGAAGTGGGTTAGAGGTGGGGGATGCAAAAAGGATTCAAATAGGTGGGTATAAGAGGAGAAGACTTGTCAGTAGTAGTGTGTAGGATAGTGATCGTGTGAACAGCAACTTGCTCGCTCACACAGGCACAGCAGCTAGTGAGAAAACAACTTTGGTTCAAGCTTTTTATTTCATGGCTGAGGATTGGTAGAAAAACTAAAACGGACAGCCCCTACCTGATTATTGAACGCCTGACTACAGTCCAAACTGCTGCCAAAGCAGATATATCAGTCTAGAAAGGATCACAACACAGTCCGCCATATCATCATAGGGGGAAACGTAGAGAAACAGGACAGAGTATTGAGGGCAAGCACCCATTGATATCATATAACCACTACCATTCAAACCTAAACACCACTCAAATATATTAACTTTATATAGGGAGACAATACCCCTGACCTCCCTTCTTCCCATCCCTTTCTATTTGGATATTTGCGCTGCCACTTTAAAGCTGAGCAGGGAGAGCCATAGTCAAATTAAAAAATACGTTTGTCTTTGGAAAGTGATCATCAAAATATTGCATCTTTATCTCCAGTTGTCTAGAGGGAGAGCTTGTACTCAAATATTTGGACTAGGCTAAGCTACACTGACAATACACAGCAATAGTTAACAAATATTTTTGGTACATCTTGTAGTAAGCCAGTTAAAAGACTGCAGAAATAAAGGACCTTAAAAAAAAATATATAAATGGGACAGAAAGTTTAACTTCTCTAAAACAGGCAGACTGCAGTTCATAAATCCAGTTTCTTTTGGTACAGATACTATGCACAAGTAGATAAAGCAGAATAAAAAATATATATTGGAGCAAAAACAGACAACGACCCCATCTACCTCACACCAACATCATCCAGTTGGCATGAAAACCATACAGACATACCAACTGACATAGCCGTCAGAGAACACTCAGGCATAGAACTCCATGTATCATACAGCTAACCCCCCATCACACAATCACCACCCGACTATCTGACATGGGACTGCAGGTACGTATGCAAACCAGTTAAAGCTCTAAGCGTTATCATTTCAGTAATTCTATATCAGTGTCTACGGTCTGCACCTAGACTACGATTTACAAAATGGTGGCAGGCAAAATATATATTTTTATATAAACAAACTCAGTGTTACCAGACAGAGAGGGCCAGAGAGAGAACACATGGTCAACCCCGTTCCTTAAAGCAACAATAACCATTATATCGGCCATTTATTATTACTTGGTTTTAAAGCCTTATAACCACGATTAGAAATTGATATACTGTATATCGGAGTTAAAGCTTAAATTAATGTTAGACGTACAAAGTTCTGAAAATGTCCACTAAAACAAGAGAAAACAAACTAATCACCTCTAAAATATAACTTTGATATGATTTGTGCTGAGGCCTGTCCAACAGAGCCTCTGACACCAAACAAATTCAAACTATCGACTGGGAAACACGCAAACCCCCCTTTTAGTGATGATGTAGATTGTGATCTTAGTAGTAAATCATTTTTGTTAGAAGAAAAAAACATCCAAAAAGTAAAATCAAATTTTTGGTTAGAAGTATTTAAGAAGAAGTTCTGAACAGGGAAGAGGAAGATATATACTTTTGAAAAAGGTGACAGGAAAGAGAGAAAGCTAGGTAGTCCCTCTGTTATTTTCTCAGGGGCCACAAGGAGCACAGACCATAGAGTTCAAGATGATCCTGCCTCAGAAAATGGCCGCCCCAGTCCTCCTGTGTGACCCGCTGCGTACAGCGACAAAAACATCCAGGGAGTCGCACATCATTTTTGGAGTACAAGGGAAAAGAGAAAATGAAGAATGAAATAAAAACGTAAAATATAAATTCCAACCCTCTTCACAGAGGGTTTCTTTTTGGTGGCAGCAAAAGGATTAAATAATGATAGATGACAGGCAGAAGGACAAGGAGGAAGAGGATGAAGAGGTGGATTGAGCCAGTAGCCTAAGGCCAAATCTTAAACAACAGCCCTATTCCCCATATAGTGTCTTACTATGGCCAGAGCCATCCATATCGTACGCTACATTTAACCAAAAGTAGTGCACTAAATAGAGCATAGGGTGTCATTCAAGGCAATTCGAGCCTTCAGCTTCACTGGGCCTTGGAGGCAGTGGTGATGGTGGAGGCGGGCACTGGAACGGTCGCCGTGGTGACCTGGTGGTTGGCTGTGACCTGCAGGGCCCCTCCCCCGGCCGCTCCGGCCGACACCAGGCTGACGGGGTTGCTGGTGAGCAGGGACAGGTTCTGGGGGTTCAGGAAGAGGGGTTGCACCAGGTTGGAGGTGCTGCCGGCCGAGGTGTTGGCAAACAGCAGGTTACCACTCCCGTCCAGCGAGGTGATGGGGAGAGTGCCACCCGATGCCAGAGCTACAGGGGGAGGAAAGGAGGGACAGAGGGGGTTACCTAGCTATTTAGCCATCATCAGTTGGAGAAAAGTTACAGTAACTGTGGATTGATGGGGATGGGTAGTGTAGCTAGCTAGCTGCCGGAGCTGTGAAGAGTTCTGATTACGTCCCGGACACAACGATGTCAGTGACAAGACAAACGTGTGGGGAAGACAAGGAGGACAGGTGCACTAGTGTCAGGTATAGACTAGTTATACAGGTAAATAAATGTAAGGCAGTGGTTTTCAACCTGTGGTCCGCACATTTTTTACGGAAGAGGTTGGGAACCGCTGGTGTAAGGTACAGAGCAATGAGAAAGGTACTCTTAGATATATTGAGGTTGGACAGACAGTATTAGTTCCAGCTATATAATATGAAAATAGCACATGTATATACAGTGCCTTCAGAAAGTATTCGCACCCTTGTGACTTTTTCCACATTATGTTGTGTTATAGCCAGATTTTAAAATGTATTACATTGAGATTTTGTGTCACTGATTTACACACAATACCCCATAATGTCAAAGTGGAATTATGTTTTTACAAATGTTTACAAATTAATAAAAAATGAAAAGCTGAAATGTCTTGAGTCAATAAGTATTCAACCTTTTTGTTATGTCAAGTCTAAATAAGTTCAGGAGTAGAAATGTGCTTAACAACTCACATAATAAGTTGCATGGACTCTGTGTGCAATAATAGTATGAAGTATGAAAAATGTATGCACTCACTAACTGTAAGTTGCTCTGGATAAGAGCGTCTGCTAAATGACTAAAATGTCAAATGTAAATGTAGTATTTAACATGATTTTAAAATGACTACCCCATCTCTGTACCACACACATATTCAACCACAAAGACCAAGGAGGTTTTCCTATGGTTCGGAAAAAAGGGCACTTATTGGTATATAAAAATAAAATAATATCCCTTTGAGCACGGTGCAGTTATTACTTTAACACTTTGGATGGGGAATCAATACAACCAGTCACTACAAAGATACAGGCACCCTTCCTAACTCAGTTGCCGGAGAGGAAGGAAACTGCTCAGGGATTTCACCTTGAGGCCAATGGTGATTTTAAAACAGTTACAGAGTTTAATGGCTGTGATAGGAGAAAACTGAGGATGGATCAACATTGTAGTTATGCCACAATACTAACATAAATGACACAGTGAAAATAAGGAAGCTTGTACAGAATAAAAAATATTCAAAAACATGCATCCTGTTTGCAGTAAGGCCCTAAAGTAATACTGCAAAAAATGAGGCAAAGAAATTAACTTTTTGTCCTGAATATAAAGTGTTATGTTTGGGGCAAATCCAACACAACACATCACTGAGTACCATTCTTCGTATTTTCAAGAATGGTGGTGGCATCATGTTATGGGTATGCTTTCATCGGGAAGGACTAGGGAGTTTTTTAGGATAAAAAGAAACAGAATAGAGCTAAGCACAGGCAAAATCCTAGAGGAAAACCTGATTTAGTATGCTTCCTAACAGACACTTCTAGACAAATTCACCTTTCAGCAGGACAATAACTAAAAACTCAAGGCCAAATACACACTGCAGTTGCTTACCAAGACGACATTGAATGTTCCTGAGTGGCCTAGTTACAGTTTTGACTTAAGTCAGCTTGAAAATCTGTTGCAAGACTTGAAAATGGCTGTCTAGCAATGATCAATAACCAACTTGACAGAGCTTGACAAACTGTTTAAAGAATAATGGGCAAATATTGTATAATCCAGGTGTGCAAAGCTCTTAGGCACTTACCCAGAAAGACTCACAGCTGTAATTGCTGCCAAAGGTGATTCTAACATATTGACTCTGGGGGTTGTATACTTATATAATCACTTTATATTAGTGTTCTATTTTCCATATAAAAAATATATACACTACCGTTCAAAAGTTTGGGGTCACTTAGAAATGTCCTTGTTTTCCATGAAAACATACATGAAATGAGTTTGAATAGGAAATCTAGCAAAATGCATAGGAAATGTAGTCATTGACAAGGTTATAAATAATGATTTTTAATAGAAATAATAATTGTGTCCTTCAAACTTTGCTTTCGTTAAAGAATCCTCCATTTGCAGCAATTACAGCCTTGCAGACCTTTGGCGTTCTAGTTGTCAATTTGTTGAGGTAATCTGAAGAGATTTCACCCCATACTTCCTGAAGCACCTCCCAAAAGTTGGATTGGCTTGATGGGCACTTCTTACATACCATATGATCAAGCTGCTCCCACAACAGCTCAATAGGGTTGAGATCCGGTGACTGTGCTGGCCACTCCATTATAGACAGAATAACAGCTGACTGCTTCTTCCCTAAATAGTTCTTGCATAGTTTGGAGCTGTGCTTTGGGTCATTGTCCTGTTGTAGGAGGAAATTGGCTCCAATCAAGCGCCGTCCACAGGGTATGGCATGGCGTTGCAAAATGGAGTGATAGCCATCCTTCTTCAAGATCCCTTTTACTCTGTACAAATCTCCCACTTTACCACCACCAAAGCACCCACAGACCATCACATTGCCTCCAACATGCTTGACAGATGGCATCAAGCACTCCTCCAGCATCTTTTCATTTGGTCTGCGTCTCACAAATGTTCTTCTTTGTGATCCGAACACCTCAAACTTCAATTCGTCTGTCCATAACACTTTTTTCCAATCTTCCTCTGTCCAGTGTGTGTTCTTTTGCCCATCTTAATATTTTCTTTTTATTGGCCAGTCTGAGATATGGCTTTTTCTTTGCAACTCTGCCTAGAAGGTCAGCATCCCGGAGTCGCCTCTTCACTGTTGACGTTGAGACTGGTGTTTTGCGGGTACTATTTAATGAAGCTGCCAGTTGAGGACCTGTGAGGCGTCTGTTTCTCAAACTAGACACTCTAATGTATTTGTCCTCTTGCTCAGTTGTGCACCGGGGCCTCCCACTCCTCTTTCTATTCTGGTTAGAGCCAGTTTGTGCTGTTCTGTGAAGGGAGTGGTACACAGCGTTGTACGAGATCTTCAGTTTCTTGGCAATTTCTCGCATGGAATAGCTTTCATTTCTCAAAACAAGAGTAGACTGACGAGTTTCAGAAGAAAGTTCTTTGTTTCTGGCCATTTTGATTCTGTAATCGAACCCACAATTGCTGATGCTCCAGATACTCAACTTGTCTCAAGAAGGCCAGTTTTATTGCTTCTTTAATCAGCACAAAAGTTTTCAGCTGTGCTAACATAATTGCAAAAGGGTTTTCTAATGATCAATTAGCCTTTTAAAATGATAAACTTGGATTAGCAAACACAACGTGCCATTGGAACACAGGACTGATGGTTGATGATAATGGGCCTCTGTACGCCTATGTAGATATTCCATTAAAGATCAGCCGTTTCCAGCTACAATAGCCATTTACAACATCAACAATGTCTACACTGTATTTCTGATCAATTTGATGTTATTTTAATGGACATAACAATTGCTTATCTTTCCAAAACAAGGACATTTCTAAGTGACCCCAAACTTTTGAACGGTAGTGCATATAAAAAATAAATATTTCACTTTGTGTAGATCGATTGCAAAAAATGACAATTAAATTCATTTTAATCCCACTTTGTAACAACAAAATGTGGAAAAAGTCAAGGCACTGCATATGTGTGAGATGCAGAGTAATTAAACAGGTGTACTTGCCGCTCCATAGACCTTGGATGGTGGCCAGAGTGTTGTTGCTCAACATGGCGGGGTTTATAGCCCCTCCAAGCCCACCCGGAGCCAAGCTCAGCAAGGCCCCTCTACACACAGAGACAGGTATAGTCAGACAGACAGAGACACAGTGATTCCAGTAGAGATTACCCTGAATTCCTTATTCCTCCCTCAATCCCTGAGATTGTGATGATCATAGCAATGAGCATTTAACTGCAACTATTCCTACTATGACTAGATATACAGTACCAGTCAAAAGTTTGGACACACCTACTCATTCCAGGGTTTTTCTTTATTTTTACTATTTTCTACATTATAGAATAATAGTGAAGACATCAAAACTATTAAATAACACATCTGGAATCATGTAGTAACCAAAAAAGTGTTAAACAAATCAAAATATATTCTATATGTGAGATTCTTCAAATTGCCACCCTTTGCCTTGATGACAGCTTTGCACACTCTTGGCATTCTCTCAACCAGCTTCATGAGGTAGTCACCTAGAATGCATTTCAATTAACAGGTTTGCCTTCTTATTAAAGCTGATTTTGTGCACCAGCTGTTGTTTACGTTTGACATTTTAGTCATTTAGCAGACGCTCTTATCCAGAGCGACTTACAGTTAGTGAGTGCATACATTATATTTTTAGTTTTCATACTGGCCCCCCGTGGGAATCGAACCCACAACCCTGGCGTTGCAAACGCCATGCTCTACCAACTGAGCTACATCCCTGCCGGTCATTCCCTCCCCTACCCTGGACGACGCTGGGCCAATTGTGCACCGCCCCATGGGTCTCCCGGTCGCGGCCGGCTACAACAGAGCCTGGATACGAACCAGGATCTCTAGTGGCACAGCTAGCACTGCGATGCAGTGCCTTAGACCACTGCGCCACTCGGGGTACAAATATACACAGACCGCCACCCCTTGTCTTACCGGAGTCAGCCGTTCTATCCTGTCGATGTAGCGTATATCCCGTCAGCTGTATGTTGTCCATGTCGTCGTTCAGCCACGACTCGGTGAAACATAAGATATTACAGTTTTTAATGTCCCGTTGGTAGGATAACCGTAATATTAGGTCATCTAATTTATTTTCAAATGATTGAACATTGGCTAATAGGATTGATGGAAGAGGCAGTTTACTCGGTCGCCGTCGGATCCTTACAAGGCACCCCGACCTACGTCCACGATATCTCTGTCTCTTTCTCCTGTGAATGTCGGGGATTTGGGCCTTGTCGGGTGTCTGTAGGATATCCTTCGCGTCCGACTCGTTGAAGAAAAAATCTTCGTCCAATACGAGGTGAGTATTCGCTGTCCTGATATCCAGAAGCTCTTTTTGGTTATAAGAGACGATGGCAGAAACATTATGTGCAGAATAAATTACAAATAACGCGAAAAAACACAATAATAGTACAATTGGTTAGAGGGCTGTACAATTAATGGTGAAATTGCTGCAAAGAAACCACTACTAAAGGACACCAATAATAAGAAGAGACTTGCTTGGGCCAAGAAACACGAGCAATGGACATTATACCAGTGGAAATGTGCCCTTTGGTCTGAAGTCCAAATTTGAGATTTTTGGTTCCAACCGCCGTGTCTTTGTGAGACGTGGTGTGGGTGAACGGATGATCTCTGCATGTGTATTTCCCCCCGTAAAGCATGGAGGAGGAGGTGTTATGGTGTGGGGGTTCTTTGCTGGTGACACTGTCTGTGATTTATTTAGAATTCAAGGCACACTTAACCAGCATGGCTACCACAGCATTCTGCAGCGATACACCATCCCATCTGGTTTGGGCTTAGTGGGACTATCATTTGTTTTTCAACAGGATAATGACCCAACACACCTCCTCCAAGAAGGAGAGTGATGGAGTGCTGCATCAGATGACCTGGCCTCCACAATCCCCTGACCTCAACCAAATTGAGATGGTTTGGGATGAGTCGGACCGCAGAGTGAAGGAAAAGCAGCCAACAAGTGCTCAGCATATGTGGGAACTCCTTCAAGACTGTTGGAAAAGCATTCCAGGTGAAGCTGGCTGAGAGAATGCCAAGAGTGTGCAAAGCTGTCATCAAGGCAAAGGGTGGCTATTTGAAGAATCTCAAATATAAAATATATTGTGATTTGTTTAACACTTTTTTGGTTACTACATGATTCCATATGTGTTATTTCATAGTTTTGATGTCTTCACTATTATTCTACAATGTAAAAAATAGTAAAAATAAAGAAAAACCCTTGAATGAGAAGATGTGTCCAAACTTTTGACTAGTAGTGTACATGGGCACTTGAAATCTCTTCATGTAGTTTGAGGTGTGCTGTGATCCTGCTCTGATACCCACTCCCCATCCTACTCACCCAGGTGTGAACTGCGAGGATGCCATCAGTCCTGGGTTAAGCCCGGCCATGGCGGCGTAACTAGCGCTGGTGGGTAACTGGGCAGCGCCTTGCAGGGCCGCCGACAGCCCCGGTCCAGCCACCATCACCTGACCTGTCCCCAGAGTGGTTGCTAGGGACGACGGCGCCTGCGTGACCACCGTGTGCTCCTGGGTTCCACCTGTCTCTGCCGCCGTGGCCTGGAGAGCCGTGGGGGAGGGGCTTAGCGAGGGTGAACTGGTCACCACGGTAACCATGGGTGCCGTAGAGATGACGGATGCCGTGTTTGTGGTCGCTCCGATCGTCGTGCCTGAGACGGAATGGGAGGGTGGTGTTTAGTTTTTAAGTACGAGGTGGGAAATGGGAAGGGAATATTGAATCCTAACTTGAGATTTCTTTCTTTCAAATATGATCCTGTCCCTCCCCTGTCCCTGTGTACCTGTCAAGGTAAGGCCGGAGACGCTGGTGCTGGTGAGAGGCATCACCTGGTTTAAAGTGAGTGTGGTCGGTGTGTTACTGGTCACAAGGCTTGCCGTACTGGCCACCTGCACCAGGGAAGGAGAAGGAAAGGGCTTGAACATGGAATAGAAAAAATACACTTCACTTGTGTGTGTGTGTGTGTGTGTGTGTAGTGCCTGTGTACACTGTGTATGTGTGTGTGGTACATGTACATGCCAGTGTGTTTTGTCAATACCAAGGGGCTAGTGGGGGTGAAGATGGTTTTGATGGGGGTGCTGCCTGTCCCTGTGATGCTGTGTCCGCTGCTGGGGGGGTTGATCCTCTTCTCTTTTTGCCGACGGTTACAGAACCACACCCGGATCACCTCCTTCTCCATGTTGAGCTGGTCAGCAATTATGGTGATCTCCTCAGAGGTAGGTTTTTGGTTCTGCTTGAAGATGGCAAAAGACCAGGGATTCCCTTTCAGTATGGGGCAGTTTCTTTCAGTATGGGGCAGTTCCTTTCAGTATGGGGCAGTTCCTTTCAGTATGGGGCAGTTCCTTTCACTATGGGGCAGTTACTTTCAGTATGGAGCAATTACTTTCAGTATGGAGCAGTTACTTTCAGTAGGGCAGTTTACCAGATACGCTGAATGAACAGTCTATTCCATTTAATTTGATTCCCTTCCTAACGGGTTAGGTGCTAAAGTTGGTTGATGAGGTAAGTTAGAGAAGACAAGTGAGCGCTAATCTAGACTGTAAAATTTTGCTCACCTCCAGAAAGCTCTTTTCTAAGGCCACGCGGATGTTGGTCTCGATGCTGGTCCTCTTCTTGCGTCGGCGGTTGAGCCCCTCAATACCCAGGCCGGGGGAGCCCAGGCCGCAAGGGCTGGACAGGGCCAGGTCAGACGACAGATTCTCGGCACAAACAGCACCGCGACAAAGGACAGGGACAGAGGTAAAGACCAGGTACTCCGCAGTGCACAATACAGTACAAACACACACAGCTGTCGGTCAGCTCAGGGACATACCTGCATCGTTGAGCCACTTCTCCAGCAGTGGCTTCAGCTTGCACATGTTCTTAAAGCTGAGGTTCAAGGCCTCGAAGCGGGAGATGGTGGTCTGGCTGAAGTCGTTACCATACAGCTTCCCCATGGCCAGGCCAACGTCCCCCTGTGGGATACAGAGAGAGGGTTAGGAAGAGCTCTGCTATTAACACAAACACACGCATGCACACTCATGCATGCATATACCCACACACACCTTAGTACAGCTTGCTAACACCCCCAACCACACACACAAAATGTACACACACCTTCCTACAGCTCCCTCACAACCCCAACCACACACACACACACACCTGTGTGAAGCCCAGTTTGATGCGTCTCTGTTTGAAGGTCTTGGCAAACTGTTCCAGCTCCTCCAGGTCGCTGGGCTCCTCCAGACTGGGCGTGTCCAGGCGTTTGGGCGGGGTCTGACTGAGGGACAGGGGCTGGATGGGCGTGGCTGCTATCGTGTGGGACGGAGTCGCTGGCTACAGGACGGGAGTATGGGGTTAGGGCTGAAAGGAAATGACAAACTAAACATGGTTCAAGTGTTTGAAACATGGTAGTTATAGTTGTAGTTGCAGTGTCTGACCTGTGAGGCGAGGTTGATGCTTGGCTGAGTCTGCAGGAGGTTGGCTTGGCTTTGAGGTAGTTGAGTTAGAAGATTCTGGGCTTGCAGGAAACCTGTTGAGAGAATTATGGAGAACATTTAAGAGGTACGAAGGGAGGGTGAGAGCGAGGAAGGGCGAGTGTGTATGTTTGTGCATGTGTGTGTGCGTGCCTGTGTCTGTGTGTGTGTGTGCATCTCTGTGTGTGTGTGTGTGTGTGTATGTGTGTGTGTGTAGTACATACTCTGCGTTGTGTACATACTCTGCTGGCCCTGCGGCGTCTGTGAGATGATGAACTGGCCAGGCTGCAGCTGGGTGGCGATGTGGTGGCCAGGTTGAACCAGGACAAACTGGGGCATGGTCAGGTTCTGCTGTTGCAGCTGCTGTAACTGCTGAAAGTCCTCACACACACACACACACACACACAACGGGAGAGAGGAGAACACATTACTACAGGTACACACAAACACTTTTAGTCACACACACCACTCATGCTGCTGTTGGTCATCTCACACACACAAATACAGGGAGTGAGGAACCCTTGTAACTACAGGGAAACAAGTATTCATAAGTATAGTCCTACAGGTAAGAGTGGTACAGGCCTACTAGAGGTAATAATGTAACTGCTGCCTGCAGGCCTTTATTCTAGCTTTATTATACAGGTACACTCCTTCATACAACAGAAATCAACAGAGGAAAGTTCTCATTAAGCTTCCACGGGGAGAAAACGTTACAATGTACTAAAGGTACAGCATACTTATAATCATTCATTTAGCAGTGTTATACATGAGTACTACTAGGTAGATTATACCGGTCCAGTCATTCATATAACAGTGATATAAAGGTGTACTACAGGTAGGTAACTGCTGAAGGTCGCCATCTCATACGGGTATCCCAGCTGGCTTAGCTGGCCTGGGAGATGAGTAGAGACAGAGGGAATCTGAGGGGGAATGATGTGAACATTACAGCTCTGTGTTTCCTGCATATTCAATTGATGACACTGTGGCTGTTATATGTTTTGAAGCAGTATTGGGTTTGACTTCAGGATTTTATTTCACACCCCATTCTAGAGTAGGTAGCAGGATACTCTGCCCCCCTGCAGATCCCGTCTAGCCCTAGTGATGGGGTTGTGTGTCTGTGTGTGAGTGTCTGTGTGTTTGTGTGCGTGTGTGCGCATGCACATTCTCATGTGTTTGTGTGTGTGTCTCTCTCTTACAGAGGTGATCTGGACGGGCTGGGACAGGGGCAGCTGTGTGATGGGGGTGGCTGCGGAGGCAGAGATGCTGGCCCCCGTGGTGCTGCTCTGCTGGCTGGCTGATTGCTGCTGCATGGCTGCTGCCAAGAGCTGGGCCTGGGCCTGCTGCAAAAACATCTGCTGCTGCGCTGGAGACAGGGTCAACTAGAGAGAGGGAAAGTAAGAGGGGGGGGGGGGGGGGGGGCAAAGCGAAAGAGATGGGGGGACAGAGAGAAAGAGGGAGATAGAAAGGGAGAGATGACAGATATTGTGGAGAGAGGGCAGAGAGAAAGGTGGGGGGGGGGGTAGAGATAAAGAGAGAGCAAAAAAATATAAATGAGTGAGCGGTTGGAAGAGAAACAATAGTTTGTCAAGACAAATGCTCCTTACCATTCATTTCAAAAGGTCAAAGGACTTTCAAGTTGCAAAGGACTACAAAACTAGCAGTACATGTGATGCAGTGACTGAGTGCCTAGGGCCCAACATATGGAGAGAGGAGAGGACATGCAATTGGACAGAAGATGATTTTGGTGTTTGGGGAGGTTCTCATTGCAGCCACTGGCTGTCTGATCCTCAAGTCACATGACAACGACAGAATGATCACGGATGAGTATGACGCCTGGGCTCACGGTCGCACACACTCTCGCTCGCGCACACACAAACCAAAAGATGGTACCAGGGTGATGTGCGTCGTGGGGTTGGCATGATTGAACACGTGCACAAGCACACACAGGCTACGTCCCAATACTCTTCTCTCAGTTCCTCCCACCCACACTGATCATAGCAGGAATTGGTAGAATTAATAAGGTAGGTAGATCAATTCCCATTCAATCTTTATATCAAAAATCACTGGTCGCTAAGGGGAGGAAACAAGGAAAATAGTATTTGGACATAACCCCACCCTTTCTCTGGGTGTATCTCAATAGTCTCAAATAGTCTCCTTCCCTTCATCTGCACTGATCTGAGAACAGTGACACCAATATGGTGGACGATGCCTACTGGGCATTTGCTATTCTTTCAGATCAGTGCAGATGAGGGAGAGGAGATGAGGAAGCCACAGAGATTCAGCACATTACAGACAGACAGATGAACCGACAGGCAGGCAGGCAGACAGCATGCCACTTACTCCAGCTATCTGTCCCCCAGCCAGCATGAGCTGGGCATGAGGCAGCACGCCCTGCTGGACGGAGGTCGGAATTGCACCCAAGTCTTCAGACTTGGACTAGGAGCAGAGTACATAGGATAATCTTATATAGAATAACCTACCCAGATACATGTCATATAGACACAGAGCTATGGTACAGGCGACTCCTGATAAGTGTAAACACTGTTTGAGTGCAATACAGTTTTCCAGTCCCAGTTCAACTGCATTCTTTTACATTGCTCCTGATAACGGCATGTTCCTGTTAAGTCCATTCTCAAGCCGTTGCATTTATCAGGAGTCGTCTGTACACTATGTCGATCTGTTTTTGAATAATGATGTTGACTGATACTTATTGTATGCAGATGCCCTAATTCTTGCAACTATACCTGTCAGATTCTTGATTAGAGATAATGAGCAAGACCCATATTTTACTTTTCAACATTGGAGTGTAGAAGAGGATAAACATATACACACCAAGACAAAACACTCCCACACACTCATACAGACTGCCACATATACACAAAAACAGGGTTTCAATAATAGGTAGCATATTGAAGGTATTCTCTAAATAGAAAATAATCTACATGAGAAAAGCAGGAGAGGAATGTACTGTAGCCTACAGAGAACAGAGAGAGGAAGGAGGGAGTGGTGAGTGGAAAAGTTCATTTAAAAAACTGTTATGCAGTGCATGTAAATTCTGCATAGATTTGCATATTCTCCGCCATCTGTTTCCGAGCAACCGCAGAGCAGCTAATTAGCATACAGGGTTGATTAATCTGCCTTGTTGCCAGGCGATACCGAGAGAGCCTGGCTCATTTAAATGTACTGTTACTGTGTGTGTGTGTGTGTGTGTTAGAGCTGGGACGGTAAACCGAAAATTACCGACACTGCCTTCCTCTTACCGAAGCATTTTGCCTATGACGGTAATCTTCTGTGATTTTGCTACACAACATTCCTGTAGATTGTTGTAAAATCATTATTTGGTCAACGGTTATAGCCTATGCATTATGTTGATTCCTGCTATGAAAGTATCTGCCTGTCCCCATTTCGCTGTCGGCTGCTGTGTGAGCAAGCCACTCTCCCTCCCTCTTCCCACTGTGAAGAACAAGCATATGACCGTTGCTCAAAACGTACAGCTGAAGTCGGAAGTTTACATACACTTAGGTTGGAGTCATTAAAACTCGTTTTTCAACCACTCCACAAATTTCTTGTTAACAAACTATAGTTTTGGGAAGTCGGTTAGGACATCTACTTTGTGCATGACACAATTGTTTACAGACAGATTATTTCACTTATAATTCACTGTATCACAATTCCAGTGGGTCAGAAGTTTACATACACTAAGTTGACTGTGCCTTTAAACTGCTTGGAAAATTCCAGAAAATGATGTCATGGCTTTAGAAGCTTCTGATAGGCTAATTGACATCATTTGAGTCAATTGGAGGTGTAACTTTGGATATATTTTAAAGCCTTACTTCAAACTCAGTGCCTCTTTACTTGACATCATGGGAAAATCAAAAGAAAGCCAAGACCTCAGAAATAAAATTGTAGACCTCCACAAGTCTGGTTCATCCTTGGGAGCAATTTCCAAACGCCTGAAGGTACCACGTTCATCTGTACAAACAATAGTACGCAAGTATAAACACCAAGGGACCACGCAGCCGCCATACCGCTCAGGAAGGAGACGCGTTCTGTCTCCTAGAGATTAACGTACTTTGGTGTGAAAAGTGCAAATCAATCCCAGAACAACATCAAAGGACCTTGTGAAGATTCTGGAGGAAACTGGTACAAAAGTATCTATATCCACAGTAAAACAAGTCCTATATCGACATAACCTGAAAGGCCGCTCAGCAAGGAAGAAGCAACTGCTCCAAAACCGCCATAAAAAAGCCAGACTACGGTTTGCAACTGCACATGGGGACAAAGATCGTACATTTTGGAGAAATGTCCTCTGGCCTGATGAAACAGAAATAGAACTGTTTGGCCATAATGACCATCGTTATGTTTGGAGGAAAAAGGGGGGACTTGCAAGCCGAAGAACACCATCCCAACTGTGAAGCACGGGGGTGGCAGCACCATGCTGTGGGGGTGCTTTGCTGCAGGAGGGACTGGTACACTTCACAAAATAGATGGCATCATGAGGAAGGAAAATTATGTGGATATATTGAAGCAACATCTCAAGACATCAGTCAGGAAGTTAAAGCTTGGTCGCAAATGGGTCTTCCAAATGGACAACGACCCCAAGCATACTTCCAAAGTTGTGGCAAAATGGCTTAAGGACAACAAAGTCAAGGTATTGGAGTGGCCATCACAAAGCCCTGACCTCAATCCTATAATGTGTGGGCAGAACTGAAAAAGTGTGTGCGAGCAAGGAGGCCTACAAACCTGACTCAGTTACACCAGCTCTGTCAGGGGGAATGGGCCAAAATTCACCCAACTTATTGTGGGAAGCTTGTGGAAGGCTACCCGAAACATTTGACCCAAGTTAAACAATTTAAAGGCAATGCTACCAAATACTGAGTGTATGTAAACTTCTGACCCACTGGGAATGTGATAAAAGAAATAAAAGCTTAAATAAATCATTCTCTACTATTATTCTGACATTCCACATTCTTAAAATAAAGTGGTGATCCTAACTGACCTAAAACAGGGAATTTTTACTAGGATTAAATGTCAGGAATTGTGAAGAACTGAGTTTAAATGTATTTGGCTAAGGTGTATGTAAACTTCCTACTTCAACTGTAATTGCGGGAAAAATACAGTTTTCAAAGCAACTACTGTTGTTCTAGTTACAAAGGAGAGTCACAGCTTTCTTTGAGTATATCATGTATTTCTCACCTCTTGAATTAATGGCACAACTTTACAACCAGAGTAGGCTGTAGTTAGTATGATTTTGATGTGCCCGTGCTCAAAGCAGTGCACGCCATTTACATCAAGTAGCCTAGACCTTTTGTAGGACATTAGCCTACATTTACTGATAGCTTAATGAATTAGCCTACATGGCTATGTAGCAACAATATCATATTTAGAGTAAGCAATCTAGCTAAGTGTTTTGAGTTCCCACTTCCTCAAGTAATATAGGCCAATATGCACAAAGATGTCGGCAAATTCTCTGAAGAGCCAAAAAGAAATCTGATCATTCTGGATCCTATTTTGACAGGTTACACATCAAAATATCAATCATGCATTCCCTGGATATGTTAGATGAAATTGCTTACTTTCTGAATCATGGCTACCATCACAGCTTTCTTACTTGGAACTGAAAAAAAAGTATTCTAGAGCCCTGCCACTAATGTAACGTAACTGTCAATAAAAATACATATAGTTGTATTTATTGTTATCAAGTAAAATGGTTACATTTTTCACAATATTACTTTTTGTCCATATCACCCAGCTCTAGAGAGAGAGAGTGTGTGTGTGTGTGTGTGTGTGTGTGTGTGTGTGTGTGTGTGTGTGTGTGTGTGTGTGTGTGTGTGTGTGTGAGTGCGTGCGTGCGTGGCTCTGTTCTGTTGGCATGTCTCTGTCCCAGCCTCAATTCTCATTTCAACTACACTTCTGCCAGCCTGGGCACGAGCCACAAATATACCCACATATACTCAATCAGATCACACAGACACACACACTCTTCTGGTAAAAGCAGCAAACCTGTGTGTGTTTTGGTCTGAGTGAGTGAGTGTGTTACCTGTTGGAGGAGAGCCTGAGCATGTGCATTGGTGATTGCGTTTGTGGCCTGCACCGTCTGCCTCTGAAAGTCCAGTCCATTCGTTTGGACTCCTGAGAACAGAAACGCAATCAAGTCATCAGGAAAAAAACTCTCCCATACACACACACACTTTCACATTTGCACACACAGCACACACAAATCAACACGTGTGAACATAATACGCACACAAGCACTGAAGTAGCCTCTAATTACAGCAACAGCACAACAACCCACTTAACTTTCACTGAATCTCTCTCTCTATTAGGTTTCTCAATCAACACTACAAAAACTCTGTGGGACAGGCATAGCAGTGAGACCCAGGGGCGTGTTCAAAGGGCACCAAACAGGACTACAGGTTTTCAAACAGAAGACCATTACCTGAACTTAGAGTCTAATAACCAAGGACATTTTTGTTGTCCGTTTGTGACCATTTTAAACTGTTTGTGCCTCCTGAATGCGCTCCAGATACGGGCAGGCAGAGCAATGCAGCAGCAGGCCACAGCAGGTAACTCACCTGCGTTTCCGTCCCCACTCTGACTCTCCATTGCACATTTACTAGTTTCTGATGGATTACTCATTTTAGAATCTGAAAGAGGCAGACAGACAAACAGACAGAGAGAGACTTTCACTCAACTGTCATTGATCCTCTAAAAGCAACGCCCCACCATCCCATTCCAAAACAGCCCCTAAAGCCCACATCTTATAAATATCCGATGTCGTATGCCGTACTTAATACAATGAAACCAGACACCTCCCACTCCTTCCAACAGAGCCTGATAATGTTTTCTAATGGGCTACACCCCCACAACTACCTCTAGCCTACATGCAGTGTATTTTCCCATAGAAAACGGGGTAAAAAAGATTGCACCAGGTAACAATTGCACTATTAGGAAGCCCCATTTAATACAGTGACAATCAACACTCTGGGCTCCCGAGTGGCACAGCGGTCTAAGGCACTCCATCTCAGCGCTTGAGGCATCACTACAGACACCCTGGTTCGATTCCAAGCTGTATCACAACTGGCTGTGATTGGGAGTCCCTTAGGGCGGCGCACAATTGGTCCGGGTTTGGCCGGTGTAGGCCATCATTGTAAATAAGAATTTGTTCTTAACTGACTTGCCTAGTTAAATAAAGCTTAAATAAAATAAAATAAACATCATCAACCATGGCAAATAGGATACCTTGAAGCATGCCTTTACATCCATAAAAGCCCAGCAGGATAATGTTTTATCCCCTTTTGACTTGTTCCTTGATGATTTCGCTCTCTCTCTCACACTCACACACATACACGCACACACATTTTAAATACTTTATTTGAATCCACCAATCAAATTGACAAAAAAAGGATCCAAACATGTCAAAAGGTCCCTGTATGAATGGCATTTAAGGGTACAGAAAGCACCTCATTCTCCAAACAGCTAGGCTGCCCACGACAGCTGAAACAGAGCAGTACCTAGCTAATTGCTTTGCCCTAGTTTTTGTCAGGCCCGCAATCTGGAAGCCACACACTGCAAGCCTGTGTACGTGGCCGAAACTGCCAAATATCAGTGCCATCAGCTTGCACCTACACCTGAGGCTGTCCAAGTGTGCCACGAGGGGCTGGTATTTAAGCAACTTCTCGGCAAAGGCCTGCTCCATGTGGCCGTCAAATGAGCAGCCCACTTCCAAAATGAGCACCTCCCCCTGGCCTCCCCCCACAACAACGATATCTGGCGTATTTGGCACACAGGAAAACACATCATCATCAACATCACAAACACACACACAACACCAGACCCCATGACTCACCCACTTCTGTTGAACCTGTATTTTCCAGCATGCTTGCAAAAGCTGGCGGCGGCAGATAGGCTTGGTTCCACCGGACAGCACACTGCCCCTCCTCTCCCTACTCCCTCTCTTCACTCTCCACTGGTCAGTGCAGAGTCCAGTCAAACTACAGCTACACACACAAGACACAGACAGACTGGCACAGTCCGCTGAACGCTCCACTGAACAACAGTGAGACACAGCCTCAGCATTCCACTTAAGCCAACAGGTTTTAAACTAACAGCTCTCCCTCACTCTCACTCGCTCTTTCTCTACCTCTCTTTTCTTCTCAACCGTCTCCCTCCTTTTCCCTCCCTCTCTCTCTCTCTCTCTCCGGTGCGTGCCAGGATTGTCACGACTACTGAAAAAGTTATCTCCCTTTCTTTCTGGAAGAAACAGAAACAACGAGTGCAGCTGGCGCCTCTCTCCCTCCACCCACCCCACTCTATAATGAAGTATAATCAGTATTCAGCTGATTAAAGCTGTATGCAAATCAGGCCCTACTTCATTAGCGATTCAGGGCTTTGAAGTCCTGTGAGCGACTCATTTCACATCGGGCTCTGAAAGCTTTCTGCATAATTTAAAACCCATAAATATGTATCATGTCATTAGCATATTAATTGGATGGCTTTTTGGAGAACAATAAAAAACAGGGGAATAAAAAAGAGAAAAAAAAGAAAAGAGAAGTCCGGGCTCAAACTAAGCCCAATTACTGGCAGAATGCAGGCAGCAGAGTAATTAAAGGGATGGAAACAACTGGCCAGAATTCAGTGTGATGGCTGTCGGCAGTGGTCTGGGCATGTTGGCGTGGAAAGGTGGTGGGTGCGAATAGAACTAATAGAATGTCTCGGACTGCTGGTCCCAAACTCTGCCAGGAGTCACAGAGACCAGGCCTGGTTATTAATGAGGGGGTGGAGGTGGGGGGAATAAATAACTCCACATTAATCCACCACGAGCCCGTCATTACTACCAGACCCCCGTGGCAATGGCATTCCACTCTGCACAACAACTGAGACAGAGAGAGCGAGAGAGAGAGAGAGAGAGAGAGAGAAGGGGGGGTTGAGGGTACTATTGGCTATGTTTATGAAGCGTGTCAAGATTAGCATATTTAGATTAGCTTTAAATTCCATTAGGCTAGTTGTTCGTATTCAGAGGGCTTTTTTCCCCATCTCACTCTTTTTAATTTAGCATAGAAGAACATGTCATGGAAATTAATGTAGCGGGCAGGCAGGCGCCGACTGACAGAGTGGGATGTCAAAGCAATGTTAAAATGAAATCTGACTGTTTTCAGGGGTAGACCTCTGAAAAAGAGGGGGACGAACGTGTTGCTTAGCCTTGCTCAGAGAATCCTCAACAAAAAACTAAACCAAATTATTTTATTTTCTTGGCTCCCTAACTACAACCCTTCCAACCTCAATCACAAAAGACTGATATTTATCACACTAGTGACCAAGACAAACAGAGACTGAAGAAAGGGCATGACAAAGCAGTAGGGACAGTAATCAACAGTAGGGACAGTAATCAACAGTAGGGACAGTAATCAAACAATAGCCTAAAAACAGTGTTTTTACAGTTGCAGTGTGGGACATTATTAGACTAGTTTGTGGTACTTTTTCAAACAAGGATGCTATTGGCTAACCATTTTCTTCAGAAGGCCGATTTAGGCCAGGTTCCGAAACTTAAACCCGCTTTCTCAAAGCCCCAGCAAATGTTTCAACCACTAACTCTCCAAGTGTGAATTTGTTGATGGAAAAAATAAGGTTCCCTCCAATGAAACAAGGACAGAGATACCCAAACAACAGACGCCCTATCTTCCTCCTTCCAAACCACAACCATACATTACTATACCCCTCTTAATGCAAAAAAACACAAAAAAAACAGAAGGGTTCAGAGGCAAAGAGAAGTAAGGAGAAAGGCACTTTATTTAAACCACAGTTGCTAGGGTGGCTCGCAAAATCCAACTGTGGAACGAACAATTCATTATGCAAATATTTTAGCAGAGAGAATTTTTAATAGGTAACTCATTAGCACTTTTTTATGGAGAGGCTGAGTGAATATTGAGGAACAGCTAATGTGAAGAGAGACATTCAACGTGAGGCATAGCGAGCGTAGAATAATAAGCATATTCAAATTCCACTGACATTTAACTTCACCCATGGTATGTAAGTCACGGCAACACTTCAAACTAAGTTCCCATTAATATCATATAGCTGAGTTGAGCCTATAGGCCTGAACTACTTTGTTAATACAACACTTAGCATGTAACAGTGTCTGCATTAAGGAATTTCACTGTTCTACAATTATGGTGACCAAATACACTGCTCAAAAATATAAAGGGAACACTTAAACAACACAATGTAACTCCAAGTCAATCACACTTCTGTGAAATCAAACTGTCCACTTAGGAAGCAACACTGATTGACAATAAATGTCACATGCTGTTGTGCAAATGGAATAGACAACAGGTGGAAATTATAGGCAATTAGCAAGACACCCCCAATAAAGAAGTGGTTCTGCAGGTGGTGACCACAGACCACTTCTCAGTTCCTATGCTTCCTGGCTGATGTTTTGGTCACTTTTGAATGCTGGGGGTGTTTTCACTCTAGTGGTAGCATGAAACGGAGTCTACAAACCCACACAAGTGGCTCAGGTAGTGCAGCTCATCCAGGATGGCACATCAATGCGAGCTGTGGCAAGAAGGTTTGCTGTGTCTGTCAGCGTAGTGTCCAGAGCATGGAGGCGCTACCAGGAGACAGGCCAGTACATCAGGAGACGTGGAGGAGGCCGTATGAGGGTGGTATGAGGGCCCGACGTCCACAGGTGGGGGTTGTGCTTACAGCCCAACACCGTGCAGGACGTTTGGCATTTGCCAGAGAACACCAAGATTGGCAAATTCGCCACTGGCGCCCTGTGCTCTTCACAGATGAAAGCAGGTTCACACTGAGCACATGTGACAGACGTGACAGAGTCTGGAGACGCCGTGGAGAACGTTCTGCTGCCTGCAACATCCTCCAGCATGACCGGTTTGGCGGTGGGTCAGTCATGGTGTGGGGTGGCATTTCTTTGGGGGGCCGCACAGCCCTCCATGTGCTCGCCAGAGGTAGCCTGACTGCCATTAGGTACCGAGATGAGATCCTCAGACCCTTTGTGAGACCATATGCTGGTGCGGTTGGCCCTGGGTTCCTCCTAATGCAAGACAATTCTAGACCTCATGTGGCTGGAGTGTGTCAGCAGTTCCTGCAAGAGGAAGGCATTGATGCTATGGACTGGCCCGCCCGTTCCCCAGACCTGAATCCAATTGAGCACATCTGGGACATCATGTCTCGCTCCATCCACCACAGACTGTCCAGGAGTTGGCGGATGCTTTAGTCCAGGTCTGGGAGGAGATCCCTCAGGAGACCATCCGCCACCTCATCAGGAGCATGCCCAGGCGTTGTAGGGAGGTCATACAGGCACGTGGAGGCCACACACACTACTGAGCCTCATTTTTACTTGTTTTAAGGACATTACATCAAAGTTGGATCAGCCTGTAGTGTGGTTTTCCACTTTAATTTTGAGGGTGACTCCAAATCCAGACCTCCATGGGTTGATAAATTTGATTTCCATTGATAATTTTTGTGTGATTTTGTTGTCAGCACATTCAACTATGTAAAGAAAAAAGTATTTAATAAGATTATTTCATTCATTCAGATCTAGGATGTGTTGTTTAAGTGTTCCCTTTATTTTTTTGAGCAGTGTATTTTTCCATTTGTCCTATCGATCATGTATCTCTCTCCTACT